CAAACAAATGCCCCTGCAGTTCCCAAGCAAGCTGCTAGAGAACCCAAGCTTACATGTATGTACGTCACTTCTTCCCGAGCACAAAATCATGTCCTGATCGCGAGATCAAGAACGGAAGTTCTGCTGCAGTACCATAACAAGGTGCCAGGGCGGCCAAAATGTAATCATTTTGAGCTCTCATCAAGACCTACCCACCTACCAAATATCAAGATGATCCATCTAAGCCTTCTCGAGTTATGCCGTTTGACACATACACACACACACACACACACACACACACACACACACACACACACACACACACACACTACACTACGTACGACACACACACACACACACACACACACACACACACACACACACACACACACACACACTACACACACACACACACACACACACACACACACGCACACACACACACACACACACACACATATACATACATGCATGCACATACACACCAAAAAATCACACAAACACAAGCACACAAATAGCATATTTTAGAATTCTTACCTGGACATTTGTGAGTACACATATCCGGCGCTCTCCTCAGAGTACAGACAGATGAAGTCACCGATACACAACTCGTCATCTCCCTGCCCTGCCTGCCCGATATCCCTGGAGACGACATGAGGAAAAACTCTATAAGCGTTTGTTTTAAGATTCGTTGCGAACGGCCTAGTATGACCATTGTCATGTTGTAACTTACCGTTAAGCCTGTACAGCAACAAAACAAAACCACACAGGCTTGAGTGTCAGCCAATGCGTACGGGTTCAGCCTTTTTGTCAAGTTTGGCAGGTAGCAGATCGTGGGGAGCGGACGAAAGCTAAAAAGGCTGACACTAAGGCTTAAACCACACAGAGCATCATAACAATCCATGCTGGTGTGTTACGCCGAATGGCGGTTATTCCGGCTATACAGATACAAATACCATCACTTCTTGAGCTTGATAACCAAACATTTTTCAAGAAGGGAAGGCCAGACGATAACCTGGAAGAGAACGGTCAGCAAAGTAGCCGCGAGTAAAAATACGGTTACCTTCCGTACGGAACGCCCCATCTCATGATAAAAGACTGCCAGCCCTCCGTAGCTTGTCGAAAATTGTCCAACCCGTCGTTTGCCATCTTACGTACAAAAAACTCGCTGCACCACTACCTAAACGTCAATACATCGCCTGGCTTCCTGGTCTAGTGTGGCCTGGGTACCAAACCTTTGGTCGGTTTGGCGGTAATTTTTCGGCCCAGGCCTTTACCAAGCACAGACGAGCTATACCACGGACCTATCTCCAGCTGGTTTCCCTGTATCCGCTGACTTCCTGTATTACGCTTTGTCTATTGTTGCCAGACGAAGAAGCCTAAAACCCCCCCGAAGCGCGGTAATTGAGGCCTGGTTGGCGGCCCCAAACGCTCTCGGCGCCGAAGAGATTGCCTTGGGCTCACGGCGGTCTGGTTACCGGGCTAGGTCTAGTGTGCCCCGCGCTCTTTCTGAAGCACACAGTGCCTTCTGACACGACACCACTTACACAGTAGATTGAAATGGACGGCATCATTTCTAATAAAGAGGGGATTACGGCAATTTGAATGTCCGCAGCCATCCGTACCCGGTACGCTATCGCCTCTCTGTAAATAATGGATGACCTAGCAACAGGTGGATGGAACACACGTGTTGGTATATTATGTTATCTCTAAGCGTCTAGAACTATAGGGTAAAACTCAATGTTTTACGAGTGTTTTTGTTATTAATAATACTGTTTTCATGGACGTTCATCTGTGTAGGTAGGAATCATATTATGATGCGATCCAACACAAAGGATAAACAATATACCTCCCTGGTACGTTTGACCAATTGTTCAGTGGTCGTTGTTAATTTGATCCTTGTGTATCTTTGTGTTTAAATAAAGCTTCGTATTATACTATGTGTATTGCCCATACTCGTCTAAATGCTGAGTGCTAAGCAGAGAAAGCAGTACCTTGAGTCTTCGGTATGACTCGGTCAGGGTTCGAACCCACAAAGTACTAGTACAGAATGCAAAGCGAACATTCTACCTTGTGTATAACGGGGGTACACACTAACAGGAAACGTATATACTTATAGTATGACGCATAAAAGCCTTGAAATCCACGAAAAACACTAATTTGCATCCTACATCTGCTTGGGGACCGGGTCTCTGTCAGTGATATGATTTCGTCTCGCTGCAGTCTTTTTATTGAATTACGTTATTGAATATCACGGCCATTAGTCACTGGCGATGGGTTTGACAACATCAACATTGAATGAATTGAGTATTTTCTGATGCTGAACTGAATTTCTAGTCTGCTACGTACATTTCCTTTGTATGGGTTATTCTATAAAGGCAGAAAACGTTTGAAATGTGTACATAAACAATAACGCGCCGAACAAAATGGGCTTCGAAATCCTCCGTTACAACATTGTCTCTATGATAATAATAATGGTTTTATTCAACATTTTTCAGATTGTACTCGTAGGGCCCTAGGACGTTGGCCCTAAATTGTTGGCATTCACACATTCTTCGCTCTGTTCAATATTACTTTACGGTACATTCTAAAAATCATTCACCGTCGGTATTACTGATAAAAACAGGATACAAGGTTTTAGAATACATTGAATGAAGGACGATATAAAGGATCTGGTAGCAGTGTTCAAATATCGTTCAGCGGGGAACAAAGTCTGCACAAATTTTGTAGTATAATAATAAGCTACGTTTTCCTTTAGCCTTGGAGGACAATAGGTTTTTGTTAACACACACCTATTCTTCTGAGGTGGCGTGAGACTGTATAATAAAATACGTGGCACCCGTAACCATGGTTACGGATCGTAAACAAGGACAAACAACCACCTGTTGCGCCAAGTCTAGAACATTCGTTGAAATCTCCAAGCAGATGTTTGGAATGGACTTTTTTGTCACTTGAGGCAGAGAAACGTCATAAAATCCGAAGAAAATTGTACAGTTCCTAGAAGTTTACCACTCTGTATAAGCTCAGTAACTAGAACACTTTGCCTGTTAGCCTAGTAAAGTACCCTTGTATGTTCCTTATGTATGTCTAAGTCAAGTAGTGTATCTTTTGTCTACACTTTTCTACATACGTTTGATATGTGTCTGTTAAGGCTTCACCTGTACCTAGCCGAATGTACAATAAAGGTGTTTCATTTCATAAATATAGATATGGCATGTAGATATCAATGTTAAAATGCTGTGCCGTTTTTCAGTTCATTTGTCTGGTAAAAGCCATTTTCCAGGTTGGTACATAAAATGTAATCGAGCAAAGACTGTTAAGGTCTCGCTCATAACTTATTAATGTCCACTGCGGTTGCAACAGTTGTCAGCTTCCACAACAAGTGTCACTTCAAATTTATTTCCTGGTTACCCGCGAATGATATTTTTGCTGTATTTTATCTATAGCGCCGTTGGAAGATATATTTCGCTTTTGTCGTATCGTGGAGCAATTCCCAACAGATACCTTTGAACAACGTCTAGAGATACGTAGATATACAAAGGTAAGGTGTAACAGGTTGTTCCATGTAATATAATGAGCCCCCACTGCACGTCGAATGGCGATTAAACCGGCTATATAGATACAGATACAGAAACTGGGGTGTTACGCCAAAAGGCGGCTATGTAGATACATGTTAAGATACAGAAACCGGGGTGTTACCCCGAAGGGCGGTTATACCGGCTATACAGATACAAATACAGGGTTCCTATACTGAATCTACAGGACAATAGAGACAGGAATACAGGTATAAATATCTGTATACACAAGTCGTCTCTCCAAGCACAGGTTTAAGTCGGGGCATTAGTCTTTTGTGATAACAAGAGTAAACCCCTGTCACATACATATCGTATATGCACCTACGATGTTGTTGTTTCTTTCACAACGATATCGCCGTCGTAGATTAAATAGAGACAAGGATTCGATGGTTAAAAATGGCATAAAAACTATGCCACACGTTTAACTTTAACTATTGCACCTATTTCGTCTCAAACCTACGACCTATGGCGATGTCGCCACGGAAAAAAACATCGTTGGTGCATCGTATGATGTGTATATTTAACGTAGCCTCATTCGCAGACTTGAGCACCGCCACCGCTCAAGTCTGCAAAGGAGGCTAGGCTTTAATAACACACAAAAGCCTACCAGGCCGTCGCAACAGACGAAGCTCTAGATGCCGTGGACATCTTGCCGCCTTTTTGTGTCGTCCCCGCTCCGTTCAAAGAAGTAATCCCGACATCAGAATCCGCTTTTTGTCCGTCTCTGTTCACGGCTTACACAAAAATGACTGGGCGTATCTATAGGCGTACAGAATGTAAGTATGATTGGAGTTTTAATAATTAATGAGCTAGGTGGGGACGTCGCCATGGCAGCCACCTATTCAACGTTGATGTCAAACACCTGTCATATCATGGAGCTAAAATCAACTTTTGACTAAAATTTGACTTCAGTAGCTACTTTGGTTGTAATATATGCCCTAAGACTACTAGTATCAACGTTTTGTTTTAGGATATACCAAAGGCATTTTCATTCTTGTCTTTCCGATTCTGTGCATTATACAAAGATGAGTTGACAAGAACTATGGCTGTCTGTTTCAATTTGCCCTGAACAATACGTGAGATAAAGCTACAGGTAATGATAGCCTGTCGAAAACACCACTCCCAAAACCACATGATCTCCAAGCAGATACTAGATTCGGCTTGGGTTCGGCTCAGTGGTTTACTAAGGAGGTTCAATCCCTGGTTTTGATCCCATCACACATATTTTTTCAGAGCCTCCCCCGATCACCAATTTAAGTTAGCTAGGTTGGCTGACGTTCAGGAACAGTCTGGCCAGACCACGCCTACCTTTCTGTACGAATTGAATCTAATTTGAGTTAAATTTGAGTCAAATTTGACCCTGCTGACGTGGTCAAACACCATCCGACCACCAGCCAACCTTGACCAATAATGTAACCTCTGGAAGCTTCGCTAGGACAATGGCTACACAAACTTATTATCGGTTATGTTTTCCGAGATGAGAAGATTATGTATTGTTCCTTGTGAAAGAGATTGCCTAAATTCCAGGTCTACATATAGGCAAAACCATGGCTGTTCTAGATCACACTCACATAAGATGAACGGCCGAGGAACCACGGACATCGTATAGACTTTTTAGACTTGCGATGTACAATATGAATTCTTAGAAGTCTTGTTTGCTTTACTTAATATCGAGGAATTGCGTCTCACTGCTCCGCTTGTACTGAAAGACGAGACAATATTGGATCTGTACAAGTCGTTGAAGTGTGTAACGTTACTCACGTTTATCAGTCTTTGCTGCCTGTAAGTCTGTGTAAATGTGTTGTTTGCATTTGAAATAAACATAAACAATACCACTCAACACTAAGTCTGTTTATTTTTAGAAGATCGCTGTCCGGAATTATGGCTCATTACTTCGCATGCCGGCAAGAACACTGTACTAATTATCCGGAACGTAACGCGTAACAGTCGGGCGGGGATGTTCTGCCATGTTCAGTCAATACTCGATGGCAAAATAAACAACGGTCAAAGTCAACAACAACGTCGCTTGGCCCTTGGCCTGCACGGTACCTAGTTGCTGTATTATGATGGTCCTGATTATTTGTATATCATTGTGTTGTAGTTTTCATTACTATATTTTTACATGTGTGTGCCCTGAGGTATCTGAAAAGATACGCAGATCTGAGATATACCCTGGTCACATAAATAAACTTGTAACTTGCAATATGTTTTCAGGCATATCGGGGAATTATTGTGTTGTAGTTAAAAGAATTTGAAAGAAAAGAAATGCGTTCTATACAATTCCTATTCAGACACAACAGTACAAAGAAACTATGTACGGAATATAAATCTTACAAACGCGAACACGCCCGTAAAATACTTGCCAATGCCCTGGTGTACCTGTTGCTTCATGGGGGCCCGCATGCCCTTTTCCGTAGAGAGTAATCGGCCGTTTTGATTCTACGTAGAGAGTAGACGGACCGCTCTAATTCAACGTAGAGCGTAATTGGCGTATATTGCGTAGAGCGCACTACTAGTATTCGCCGTTTTAATTCTACGTAATGCGTTGTAGCCACTTTGAATTTGTTTGTTTGTTTGTTTGAGCCTTTATTTCAACTCGATCTGTAACTGTGTTACATGCTCTAATCGGCCGCTATTTAGCGTAAAGCGTAATCGAGAGGTTTCTGAATTCAGCGTAGAGCGTTGTCGGGAGCCCCCCATGCAGGCCCTCCTTCATACCGGGTAGCCGTTCCACCATGACCGGGCTGGCACGGTTTGAAGCCCGCCCAGGTGTGCATGGCGTTCACGTCACGCGTCCGCGAAACTGGGGAGACGACCCGTAGAGTCTAGAACTAGTCTCCCCAAGCAGGTGTTGCCTCCATAGCATGCCAAAAACTGGGGGTTTGGAGGGTCTTCAGGGTCTTTGGGAGCTTTTATGTGCTATTTTCTGATTGCATATAAACAACATAGCAACATTTAACCCCCGTTTTTTTAACTGGGCTAATCAGAAAACAGCCGAAGACCACCAAACCCCCAGCTCTATAAGCCTGCTACGGAGGCTACCCAAACCAGGTGTTAGTCTTGTTTTTGACGTTTTAAGGAGTTTTTTTTTGCGAGCTTTCTATTCCATTAGCTTTCCTTATGTATCTGGACCAGCTTGTAATGAAAAGCTGACAAAATAAAAAGCTCAACACCCCTTCCCCCTGAGCCCCCCCCCCACCCACACACACACAAACACACTAAAATGCATCATGCATGATTTCAAGACTAGGTCTTGGACTATTATATTATATACAGAAATATGAGGAAGACACCAGCTGTAGCAAGCATCATCTCATTCTTGACGTTAACTTGAGTACCGCACCTAGAGTGATAGATTGAGTAGCAAGGACACTAAATACAATAAATAACTTTAAGAGCACCTCACTGGAAAACAATAATGGTACTAAAAATATGATAATCACCTTGCTTTTGCTCGGTCTTTCTGTCTCCTCGGTAAGGCCACGGACATCACATCTCTGTATAACTTCCTTGGGAAAACCTTCCGCTCCCTCCGAGTCGGAACAGTGATTGTACCTTCTTCCGTGTCCGCCATGACTCCTGACGTAAAAGTTCTAGACTGTGCTTCAGAATTGTAAATAACCCGTAACTCCGGTTGCCACGGACGACCATTAACGATACTTAACTCCAAGCAGATGTTGGGGGGATGTCGTAACGCTTTCTGACTTTTTGTCTTCTTTCACTATCATGGCAGTGTTGGTAATTACATGTTTAGACTATTTTCTGAGAGGGGTGAAAGGAGGCTACTTACATCAGGGCCCATCACCCTTCACTCAACCGCGACGGGGGCCGACATCGTCTACCAGATACTTTTACCCAGTGTTGACGTCACACTTCAAAGAAGTGTGTGGTGACCGTAGAGTGATCGAGCGGACGTTGACACCATGCTTGAATGAATGAATGAACACTGCCTCGCCTAAGTTTAACACACGGTGGCTTTTTATACTTCTTTACTTAATAGTAAATCTTCATTACGTCTTATTTACTAATAAAATGCCAAGTAAGATAAAAGAGGACCATAAGAAATACTAATACATAATCTGGACCCATCCATTTTGTTTCGAGGCTCGCGGGCCAGCTCTAATAACTCAATTCAATTCAATTCTTTATTATCATACGATTAGTAGTGATTACGAATTGCCGCCGATTGCGAATTACGTTAAATTCTCAGAGCTGATTACGACTTTAAGCTTTGCGGCTAATGTCCTCTTCGAATTACGTTCATTTTTTGGGAGGCTGCCTTCGAATTACGAAAACTAAAAAGGCCTGATTACGCCTTACGAAAAGGGGTATGCAGGCAAAAAACATTTTCGCGTTTTCATAACTATTTGATGCGGAGAGTTAGGGAGATGCAAAGGTCAAAAAAATATATTCCACATACAAACGTCTTGAGCAACACAAAAATGTTTTAAGGCTTTTTTTACACTGCCAGAACAATGCAAATGAGCCTGGTCCTTGCATCTGCTTGGAGATTAATATTCTACTATTCGTCACCAATCAATTTGACTCTCACAGCCAATGACCATATTGACGTTATGACGTACTGAAACCAGAACCTTCCAATATTACAAAAATTACCTCACCGAAACCAACAAGTCAATTAGCTAAAGAGACCCAAGTTAGTAGCACCAAGAATATTCAGGACGCCCAAGCGTTATTACAATACTTTATTTGTTGTGTATTGTTAAAACAGTAGCCATCTCTATCGTTCAGTATGGCTGGGTCGACAGCATTTTTCAGACGTTACTTTTATGTCAGTTTATGTAAAAGTTGGACCGAAACTTGGGCTGTTTGGAGAGTGAAAGAGACCCTGGCTGAGGTGAATTGCAGTGGCTAAATCATTTTGCAGGTGAGGATATTTCTATATTTTAGTTTTGGATGATGGCTGCATGTACTTTTGAAGTAGAAAAAAATACTCAACATATGCAGCAGGGACGACGTCTTTTTTCCATGTTAATATATTACGGTTCGTTGTTTACGTTGGTTTCGATATCAAACATTGCTACGAAACTAGCGTTTTGTTCCAAGTTCTGCCGCGGTGCGGCACCTGTTCACCTAGATCCTTGTTCCAATTTAAAATTTTCACAGCAGCTTAGGTTTGTCTTGCCTTGTAGCGTATTTACATGAATTTTTAGGCGAAGATTTAAACCACGAAAATTCTGCTTGGCTAACGGTGACGTAACTTGTGTGTACGTCACGGGGAATCCCCTTCGTCATACGTTTTCCCCCGCATGCGCAGTGTAGACTGGACACATGACGTATCCGGGGATTCCCCCCTCCCCATAATTTTCACCAACGCACCTGAAAAATGGCGTCGTTGGTAAAGTTTTCTAGAAAAATCGCTTTTATAAGCCCCAGAAGACCACTAGAATGTCTGTTTCTCCTGGGCATGGTAACGGTAGGTTCCAATGTCGATTGTTATTGTTGAATGGTGACCTTCCTTTTCTCACGTTCAGTGTTATAGTCCATTCCACACACTCCGTTTTGGTACAAACAACAAACGACATGCCATAGACTTTCATCATGTTTTTCCTCCCTCAATTTTAGCCCTTAGAATCGTGTCAACCGGTCGGTAGAGTCATGGAAATGCCCCCAGTCAGTTCTATGATGCTTTAGGTCGATATTAGGACAAGTGTTCGCGATAGATTTATTTTATATCCTAGCCGTGGCGACTCTTGATTCGGGCTTACATTGCAATGTAAGCCCGAATCAAGAGTCGCCACGGCTACTTATATCCCAACCTTCAGTCAACAGAACCAAAACTTCATGTATCTTTTCTTCTTCTTGTGTCTAATGTTATATTGAAGCCCTGCGTTAGAAATGTTAACTTGACACTTGTGAATGTCTATACTTATGTTGATGTAACTCCATTTACTAATAGATTATCTAGACTGTATAGACCACTGGTCTATTCTGTATTAGAGTGTGATTTTCTACTAAGATTAAGATTTGTTAGCCAGGCTGTGTATTTTGTGTGAACATGACGTCATCAGGCAGCCATTTTGGCACCCAGGGAAAAACCTGGAAAAAATCCCCAGCTTGTTTTTTTGCAAACACCTCAAGAAGGGCCTTTTGAGAGCCGGATACATGTATTTATGCAAATACATGTATAATACTCAGCCTCCTTGAATCTTTTCCCATTATTAAGTCCAGACTTTCCAAACAAACTTCTGCAGGTTACCCTTGCTGCTACAGCTCAGCATCCTGAGTACCAAACAGTGGGGGGATGGAGCTGTCACATGTGTCCCAGAGGTAAGCTGCAGGACACATACTTTGAGTCATTTGTTATATTAAAAATCTTTAAGTGTTTATGGTGTTTTTGCTTGTTTCTTTCTGTGACCTCTCCATGTAGCAAATTGATGACATTGAATTGGGACAATGCATCTCTCGGTGTTTTTGTAACAGAACTGTTACACCCGTAAACTTGAGAACCTTTCCCCTTCTACCTTCAGTTGAAAATATTCCTATCTAATTCACTTACTAGTACAGCAATATAACATGCTACTACTGTGTGCCTGCAAAGCTTTTAGTGTGTTATGCCAGCTGATGACCAATTCAGGCATATTACTAGTTATATATATATATATATATAATAATAAACAAGAGCTCCTAGAGTGATGCCCAAGTTGATCTGAGCAACTTTCCCGTTTTTCCAGGTACGTTTGTTTCCCAAGACTGTACATCAGATGACCCAGCATCTACAGTCTGCACAAACTGCAGTGAGGGAAGGTTCCAGCCCAGCGAGTGGACCAATGAGAGGAGGTGTTACACCTGTGACGAGTGTGACCCTGGACTAGACGGCAGTCTGGGAGGAGAACCGCTCGAAGAGTGTACCATATATCAGGTGGGAGGGTTATATAGAATGGGTTATTTTTTTAAGGAAAAGTCACCAAGTTTGGTGGCCCTAGCCCAAGCCGTTCGCACGCTATCTGACATCAAAGTTGGTGCGGGCACTTTTAGCCCCCCTCCAGTCTAGATAGGGTTAATACCAGGTATGGAAGTGTATTGTGCTGGGTGGCTGAGCTGTGGGTTTGTGTGTCTGTCTGTTTGTCTGGACAGAGCAGGTTGACAGCAGGTAGGTTGGGGAAGATAATGGCATGCAAAATAACAGGATGCCAAGTTCCAAGAATCTGCCTGGGAGCCAGTAGGAATTAGAGGTCAACATGGGGAAATTCAGGAAGCTGAGGAAATCGCATTAGCTTTCCAGAATTCTGAAATCTCTCAGTTACATGTATGTCTAATCTTTATTAGTCTTTTTGAGTTGGACTCAACTTACTAGTGGGCATCAGAATTGTTTTGACATGTGTAATTGGCAGCTGTTGAGACATCAGATTCTGAATCTTCTCATTTCTTGCATAGGAAAATAATGTTAAGTTAATAAAGTTAAGAAAAAAACTGTTCCCTATAAGAAGAATTTACATCTTATACTAAGTTATAGGAAAAGGAGCAGATAGCTCTGTGTGTGAGGGAGGCTCATTGTAATCAACTGTTCTTACACTCTTTGTTTTTCCAGAATGCCATCTGTAGATGTCCAGATGAGTTCTACTGGTCACAACCAAACCGCCGATGTACGGCAGTCACAGAATGTCCTCCAGGTCAGGGGGTCACGCACACAGGTCAGTTTGAAACTTTTAAAACCTTTTTTCAATTTTGTAAGTTTAGTAAAACTGTACAGTTGTAGCCTGAGTGGGTACCATCCAGATTTTTGCTCTGCAACACTTGCGTAACGAACAAAAAAGAAATTTACCGAGTGAGTAACGAACAAAAAAGAAATTCACAAAAAATCAGCAAAATCTGAAATATGTCATGGAGGTACAGTCGTGTATGAAGTCTCTGATTTCTTCTTTACAAGTCTTTCTTTTCCATTAATAGCTTAGTAACAAAAGAAATTCATCAAGAATCAGCAAAATATGATATATGTCATGGAGGTGTAACAGTGGGGGGTTTATAGGCACTACCAACTGACCCGGCTGATGGGTCTAGAACTTTTTGGCCGAGCAGTTACTAGTAGAGAGTCGGACTGGTGCCCGGGAGGTCATGGGTTCGAACCCCGGCCCGGGACCATTGGGTTTCTTTCTGTTTCTACTGGCTCCTCCTGTTTCTTACAGACTGAGGTACAGTCATGAACGAAATCTCCGATTTCTTTTTATGTTAACCGAAGGAAAACATATTGTTTTTACTCAATTTCCTCTTCCTCGTCTTCTTCTCCAAACGCTAACCTCTGACCTGGCCAATGACATGATTTGTTGACGTCTGTCACCATGGTGACTGGTGTTGGGTAAAATAATGTTGCAAACTTAATAGTCTGCTCTGCTCCTGTCACAATATACTAGTAGCGCATGTATGTGAATGTGTTTGAGTAAAAATCAACAGGGCAGACCATGTCCAAAGGTAAACATTATGCATTTGCTTTGCAAATGTTACTTCTCTAGCTTACAAGTCTTTCTTTCCCATGAATAGCCACCATAGTGGCAGACACAGAGTGCGAGCCGTGCAGACCGCAGGCCTTCTCTGCCACGTCATCGGCAGAGGAAACTTGCGCCCCCTGTCTGATTTGTGAGGAATTGCAGCGGGAGGTGTCGCCCTGCAACCAAACACACGACAGGGTCTGCCAGAACATCTCCATGCCAACAGGTGAGTGATTGTTTTTTAGGAGAATTTTCTGAAATAGAATTTATTTGTGAGACTTACATGTAGTCACTAAGCTAAGCTACTACTTCTACTATATAATAATATAATAAGAAATAGATACTCCTATAATGTTTACACACCGAAGTTTGCTATAGATAGAATTCTGATGCATAGGTGAATATAATTAACATAATCCAGATTGACAAAGACACCAAGCCTGGTAGTGTCCATTTCCAAGTGGTCCTTTAGCAAGCACAGGGAGCTTGAAGAAAATTTTCAAAGTCAAGACGCATTGGTAAATGGTAATTTAGTTATTGTGGATCACTGGCCACTTGTAAAAGTACCACTACTAGTTACAGATCTGATTGCACTGAGCATCACTGAACATGCTTTCTACAAATGTCTACAAGTTTTTTTCTGTATTCCCCATTTTAGGTATCCCCCCTACAGTCAAACATCCCCAAGAGGTGTCAAACAATGAGGGAACCCAGGAGGACAAGACAGTGGCTATTGTTGCACCAATAGCAGTGGTAGCAGTGGTAGGGGCACTCATAGTACTAGTGGGCCTCATCTACTACAAACAGTCTCCCAGATGCAGGGAACCCAATGATGAGGAGGGGAACATCCCACGAGACAACCAAGAGCTACTTAATGGCAGTAACTCATGTATGTTGTGTGTTACATGACTGTATCTGTATTCTGTATAAGCCAGCCTAACCACCCCTCAGTGTTAAATACAATGAAAAAAAGATTGTCGCATTCAAATTGTTATTTGAAAAGATACCGAATGACTAGCTTCAAGACAAGTACAATGTACTTCTACTAAGTAACAGTAAATTATGTGACTAATGTACTTCATGTATAAAACTGGTGTGATATGCCTTAAGGTAGTATATCAGTTATATGATTCAAACATATTATTATAATAGTTTCTCATTTTGTCTCATGTACATGTACATGTAGCTACAAGAAGCTCCAGTATTTCTACAGAAAAATTGTGCAACTTGTACTTAATGTACAAAACTGGTGTGTTACGCATTAAGTTAAGGAACTATATATCAGTTACACTGTATATAATGAAAAGGTGTGATTTTATAGTATCCAATTTGTCTCCTGTAGCTACAAGAAGCTCCAGTACTGGTTCCAGAGAAGATGCCGTGTCTCCTGGTAGCATCTCCACCCGAGGTGGGGACAGTCTGGAGTACGAGAGTGAGCCAGGGAAGTCCTGCGGGGCAACACCATTCAGAGATGACGGAGCTACCATGGATGAAGCTGATGGTCCTGGTAGGTCGTTCTTTCACCTGTCTGCTGAGGTAGCCTCTTGGTTCTGAGTATCTGTATCTGTATAGCCGGTATAACCGCCCTTTGGCGTAACACACCAGCTTCGCAGGCACGCAGCGCGACGGCAGCTAGCTATATCACACCGAACGGCTTGTAGCTTTGGTGGTGAGATCTTTTTTTCCATTTTTTTATCAGTTCAATGCATCTTCAGTTATCAATTCTATGACAGCAAACAGGAGCTTTTGGTAGGGATATCAATATTAACTTCACCAAGTCAGCTTGATTGCAAAGCTGTAGTAGGAAAGAACAGGCTTGTTCGAAGTCTGTTCTTCCTTGCAGTCACGTTCAACTTAATGCCAGGTACGTTGCTGTCAGTGTTCTCACTGGGATTTTTTCACAGCGTAGGGGTCAGGTACAGAAGGGCAACTTTCTGTGGCACCAGTCGCGAATTGAGTCCCAAAAACGTGACGCCAGCAGGGGTCTGGTATCCTCCACCAAAAAATTTTGTAACTCATAACCCCCTGAGACACTATTTCTTGTATATTGGGGGACAGATAACTTTTAAACCTTTGCCTCCAAATTGTCAAATTGCCTCAACACAGTCAAGAAGGCTTTTCAAGCAATAATGACCATACACACACACAGCGTTACTGATAACTTGTACTGTGAATTTGAAGTATCTTAAATATTCACTAAATGATAATGTGTTTTGAAGCAAATATTGACACCTGTTCCACCAAATTTTCTCTCCATTTTGTCCAGCTGATGAGACGTACCCGAAGTCGTTTGCCCTTGAGCCTGAAGGTGATGACTCCATGCCTGTCCAGGAGACGGCTGGACAGGCTAGCGCTGGGCCTGAGTCTTACCAGGACTCACAGGATCCTCCTCAGTCACTGGAGAAGATCGAGAAAGGTTTGTACACACACGTACTTCTTTGTTTGTTATGTGTTTGTTAAGTCTTGACCTGTACCTAGACCGTCGTGGCATGTCAATGTACAATAAAGGTCTTTCATTATCATTTCTTAATCTTACATAGGCTAGAGGCTCCACCTGGTGTTTGCCTATTGTACTGCAGTTCTGTGTACACCTTGTACATACATTTTGTACATAGTAAATACACTGTACAGACTTCATAGGATGAGATGAAGGTGACAGACTAACTCTACATAGGTTAGAGGCTCTACCTAGTGGTTATCAATGGTACTGCAGTACATGTTGTGCTTACACACTGTCAAGACCTCTTACATAGGCTAGAGGCACCACCTGTCAATGCTACTAACAGTAATTCTAATCTTATCATTAATTGGTGCACAACATCTACAGTCAAATTTAACCTAAGAAGACCATTCGGAGGGGCTGGTCTCTGTTGACAGGTGGTCACTACAGTGTTAGACAGGATTTTTAAGTGCTTGTTTCAATGGGGAAAATTATCCAAGGGACCACCAAAAAGTGATTACTGGTCTAATCCTTTAGTTAGCAATCAACTACCGGCAAAGTTGTAGGGACTTTCTGGTGAAATGAACAGACAATGTTTTAACACATGCATATAAGACTACCAAGGGTAAAAACTTCTTTTCTTGTCCCACAGAATCTGCCGGCTATGCAGTTTCAGAGATCCCTGATGTTCCCTGTGCAACTCGACTGGGCCCCACCCCCGTATACCCCACCCCTGACCAAATAAGGGCAATAGGAGATGGGTCCAGTGATGTGGGCATTGTTGGCACCAGAGTTTGATGAGGTTGGGAGTAACCTCCATGGCAGGCTTTGGATGAATTTTCCTCCTCCTCCTTTTTAACCTCTAGCACACTGAAATAAAAGTTTACTTTTACTATTTAACTGAATTTTCTTTTAGTTACAGATGAACATTTATCATGTTGTTTTCTGATTGGTGCTTAGTGAATATTTTTGAGAAAAGTAATAGTTCAACAGTTGACATTATGCTAGAGAAGCAGGAGTATGGTAGGAATCAGAAAGCAGCATGAATTTAGCCAATAAAGGACGATATTCAAAATTTCACTTTTTAAATTTTCACATTGAGCCTGCTATGGAGGTCAGAGTGACTTCTCAACACTGGGATTGTTGCATGTCAGTTTCCATTAAGTTCAATGTCATGCACTTGTGCCCTATATAGCTACAAAGTCAAACAAAGATGTCAGAAGAACTAAAGTTCTGTCACTGTTACGAAGTCAATATAAGGCCTAGGAAAAAAGGAAACACAAAATTTTTTTCTTAGGCCTATATAGAAATACACAGACTTTGATGTGATATCTGAATGCCAGGTGGCAAGGTGGTCTTGTGGCTTAACAGGACCAAGTGTTGTGCCCTTGGGAAAGGCACTTAACACCTATTTCCCTCCTAACTACAGTTAAAGGTACTAATTTCCCAGGTGCATATTAGTGCCTAACTTCAGTTAGGGACATCCTTTGGTGTGTTGCTTTGGTGTGTTACTGTTTATTTGAATCATTTAGCAACATTTAGCTTCTCATGCTGCACTAATGCTTGTTTTGTCATTTTTTTTTCTAAACCAATTTAATTGCTGGTTCTCAGATTTTTTCAGAATGAATATGAAGCGACAGGATGAAATTTAAAAAAAAAGACCCAGGCATCCCATTGGTACATGTAGCCCAAAATGTTACAATGGAGCCATAAAGTCAACGTATTACTTGGGTTGGGTTATAACACATACAATGAATTTTGAACTTTTAATGAAACCACTGCATTGTTGTCAACTCACGAAAAAAATTAACAACTATAGGAAGACAAGGACTTTCTTCAGCTGCTAGGACCAAAATATAAGCATTTTGGAGTTGATTCAGGACCCCACTTTTTTTTTTGCAAAAAAAAAAAATTAGAGGCAAATTAGAGAACAAACAATTAAATTGGTGTGGCCTAAACACCTTTGTATACATGTATTATAAAGTAATAATAATAATTATAGTTTTTTTTGTATATATAATTGATGAAATTTTATTTGATGGTTTATATGCATATAAACCATCATGAGTTATTATTTCTGTCCAAAGAGTTTTAAGACTGCTGTTTTGTATATATATGCAAGGTCTTATGTTGCAAGTACACTGCTGCTTACTTGTAGTGTGGATTTGTTTTGGTACCAATAGTTTTATCATATAATAATAAACAAATATATACATGTAGACAGGACTCTAGCCAGCTCAAAATTTTGTTTCGTCATTCCACATTCATGAATTGACCTGAGGTAAGAGTGCCCACAATCTAGGAGGGTCCTGGGGCAAATTTTGAATTTTCAAGCCTTTAAAAATGCAATTTCCCACATTTCGTGAACCAAATCATGGGGTTGAGAGGGGTTGTCAGTGGTCCGTTGGATATTTTTATATTTTACCCAAAATTTTTGTCAATTTTGTCTATCAAGGTTGACGGATTGGTTCAACTAATTTTCCGTCACATGCCACAAAGTTCCTGTAAAAAAAAAGAAAACTGGGCACTGGCTAGAACACTGCGTGTACATGTAAATAAATGTAGACCTTATCACCCTTAACCTTCTTCCTGCTGCTGAACCCTGTACTTAGATACAAACTTGTGCCAAAAGGCTACCCTGGCAGGGAGAAGGTTAAGAATTGTTCCTTATTTTTCTGGACCTGCACCAAGGGTCAGAAAACAAGTTGATTTGATTTGATTTATTGTGACTATATACAGTGTAGTGTGTTTTGTATGATAGGCCAAAAAGCAGTTACTCAAGCAACTGGATATGATTTTGGAAACCGTCAGACGTTTCAGCTAGTATCCACTAGCATTTGTCAGTGACTGAGAGACCAGAGGAGAAATGCAGGTTTGAGGTGGTATCATTATCCAATTGCTTGAGTAACTGCTTTTTGGTGTATCATATTACCTGGATGTCTAACCTTCATTGACGTGTGTTTTGTATGGTTTGCAGCATGTCAGCAGAATGTACTGCACCTGAGCAAAACCTGCAATGGATTGTGCACTTTGGCAGAACGTCTCATTTAAGGTGGTATTCCTCCTATTAAAGGATACAACATTGACCAAACATCCAACGAAAAACATGAAAAAGTCCGGGTTTTGCGAGTACATTCTGGCGACAATTGCTATATATGGGTTGCATAATTATCATTCTTGCCTGAAAAAGGAGCTGCTTCTGTAAATAGCAGATGTAGACTACATGCATGGGTTTGAAGATGACAAGTGAGAAAAAAATACAATTCAATGGCCATAAATTACATTGTAAATTAGTCTCAGAAGTTTTTTACAGTTTAAGTTTGGATTCATTTGAATTAAATTGGTCAGGTTTCCTAGCTCTAAAAGAAACAACAGCAGTTGTAAATTTGAAAGCCTCTGAATATTTGAAATTGAAAATTGAATTAAAATAAAATAAAATAACAAAATAGAATATTTGAAATCTTAAGAGAATGAAAGTGATTTGTGTATTGTCGTAATCTCATAGTATCATCATGTGCAGTCATTATAACATTATTGTCATTTTTTGTACTTCTCTGAATCCACATGTAGGTAGATTAACCTTCTCACTTCTAGGGTTGCCTATTTTGGCACCAAAGTTGTATTGACTACAGGGAATTAGGCAGCAGGGAGAAGGTTAATAATAATGAGCCATAAAACAAACAGACTTTGTACTGTGCTCAGATTTAGAGGATAACATTGAGTACATATCATGTTTACATATGTTGAAAGAAAAAAACTACGTAATACATGTTGATCACAACACTTACTGTAACATGGCATATTCTGATGTTAAAACTAATAATAGACCCCTTTCCAACTACATTGTACCAGTGCCATTTTGAAATCCACTCTCGCGAGAACACAATCTGTTGTGAGACCTGCGAGATTTGAAACTATGATTCAACAGTTCATACAAAAATGTAAGTACATGATTGTATATTATGTTGTCTGTATATATTGAAATCAAAGTTGCCCTGTATGTATTCAAGTCATTGAATCATTATACATAGAGGCAAATACAAACTGAAAAGTGCTGAGACTGAGCACTATAATACATCACAGAAGTACTTATTAATGAATTATATAATGATTTTATATGTATATTTGTGATCCAACATGTATATTTGTGAGTAGATATGTAAAATTGAAAATGACTATATCAAAAAAGACAACTTTTGTTGAATAAAGTATGAAGTCTGAAAATTTGCAGTGTACATTTTTTATTACCCCCTGTGCACGATCATTATTATTGTTACGTTATTGCTAATAGTGGCTAAAAGTGGCGTCGGTGGCGCAACGGTTAGAGCGTTGGACTCGGAACTGAGAGGTCCCGGGTTCGATACTCACCGTGGCCCGACGTTGTGCCCTTGGGAAAGGCACTTTACACGACTTCCCCACCTATATACGGTGGAGTGACGCCCACCGAGCCTCTTAGGCTAATCTGTCTGTCAGGGTGCCAAAACACCTTACGGATTTGGTGCGCTGATGTGACAACATCTCATATTGGCCACTGAGAGCCGTAAAAATTATTATTATTATTATTGCTAATGTTCTATCAGGAGTACAAAAAAATGTACAATTAATGTAATAATTGCTTGTACATGTAGGTCCAAATATCTTATAGAAATTAACATAAACGTCCGTCATCAATTATACTATGTACAAGTACCAATTTAAGATGACAGCTGTTAACTTTTTGTTTGGGGTTTGCAGCTGCACACTTGATAAATTTACGCAACATTTTGTGTTTGTGGGATACCTAAGCTAGCAGGAAAAACAAAAGAATTCTTCCTTGCCCAACTGTAGCCCATAGGAACAGACAAATCCAGGATGGAATGTTTTAATTAATAAGCTTAACTAATGAAGAAACGACAACAATACAATGGAATTTTCATGGGACAAGCAGAAATGTTGTTATGACAGAGAAAAAATTGCACCTCTGAGTCAACATTGTTACGATTTAAGCGCTGACAAGGCCCAGAAAAAGAGTATATAAAGCCAAAAGCGTCAATAGAGAACATTCAAGGATTGAATCTGGACTGAGTCAGATACACTCCAACACCTGGGCCAAGATGACTAAGGTAGGATTGTACAACTGTGCTTTTAGACTAAAACAGATTTGGTCTTTGTGTACCACATAATATGTAGCATGAATGTCAAATTGCATCAAGAATGCTAGGACGGTTGGGTTGGCCCTGCTTACGTTATAATTATATTCTTTGTATCGCTAAATGTCTATCTCGACATTTTCTGTATGCTGATTTCCTGGCACTAACTTTGCAGGAAATGTTAGGTTATACCCCTTGTTGTAACGAATACAAGCAGTGTATCGTATATATACACATGTATCAATGGAGCACCCAAACCTTCAAACAAACTCTTTTTGGAGCTTATTAAATGACGTTTTCTAAACTACTCTTCTTCCAGATTTCTCTGTACCTGGTGTCTGGTATCTTACTACTGACCAGCAGTCTTGCAACAACTTCTACAGTGCCTCCCAAGACGCAACATATTGCAGGTAAAACTTTGCAAAATAGGCCATGTTGATTTTGATTTATATGGATGACATTCTCGATCTGGGAACCCCAAAACTGATGCGAGCGTTCGAATAAAAAAAAAGTTTGGCAAAAGAGAAAAGTCGCCTTCATTATGAAATCTAATTAAGTGGTAAAAAAAAACATTACAATCCGTGTTTTTAACCATTTTGTAGTAACCGCAAGTCATATGAGGGCACATCCCCCGTGAATGAGCACACTGGTAGTCCTCTTCGACAACGAAGGACTACCAAGAGTAACCGCAAATTCTGCACTATGTATTCTTTATCATCTATATTCTTTAACTTTATCAAAATGCTCCTAAATTGAGCTGTTTTTTTTTGTCTGCACAGCTGAAAAAAAATATTTTCATTATATAATAATATTATACTCTTACTTTTACAGATGAAACTGTGAACCCCATCTACCAGGAGGCTCCACAGCAGCACACTGAAGTTGAAAGCCACGGCCATAGGAACAATGTTCCTTTTGGTGCTGCTCACTTCCACGACTGCGCATCCCTCTTCCCTCTACTCTACTGGACCAACGCCATGCAGAACGGAGTCTTCTCCATCCAAACTAGTACTGGGTCTTCCACCGACCACTTTGATGTCTACTGTGACATGACTACAGATAGTGGGGGCTGGACTGTCATACAGAGGAGGATCAACGGGACTCTTAACTTTGACAGGCGTTGGGCGGACTACAAGAACGGGTTTGGGAGGGTCGAGGGGGAACACTGGCTTGGACTGGATAAAATTCACAACCTGACATCCCAGAATAGCTATGAGTTGTATGTGGAGTTAGAGGATTGGGAAGGAAACTTTGCACATGCTAAATACGATACCTTCAGCATTGGGGATGAGAGTGCAGATTATACACTGAACATTGGGGGGTACAGTGGGGATGCTGGAGACTCTATGAACAGCCAATACAATAACGGTAGGAAATTCAGCGCTAGAGAGACAGACAATGATGAGGCTGGCCATGATTGTGCTCAGTTGTTCTCAGGTGGTTGGTGGTACAGCAACTGTGGTTACTCTGCCCTGAACGCAGCCTACTTCCAGCCAGAGGACTACCATGGGGCTGATACAGGGTACGGTGTTCTCTGGTACCATTGGAAAAACAGCCTGTACTCCCCACTAAAAGCCACCAAGATGATGGTCCGTCCTCGCAACTTTGTCCAAAAGCTACTCTTATGTAATTATAGCTAGTAGCACCCTTTCAATACAATGTCAACACTTAGTCTCGGGCCTAGTCTCGCGCTCTCGCGAGATTAGGCCACTCTGTAAACAAGATGGACTGATAGCCATCGAAAATTTGGAGGTTAGTATCCTTATCCTTCCAACTTTTAATTGTCACTGATGAAAGAATTCACTAGAAAATGTCAACACTAGAAGGTAACATTTGCAAGGCAAATGCATAATGTTTACCTTCGCATTTGGTTTTCTATATATATAGTCAGACAGGAGTCTAAATCCCTCCTACATGTGGTAGTAACAACCTCTGACATCACCGGTCACTTACTATACATAGTCTAATTTGTGTCACTGATGAAAGCTAGTGGATGCTACCTGAAATGTCTGACCGTTTCCAAAATCATATCCAGTTGCTTGAGTAACTGTTTTTTGGCATAGTTTAATCTGATTGAGATAGCTATATGTGAGTCAAGATGATATCATGATGTATTATTTATAATACTATGATTCACAGATCATTGTAGAATTTGAAGCCTAATTCAACTACAAATGTAATTTCTTTTCCAATGGCAATGCATTAACTACTACCGGTATACCATTTCCAAAAATTAACAAACAATTATATTGACCATCAGTAATTAATCTCCAAGCAGATGTATTGGTTTCACTTCTTCCATGGCCTTTTCGTTGTTCACTGCTCTCAAAGCACAGAGACCAGAGTCAGGTAGAGGAAAGTGAACATAATAAAACCTGCAAATGCCTTAGTAGTAGAGAGACATTAAAAAGGAGAGATTTTGTTTCACTGTTGCAGCTACACAATCTTTAATTCATAGGGAGATGGATGGAAGCAGAAGTACAAATGTATGTATGGTACAATTTGTGATGTCTGTAATTCTTTACTTCTGTGATTATTTGAATACATCTGCAAGGAAACTCAAGTAGACCTGTGGTACATTTTTGGAAATATCCTATCAGATGCATACAAATGTACATTGTAGCTGTGAGCAGCCTTGCCTCTGTGTTTGTGTGTTTAATCTTCATCTAGATACAACAGTATCATCATACTACAGCCTTTAAACCTGCCAAAACAGAGGAAAAGCGGCAATACAATTATTAAAAGCAGAGAAATTGCATATCTTTTTCAGCTGTCCTAATTATAAGCTGAGTAAGATCACGCAGAATATATAGTCCACAACATCATTCGCAAGAAAACCTTTACTAGCACAAATTTGCCATCCTAATCCTCAAGAAATTCCTTCCAAATTCACTCCACCCGAATTCTGTAAGTGCAAAATTTCTGCTCCCATTTTCTGTATTATCCTCCTCCTCCCATTTTCCATCTTCTCCTCCCCCTTGTTGAGTGACTTTACTCTTCTTCCTCCTCTTCTCCATGGCCATGGCCATGTCCACCAGTTGGCGCTGGCTCTAATTGGCTGGCTGCGCCCACCTGACAAAGGCCAATGAGAATTTGTTAATAATTCCATCACGTTAGTTCATGTATACGAAGGTTTTTTCGGGTGTGAAACCCCCGGTTTATTGTCAAATAAAGAACCTCCTTAATAAATGTACAACCAATGAGACATTTCTAATTGTAAACCGATTTTGGGTGGCTAGATGTTGGGCGGGTGGCAACCAAAAATGAAATAAAAATATGGACACCACCTAGCCTCCATAGCATGCCAAAAACTGGGGGTTTTGGGGGTCTTCATGGTCTTTGGGAGCTTTTATGTGCTATTTTCTAAATGCATATAGAAAATACCCCCGTTTTTTAATCAAAAACAGCCGAAGATCACCAAACCCCCAGTTCTATAAGCCTGCTAAGGAGGCTAGACACCACCATGGCAGTCAGTATGCACATGAAAGTGAGTAGAAGTATGGAGCTTACAAAAGTGACGACGGCTCCGATGAAGACGATGTAGAAGCTGTAGTGCCAGAAGTCCATGCCGGGCGTCAGCGTGGCGTTCACTTTGTCCCGGATGGAGCCGATGTGAGCCTGGTCCGCCATGGCCTGGCGCTTTGCAGCAGCCGGGTCAGCTGTAAGAGCAACTCAGGAACTTAGATAACTTCTAGCCAAACTCCTGCATGCTTCATGCACGAATGGGAGAAAACAACATGTATTACAAATGTATGCCTGTATACTAGCACAGTAGCACTACATTTGTAATAACATGTGTCTTTGTGTGTGAACATGTGTCTCTGTTCAACTTCTTAAGTTGTGTGTCTGTATGTCTGTGTGCATGTGTATGTATATGTGTGTTTGTGTGCATATGTGTATATTTATATGCATGTGTGTGTGTGTGTGTTTCTGATGTACATGTATGTGTGTCTGTACTCTATATGTGTGTGTGCGTGTGTGTGTGTCTGTATGCATGTGTGCCTCTGTATGTGTGTGTGTGTGTGTTTATGTGTGTCTGTATTTGTGTGTGTGTGTCTGTGTGTTTGTGTCTGGATGTGTGTGTGCGTGTGTCTGTGTGTGTGTGTGTCTGTATGCATGCGTGCATCTGTATGTGTGTGCGTGTGTGTCTGTATGCGTGTTTGTATGTGTGCGTGTGTGTGTGTTTCTGCATGTATATGTATGTGTGTGCGTGTGTCTGTATTTGTGTGTAGGGGATTCAGTAGACTGACCAGCGAGTTTTCTCCTTGCAGTGTGCAGCAGCCGTCCCTGTCCGCCCGCAAGACTTTTGCCTGCCACGAGACCGCGGGTGGCAACAAGACGCAGGGCTGATCCAAGACTCGCCATCTTAGACAACTGTAATGGAAGATAAGATTGTGCAAATTGTTGGCAGGGAAATTACCAAGTATACATGCATACTACATGTATGAATGTGAAGCTTCGCACTCCATGATATATAGACATTAAAATTCATGCAAGTGGTTGGGTGCTTTATCCCAACTGACAGGGTCTTTTCCAGTTTTGATTGGGTGCTTTTATGAAAAATTCGCAAAATAATTTTGGGAGCTTATGTTCCTTAAAATTATGGCACTGTAGCTGCCATGTCAATTGAATGCCTAATGATTTCCCACTAACTTCAGATCATATTTTTTTAGTAGTAGTAATTTAGACTTGGCCGTTTGAACTCAAGCTCAGAACAAAAAGGCAAGCCCAGCATACAGTGACGTAGCCTCCACGTGACTGTTGGCCGACCTTGGTTGTGGCCCGTTTTGAATTTAAGTTGTTGTCTAGGAGTCTGATTTAGCCTGGGTGACCTTGAACTTGGCCACGACCGTCCGACGACCTGTCCATCCGGAATACGAGGCAAGGTCACACCACTGCAAAAATAAGGGGTGGCAACTTGACGTGATATTTCACTTTGATAAAAGAATTTTGCCCCTTCCTAGATTTCCAACATTCTCTTACATGGTCCTAACAGTACCTAGACTAAAGTTAGCATTGTTTAAACCCACCTTTTAACGAAAATGTGGAACGTTTAGCGTAAAATTGTAGCAGCTCTGGAAGTTTCGACCAGACCACCTTCTTTGGCGTCACCTTGTGGTAACCTTTGCCCTCTGACCCTTTCTCCTGGTTTACCGCCAACAATGGGTCTCGATCCCAGAGTACTACGCCGAAAAATGCAGCTTTTTGAAGCTAATACCTCATCAGAAAATCTTTAAGATGTTTTTTGCTTTTTGTTCCTAAGATTAGTAACATTTTATTTTTCTTCAGACTTTTCTAGCAGTTACTTTCATAAAGATTTCACGTTGAAATTCTGAAGTTCAAACAAATCTCGCTAGATGGCGCTGTAGATGCAGGCTACCCTGGGTACGAGTGGCACATGCGTACTACTGTATCGTTTGTGTCTTTGCCGAATCATCGTGATCTACCGTTCGTTTGTTTTCTTCATTTTGGGGCCGCATTTTTCCTCAACAACAATGAAACTAACCGTGTACACCCTCGACGATAAGATGTTTACACTCGACGTGGCAGCGGAACTGGAACTAGAGAACTTCAAAGCGCTGTGCGAGTTCGAATGTGGGGGGATTCCGGCCCGGGAGATCGCGATCCTGAACAACGGAGTTCCCCTGAGGGACGACAAGAAGACTTTGGGAGCCTTCGGGCTGAAGGACGGGGATGTCGTGGTGTTACAGAGGATGAGAAACCAGCAGGCGACGTCTCAGGGCCAGCCAGCCGCTGCAGGTGATCTACTTTGTGTTAAATTATTATTCTTTCGTATAGATATATTATAATGTGACACGTACAGTCGTTAACCCTATTTTCAGGACAACAAATTTATGTCAACATTCTGACATAAATAAAATAGAAAATGTGTGTCTCAAACCAAGGACATTCTCAAACAGGAGTTTCCTAAATTGAAATGGTCTTTGTAGGTAGCGAAGGCTTTCAAAAATCTAATAACTTGTATGAAGTACGAAGCTTAGAACTTTATACAAATCTATTTTTAAAAAAAGAAGAAAATTATAGAAAAATGCCAGACTAGGTGACAAATTATATAGCACTTATTCAAGTTGTTGTGTACAGAATAGACAACAAAGAAATCTATCTCCAAGTAGATGTTGGCTGCAGGGTAAATTGTTACTCGTATGTTTTCTTTCTATCCTTTGATTCCTTGTCCGTGACGTATCACTGAGGAGGAGGTAATAATAAAATAGCTCTTGTGTTTTCTCCAGGAGGGCTTCCTTTCTCAAACATGTTTGACTTCAGCAACATCCAAGTCCCAGGCACAGCATCATCATCATCATCACAGCAAGCGTCAAGGTCACAGCAACGACCTCCACCAGCCCGCCAGCCGCAGAGACCAGCGGAGGAGCCGGACCCAGCCTCGCTACTGGAGCTGCTCAGGAACAGTCCACACGACAGGGCACTGCTCAAGGAGCGCAACCCGCCACTGTCTGAGGCTGTGGAGTCTGGGGACTTAGGTAATTATATAACCATTTATGTCCTACCTGGGCCGCGATTACGTTCGATACGGGTGTCCCGGCCCGTGTGATAACTAGCGGTACGGCCCGGGGGTTCTTAACGCGTACGGCCCGGGGCTTCCAAATGTTCCATAGGACGATTCGAACGCGTTTCGCCCTAACCGCGTGCAACGCTTTCGAAAATTCGAATGCAAAATTCGGACGTTGGAATTGATGTTGTTGCACTTTTTGGGTTTAGGGACAACAACTTTCTGCTCATTTTGCATTGAAAGGCGTGTTTTCTTGGGTGGGTATGACATAAATAAAATACAACACGGTGTATTCCGCATCACCCTCGGTCCCAGCCCTCCCGCGGATCGGATCTCCCTCCGGCCTTCGGCCGTCGGGCGATCCGACGCGCGGTCGGGCTGGCACCTCGGGCGATACGGAATACCCCGTGTTGTATTCTATATGTACGATGTACACTCAGACACACACACACACACAGTGACACACACATGTAGAGACACACAGACACACACAGACACACACTCTTACACACACACTCACACTTACATAAGCACACACACACACTCACACAGGAACAGTCCACTCAACAGGGCACTGCTGAAGGAACGCAACCCTCCGCTGTCTGAGGCTGTGGAGTCTGGAGACTTAGGTAAACACTCACACTAGTAACAGGAACATATGCACACACAGACACACACACACACCCACAGGAACAGTCCACACGACAGGGCACTGCTCAAGGAGCGCAACCCTCCGCTGTCTGAGGCTGTGGAGTCTGGGGATTTAGGTAAACATTTGTAGACACTATCAGACACACACACACACACACTTACACACACAGATATACACACATGCACACACACACACACTATTCATTATTAATGACTAAAGGAACTGGATATCTACACAAAAATAAAATTTCTCATATGATTACATGTACATGTATCAACATTGTTGCTTTATAATTCACATATATCCAATCGTCTATAATCTCTATATGGATAGCCCCTTCAGCCAAATACCTGTATTTTAGAGGGAGCATTAATCATTCACTCAGAACCAATGCATTTGCCACAAGCACAAACTTAAGAAACTCCAATGGTTCAGTAACAGTAAGTTATCCCTCTTCCTTTGCACAGCCAAGTTTACAGAAGTGCTGACTCAGCAACGTAAGGAGCGGGCTGAGAAGGAGGCTCAGAGAATCCGTCTCCTCACCGCCGACCCGTTCGACCCTGAAGTACAGAGGCTCATTAACGAGGAAATACAGTAAGTTTTGTACAATCAAGGAATGATGAAAGGCCTTGGTTACAATGTTGCACACTGGGCGAAGTACATGTACACTACAGGTCATCATATTGAAAGTTTATCGCACCTTCTTGCCCAGACGCTATTTGCAGGTGCACAAGAATAAAAAGAACGGAAAATGGATAACAACACGTAGCATTTGACTACTGAGACTACAATAAATTTTTGAGTCATTTTTTTTACACAAAATTTTTGCACTTTCAAACATGTTCAAAATGTATTAATACAAGCTAGCTAGCTAGCATAACGTAAATTCAATTTCTTGCTTTTTAGTGAAACAGTTAAGGAACAGATATGTTTTACAATGGAAGGCTTGTCTAACGATATGGTTGGTACAAGTCCTAGTTATGTCTTGAGTACTGTATTTCTTTTTATCTTTCCCTACAGGCAGAAAAACATAGAGGAAAACATGAATGTGGCCATGGAAGAAATGCCGGAGAGTTTTGGACAAGTTGTGATGCTTTACATTGACTGTATGGTGAACGGGCATCCAGTCAAGGCATTCGTAGACTCAGGTACTTACGTAAATAACTTGCATACTAATATAATATACATGTACCTATACATGATAGCCAATCTTGCTGGCAACAAGAGGCAGTGGACTCTTGCAGTCGATTGCACCACAGCCAACTGATGATAATACTAATACATATATATATATAGGTGTATTATGTACTGGTGGATGTGCAGTTGTGGACTTACCTACCTAAATACATGTACCTACCTTGTCCTTTGACCTCCTGGTGGACTTACATGTAGGTACATGTATGTCTGTTTACATGAGAGAGGTACTACTGTGAGTGTGATACATGATTGTATATAGTACATTGTAATACAGTAAATTGTACTTTAGACATATTGTTCACAGCAATGTAAAGTTGATGCCATAATCACAGCTATAAGAGTATAAGGTGTTTGTAAGTATTGTAATATTTACTGATTGTCCCCGCAGGTGCCCAGATGACCATCATGAGTAAAGCCTGTGCTGAGAGGTGTAACATCATGAGGCTGGTGGACAAGAGATGGGCCGGCATCGCCAAGGGAGTCGGCACACAGAAAATCATCGGCAGGGTACATGTGGGTAAGGAAGAGTCATTTTATTTTACTCTACATGTATCTTATCTATCTTACCAGTCGGACACACACACTTTCCAAGCCCAATGCAGTACTTTGTACTAGTCTGTACTGAATCAGAGAGAGCAAGATACACGTTACGAGTAACATCTACACTCAGATCCTTGACCTGTTTTTAGATCTCCCTGAATACATAAAAAGCTATTCTGTAAAAAAACACAGTACTTTACTCCTGTTCTCTTAATCCAGACAAAAGATATATATAGAAGAAATGACATACAGGCAAGCAAATGTATTACAATGTATGTACAACTTATAATCTTTCACCCACCAATCACTTTTTGTCATGGATTTTTGTAAAGAAATTTTTTAAATATTTTTTCTGCAGCTCAGATCCAGATCCAGTCTGCCTACCTGCAGTCTTCGTTCTCTGTACTGGAGGACCAGCCCATGGACATGCTGCTGGGACTGGACATGCTCAGGAGACACCAGGTGAGGTAACACCCCCATACATACCCTCATACATACTCTACACCCCCATCCCACCAACAGTACAAACCCCCATACAGACCTTCATACACACACACCAGCCAATGGACATGCTGCTGGGACTGGACATGCTCAGGAGACACCAGGTAACACCCCTGAATTACATCCCCCTTCACACATATACATTTTACACACTCGCACACATGCTTAGACACATACTGGCTCAGGAGACATCAAAATCCCCAAATAATACACTACACACACACACACACACACACACACACACACACATACACACATTTTTCTTGTAAAACAGTACATAAACATTCCCCTACAAGCTGCCAAGGATTGCATTTGGCATTTAGTTGTTATACAGTGTTAGCTAAAGTCAGGATTGTTTTCTATACATTAATGTTGTTTCCTCCCCCCTTCAGTGCACAATTGATCTGAAGAAGAATGTTTTACTGATCGGGTCGAGCGGCACAGAAACCCCGTTCCTGAGTGAAGCAGACCTGCCGGAGTGCGCACGGTTACATCGCCAGATCTCCGACTCCAGTCTGACCGACCAGGAGAGGGAGGACAGGGCTCTGGCTGAGGCCTTGGCTAAATCCGCAGAGGAAGCAGGTAAGCAGGCTTGTAGGGTTAACTTTAAGATGCAGGGATTTACTTTAAATGAGCAGGTGAGAGGAAGATGCGGGTATGTACCTCCTATGTACAATTTGTTTAGGAAACACGGGAATTACTTTTTTAAGGCCTGAGGAAGCAAGTGAGATGCAAGGCTTGTACTTTCTTGTGCACAGGGTTTAATATGTGCAAGGATGTTCTACAAGTGTGCAAGGTTTAATTGTTAAGACCTGAGAAAGCTGGTAAGAATCAGGGCTCTACCTCCTTGTGCATGGGGACAATTGAAATTTATTTTTGGGACAGTGCTGGGACAATAGGAAGAAAATTAATTTTGAGGCCTGCAGAAGTGTCTAGGTTACTATTCCCCAGTTTTAGAGACACACTACAATGTCTGAACACACACACACACTCACTCACTGTCCATTTAAGTATCAGTTTTTTCCCATGTTAGAGGTGGTTAGAGGTGCAGTCAGGTTGTGGCTCTGACCCTAAAATGTCCCTCTCTTCTGTCCTGTTTGTCTGTTCTGTCTCTCTCTCTGCCACAATACAAAAACACGTCACCAGGCAGGAAGCCCAGGCCTGCCCCCCTACAGCCTGTACCCCCCGAGCTGTCGGACACCAGTAGTCCCCCCCTCAAATCTGCCCCGCCAACCCTGCCACCAGGAGGTACTGTGAGCAGTCATGATGCTGAACCCCCCCTCAGCGCCCCTCCAGTCTTACAACCTGTAGGGCCCACCAACCTTCCTGCAGCAAACCTCCAAACTCAGCCCAACCTACCACCCGTTTCTGGGACCTCCTTGCCACAAAGTGTGCAACCTGTGCAGAGGTCATCCTCAACAGGAAGAGGGTCAGGTGAAGGGTCAAGGTCAGCTGAAGGTCAGGAGGAGAGGGATAATGATGATGTCACGGTGAGACAGGAGCTAGCAGAACTCCGGGAGTCAGTAAAGAAGCAGTTGCAGCAATCAGACACCAGACTGTCCAGCCAAGTCGGACAGATCTTAAAGGCCCTGGGCGGTCTACAGGAGAGGAGCGCGAAGGAGGCTAAGAAGATGGCAGCACAGCTGGAAGAGGTGGAGGAGAGAGTCCGGAGACTTGAAGACACTGAGAAACAGTCGGGGGCCTTGGAGAGGGTGGCAGAGGGGGAAGATGTGTCAGGCAGCGTTTCTGAAACCCTGGAGAATCTAGAGAAGAGGCTGAGGCAGTTGGAGGAAGTTGTTCAACAGAAAACGGTGAAGTCAGCAACCACAGAAGGAACTGGGGAAGCCCCAATGTCATCAACCTTGGAAGGAACTACTGAAGAAACCGCAAAGATGTCAACCTTGGAAGGAACTACTGAAAAATCCTCAAAGGCAGCACAGCCTGAATCTGATAATACAGAAAAGTAGCAATCCCAGTCAGGATGCAACCAAAAAACACTTTACACGAGAAGAAAGTTATTTATAATGGAAGATTTTGGCAGTAAGTTGCCTTCAAGCGATTAAAAAATGTTAGTTAAAAGTAGGATTGGTGAAGATGTCAATTCCTATGTAATGATGAAAGTTGAAACATTAAGATACTGTCTGTACATTGTGTGTGACAAAGAGTTTGCAATATCACAGACCATCAGAATCTGATGCTGTTACAAGAGGCAAAATTTTCATGTCCCAACTGTTCTTGTGTCATTATCCTCAAAGCAATGAGCTGCCTGTTTTTATTATTTTTTATACATTAATGCCACCATATACTCTCCCTACAACAGGCTATTCACCTATAGTATTGTCATGGTGACATATTCAAGTTTTCCACAAACCCCTTTGACGGACACAGGTGTTCTGTAACCCCCTATGACGGACACAGGTTTTATGTCCTTCCAGAACTGGCTGAGCTAAACTCAAGAGAGGAAACCTCGTCGCGGGGAGATGCTAAGAGGAAAAGCACAGAGAACGATGTAGGAGGGCCCAGTAAGAAGACCAGGAAATAACAGCCTATTCTACAGGCTGAAAGAACTGAAAGAAGCCTGTCTGTTCTGGAGCCAAGGACATAAAGCCTGTTCCTGAATACCCTGGGAGCCAGACTAGTATTGGGCCGTTAGCTGTTTTCCTTTAACAGCCAAGAGCCCTTTGCCTGCCTATCTAAATTCAGGATATCTATGGGGGAGTTGAGCCCAGGGGGGAGTTTGGTCAGCCCTATTCCTTTTGGCTGCTGAAGCTAACGGCTCGATAGTAGTCTGGCTCCCAGGGTAGTTCCTGAGCTCGGAAGATGTACGCCTGTCTCTGAGCTATAAAGGACTTCATCATCGATGTCTATTGTACAAGGAAGGATTAAAGTGTTATGCACGACTTAAGTTCTGTAAGCCTAGAAGCTTTCAGACGGCATCCACCATCTTTCTTCACCTACAGACAAGAGGTTTCGTGTTCACAGTACATGGTTGTTGCACACAGTACTGCCCTTTATGTTTACAGTGACATTTTGATAAATCGGAACACTGTACTGTGCTGTTTTCTATTTTCCACTCTTCTGTCTTCAGACTCAACTTTCTGCATGTTCACGAGACACGAAAACTTTATCACTTCTAACTATGCTTAACTTACAGAGTGATGTTGATGATACACAGACTTGTTGTTTAGTTGATGTTGTGGTGCTGCTGTGAAGTTCAGATTTGGTTATAAGCTGCCAACAATGTTAGTTCTGTTATCTGCATGTTCCTGGACAGCAAAACATGATGTTTAAACCAGTATTTAGATCTCCTATGCATGTATACTCGGCCCCTATGGGGCAATGTTTTATTCTAAGTCTTGATAATTAAGGTTCAATATACACTGTTCTCATACTTGTGTGTGTTTCATTTATTCCATTAAGAGAGATTAGAGACAAAAACAATGGGTGAGGATAAACACGTAGAGAGGGCCAGACCAAGGCTGGGATTTTGAAATTGTTATACTGTCTGTCACCTTCCTCAGAGCATGTATTTATCGATTTAATGATTTGTGGCAGCGGATGTTTATTTTACTTGGGGCAAACATGTTATCTTTTGGCACTTTCAAAAATGAACTTGAAGGGCAAGAAGCCATGCCATAAATGTATGACAGAAAACAAAGGAAGAAAATTGGGATATATTTAGTTACATTGTTGGTGGCTGGAATTCAAGTGTCTGGGTGTGATGGAGCTGAGGGGACAATGGAGGAACAAGAAAACAGCAAGGATGACGGCAATCCTACAAAATGAGTGGACTTGGTTTCTTCTTTCTTACCCAGTGAATGCTGTGCGTGCTTTGGCAGATGTTTTGAGTGCATGTAGTGTGTACATTGTATATCAAGGACAGTTTAGATTTGTTCCCCGCTGGCGAGCAAGGTTAAAGCCCAAAGCGATTGTCATAGAGTGTATTGTGTTAACATATGAAGCAGTTTATTGTGTTAACAAAATGAAGCACACAGCACTATATGCCTGATATGAAACTAACTATAACATTGCCAGATGCACTGCAAAAGAAGTAGAAAAACTGGATAAAACCTGATGTGAAGCTAACTCTAACATTGCCTGTTGCACCATGGAAAACTGCAGAAAAAGTTAACCTCCTTTGCAGGTTTCCTAGGATCGGTCTTTTTCTTTTGGGGGGGGGGCGCTTATTTTCTGATCAAATGTAGATTGCTAGGGCTGGCGGCCTGAGCTTCTAATTACTAGTACTACAATCTACATTTGATCAGAAAGTAAGCCCCTCCCTCCCCCAAATAAACTTGGAATGCCTACATAAGACGCTAAGAAACACTATAAATTTGATTACTGTCAAACATGTTCGAGCCTGTTGTGTATTGTTTTCCTAGGACCCTCCGGTGCAGCAGCCACCAGTCCTAAAAGTGTGAACGGCCAAACGCCGGCCAACTCAGCCGCCTCCTCGTCAGGCAACGCACCGAAGGCTCCATTTCCCGAGGAAGACATCGCCAAACTGGTCCAGCTCGGGTTTCCACGACGACAGGCCATCGAGGAACTCGGGAGAACCAATGGCAACGTGGACATGGCATCCATGGCCCTCCTCGCAAAGTCTCTCAAGTTCCAATGACGTAGAACAGGCTTAGACTTGTTGTAGATGCATAGTAGCCTCCATGGCATGCCAAGAACTGGGGGTCTTCATGGTCTTTGGGAGCTTTTATGTGGTATTTTCTGATTGCATACAGACAACATAGCCGGCCTGGTTGAATTACCCCCGTTTTAGAACTGGGCTAATCAGAAAACTGGGCTAATCAGAAAACAGCCAAAGACTACCAAACCCCCAGTTCTATAAGCCTGCTACGGAGGCTAGATGCATAGGGCTTTGTACCTATTTATACTGTACCTGACGTGTACTTTAATGATAAAGTTTAAAGTACCTGAACAAAATAAAACAGTCTAGTGGACACCATTTTTTTACACTAAAGGTAGTTGAATTGCATATCAAAAATGACAATTTTGATAATTGAGACCTTGAATGTCAGGTAAACTCATTAAAATATGATGATAATCTTGAGTTCATACATTTTAATAGTTTAACACATTATTGGCCAATCTTGTTTAGGTACAGATCTACATGTAGGTCCAGCTCTGTACCTAAACTAGTGTACCAAAAGTTAACACAGTTCTATATGTTGGGGAAGGGGGCGTAACATTTTGCTGCTATCACTCTCCCAGCAATACAGATGGATGAGTATGTCAGCAGAACGTACTGCGCCTGCACAGAACCCTGGATTTTTGCAGTTTGCGTTGGACGTCGGTCAACGTTGCATTAGAATTTTGCCTGTTGCAGACGATATCTTTTCCAACATAACATTTGGAAACTACTGTCAGGATGTTAACCTTATATACGAATATGACGTTATATGAGAAGGATCTGATGTTCTGCCGAAGTGCTATGCACAATACATTACGGTTTTCATGCAGGTGCAGTACGTTCTGCCGACGAGCTAGATGGATGTACCCTTGGCACAGAGGAGGTTAACCACTTGGTTCAGGGATGTGCACTTACAGGTAGCAGGTAGGGGGTTAACCAGAAAGGGTATGATAGGGGTTAACCTTGTTTTTGTTTCTTGTTTAAAAACAGGCACTGTTATAGGAATGTCAACCTAACAAAAAGGGGAGGGGCAATAGCACCAGTGTGTAGTACCAAGAATATTTTAATGTCCTTGGTAGTACATTCTACAAATCAGCATAAAAACTAGATGTTTTAAATGCTGTATAGTGTAGGAAAATGTTGTAAAGATGATGAATGTTTACTGTTGTTTCTACTTTCTTTGGTTGCACAATGTACTTTGTTGTAGTTTTTAATGTTAGTTAGATACAAATTCCACATCCAAAAGCCTACTGACAGGCCATGCTTTTAGGGAGCTACATGGACATAGACTTGTTAAGCTTGTATGTTCAGCTTTAGTTAATAATGTCTAGCCTCCATAGCATGCCAAAAACTGGGGTCTTCAGGGTCTTTGGGATCTTTTATGTGCTATTTTCTGATTGCATATAGACAACATAGCTGGCCTGGTTGAATTACCCCCGTTTTTAGAACTTGGCAAATCAGAAAACAGCCGAAGACCACCAAACCCCCAGCTTTATAAGCCTGCTACGGAGGCTACATAATGACATGGTCAAAACTTTTTGGGATTATATAATGTAATGTGATAGGTTATATTCCATACTTCAGACCTTGATCAGCTTCTGAGATGACAGACCTGGATGAGTCAGCATTTACAGATTTTCTTCCTAGACAACTCTCAGTTGCACAGTCGTTAAACATACTTTGATATAAAAGTCCAGTCAACCTGTAAATAAATGCACATTGACACTCAATGCTCCTGTGTTTCTGGATTTTTCATGGGTACTGCATTATTCCTGACTTTTTTACAGTACTGTTATGTTCACTGTATTCACTGTCACTTCTGTACAGTACTAGTAAACTTATCATTACAGTTAACATATAATTCCTAGGCTTTCTTTTTCCTGCACCTGTCGCCACTGTGATCCATGAACATGTCCCTTTTTCTCAGACCTTGAACTTTTGCTACCGTGAGCAAGTGAATTACAATACTCACAGTAATGACAGTATGTACTGTTCCTGCATGCACACATGCCCGAATTTGCTTATTGATACAATAACCAGCAATTACACTGCAGTACCATAGGAAGCTGCTAGGAGGCCAAAAATCTAACTGGTCTACTTTTTTGCCAGTGGTCTGACACCCACCCCTATACCAAACACGTGTGTCATACCAAGCTCCTTTTAATGGTCATTTTTAAGGTCCTCGCAGTGTACCACATCAATCCTGCGGTTGCTAGGCGTGGCCAATGTGGCAGCATGAGTCATCATGTCCCAAAGGTTACCACAGGTCATTATGTCCTTTAAAGATGTGGCCTGTGTACACACAATATACTGCCTAAAATCTAGGTCACCGACTCATACAAATTTAACAGCACTGTACAAAATAAATTTTCATAATCATAGAATATTATGTACTTTGAATTCGTTCGAGGGGGTATTCTATTTGAGGTGATATTTAAGTTTAAACGCAAAGATTTCAGGCAGTAAACTTGTTACAGGAGACAGCCGTGGTCCTAATTAGCAGACGGAAGAAGCAAGATGGCGGTGTTCCGTACAGATCCGTGCGGGATCATCTGTATAATCATCACTTACGCCGCCGTTTTCTACGCGGATTACGTCGTTGTCCGACACTTGGCGATCCCCACCATGACTTCCAACCTTTGGGGAGCCTTTCACGTGGTTCTGTTCAATATTGTCGTGTTTCTTTTGACTCTGGCGCACCTGCGAGCGGTGTTTTCGGACCCGGGGATCGTGCCCCTCCCTGCCAACAACATTGACTTCTCGGACGTTCGCGCGGCGGGCAAGAGAAAACTGTCGGAAAAGGAGGAAGATTGGACGGTGTGCGCTCGCTGCGACGCCTACCGCCCGCCCAGGGCCCACCACTGTAAGATTTGCCGGCGGTGTATCCGCCGTATGGACCACCACTGCCCTTGGATTAATAACTGTGTGGGCGAGCTGAATCAGAAATTCTTCATCCAGTTCCTCTTTTACACCGGTTTGGCGTGCTGCTACGCGCTCATGTTGGTGATAGTCTCCTGGGTGATTGAGTGTACGGGAGCCGGGTGTAAGATCGACCACCAGGGGAGACAAACGCGCATCGTGCACTCTGTCATCCTCACGGTAGAGGCGATTCTGTTCGGGTTGTTCGTGTCAGCCATCATGTGCGACCAGTTGTCTGCCATCTTCACGGACGAGACGGCGGTGGAACAGATTCAGAAGCGCGGCAGGGAGAGAGAGCGCCCTCGGAAACCCAAGATGGCGCTCCTGGCCGAGGTCTTCGGCCGAGGGAACTCGGTCCTCTGGCTCTGCCCCTGCCAGGCCGCGCCCGACCCGCAGACCATCAGTAACCCGCAGGAGTATGATGTATAATGAACGGTCCCGCGGGGGTAAGACGTTATAATGGACAATGGACAGTCCCCCAGGAGTATACTGAACAGTCCCTCAACACTATGATGTATAAAGAACGGTATCATGGACAGCCCTCAGCAGTATGAGGTATAATGAACAGTCCCTAAGCTGTATGATGTACATGTATAATGAACAGTCCCTAAGCTGTATGATGTACATGTATAATGAACAGTCCCTGCGTATAATGAACAGTCCCACAGGAGTATATATATGACATATTTCTTCTCATTTTAACTGTCCCAAATGTCAACAAACGAACAATATAAAACGAACTGTCCAGCATTAGCGTGATGCAAAATGAACAGTCCCTGGGAGTGCTTGTGTGACATACAAGGGTAGTCTGGCAGGAATATGATATAGAACAGACCACTCAACGAGATTACATCTGCATATATCGGCTTAACAGGCTCTGCCCATGACTTGCAGTTGTACTGTTGCTTTTAGAGCCATCATCAATGTGCAACAATGTCACGCACATGTTTTTCCATAGTACGTTGATGTAGTCTCCATAGCATGCCAAAAACTGGGGGTTTTGGGTATCTTCATATCAGGGTCTTTTGGATCTTTTATGTGCTATTTTCTGATTGCATATAGACAACATAGCCGGCCTGGTTGAATTGCCCCTGTTTTTAGAACTGAAAACAGCCAAAGACCACCAAATCCCCAGTTCTATAAGCCTGCTACGGAGGCTAACGTTAATGAAGGTTAGACATCCAGGTAAAACAATTCTCATTGGTAATTTAAACTCTACTACTGGATAAATTGCAGAGAAGAGTGGTGGACGTCACTCGAAACTGTTGCTTTTGATACAATGTGCAACAATGTCTAGCACGTTTTTCCTTTAAAATACTGTGTATGAAAATGACATGTGCTTGGTTCCTATGACTTTGACAGTGACCGTGTAATGTGTACCATGGACAAGTGAAACTAGATGTACCAACCTTACTGGCTGTTACTGGCAACAGACTGATGATGTAAATAATGTATTTCTCTTGTCAGGGGATTTGGGGTAGGTTTCTGCCAGGTGCTGTGCATTTATCAGTCTAGCTCTCTTTGTGGAATGGGGGTCATTTTAATTCAGCCCCCCTTAAGCCTGTATTGCAGGGTATAAATTATAAACCTAAGCTTCTCTTCCAGCACAATCTTGAAAGAGAGCGTAACACTTTTACTGTCGAAACCTCAGCATGCCATGTATTCAATACATTTGTTACGTCTCCTGAACATTGTGTTGGAACAGGAGTTTAAAACTAATCTCCAAGCCATTATTGGGGACTGGTTGCCTGGTGTTGGGAGGTTGTCCGCAGTGTTTGGGGTGTGGCTGGCAGTCAAATTTGACTCAAGTTTGATTTGATTTGTGTCAAACGCCCTAACACCTCAGCCATCCATGGTTGAAGTTGATGGTTGAAAGAATTAGGTCTGAATGTGCCAGGGGCTTTAGTTAGGTGTAATGTATCTCTTAATGCAATGTGATGTTAAGCCAATTTTTAAACCTGGTCAATCAATGAAAAGGGAACACCATGTGCAATATTACATGTATTAGAAATGTTTAACATTTCGTCTTCATGCAGACCTTTGACATTGAATGCAGAATCCACTGATTTTGTGGAAAGAGCTGTAGTTAGCCTGTGTTGTTAGCCAGTGGTCGAACATATTACATATTACTGTGGAACATGTTTATATGTACTTTATCCAGACAATCTCTTTTTATGTGGCTGTGTTTTCTATCAGCCACTTTTGTGTAATAGTGGCCAGAATGACAACTGGAAACAAGCTGAAACTGAAATTGTGGTAAATCGTCTTGTCTTTATTTGAGTGTATATATGGGGAGGGGTCAAGACAACATTTTACGCTAGCATTAGCACCCTAATGTATACAAGACTCAGTCATCCCGGCGACTGAAATTAATTAGCGTTAAAGCTGGTGATTTTATGAGGCCTGAAGGTGGGAATGACATCTTCTTAGAGTACCATGTACACTCCAGTCAAACCTGTCCAAGCCGGCCACCCAGGGGACCGAAGGAAAGTGGTCACCTTCTTGGCTAGGTGGTCACCTAGGACAGGTTGCTTAATGCTTGACTCAATTGGGGAAAATTTTGGGGACCGAGAAAAAGCGGTCACCATGGCCAGGTGGCCAGCTTGAAGAGGTCGTCACCTTGGCAGGTTTGACTATTTGGCAACGACAATTTCTCTATATATACGTACACTGCAGTCGGAACAGCTGTCAAAGCCCTTAAAAGGGAAAATAGCACTGTTATTAGTCTGTAGGCCGACCTACATCTAACCCACCTCAATCAACGACTTTCATTATGCTTCATGCATGATTTATCGGACACGTTTTACGGTAAATTACAGACCACGACTACGTATTACACAGCAATAAAACTGTCAAATACGCTTTACACAAAATGCACCCATTACGCTCTACGTTAGATTAGAGCAGTCAGGCAATATTACGCAAAATCAAAATGGTTGATTTCGCCCTACGGAAAAGGGCATGCCTGTTTGGGCCGCTCAAAAAATAGAATCATTTTTTTTTAAATTTTAATGCGACCTAGAACTAGAAAGGTAACATTTACAAAGGAAATGCATCATATTTACCTTCGCATATGACCTGTTCTGTTAATTCTTACTCAAACGCATTCATGTATATGATGACAGGAGTCTTAATCCCTCCTGCTATATAATTGCAACATGATGTAACCTAACACTAGTTACCATGGTGACAGATGTCTGGTTCATGTCATGGCCTTATTTGTTTGGAGAAGAAACAGAGCAAAAACAATATGTTTTCTTACAGTAACTTACAGACGAAACTGTAGAATCCTCGCATCTTCCCAACTTTCATCACAACAAAAGTCCGTTCTAGAACAATTCTATTTCTTGGCATGGCAACAACACGACGGTTGATCGAACGTCTCCATAGAGACTGACGTAAACAACAACAGTTTGTTCCAGTTGGGTTGTTCACAAACACAGCGGTCAGATGCAGCGTGGATGTGCGCCGCTGTCTTGACACGGAGAAAGGCGTATTAAAGGAAGGTAAGGCAGTCATTTGGTACAATGTAGTGTCCACCAGACTAAACTAGATCAAAGTACGCTAGCTGAAAACTGGTGAAATTTAGCCAAATGGAGAGAATGCTGGGCGTGTTGATGGCGAAATGTCCCGATACAGGGTTCACTATCGGAGTTTTAATATCGATATTCGCGGTTTTTGATTCTCGGGCGCAAGGGAGTCTATATTGGCCACTTGCTACCAGTGGATAGTGTTCAGCACCAAGGACAGGGCCTGTAGCCAATGGCTGCCTCTAACCATTGGATACGGGACCTCTTCCAACCATTGGCCGCCGCCCGTAGCCAATGGCCACCTGTAACCAGTGCACGTGGCTACGGGATCGCCTGTCAGTACAATATGTACATGTATAACCATTGGTCTCCCGTAGCCAATGGTTACAGGCGGCAAATATAGACCCCCTTAACTTGCGCCGCAGGATCTAATTGGATGTTATACTTTTTTCATGTTTCTCTGTTTTACAGTAACAGTTATCGTACACAAAATATTCTGCTTGGGTGCTGATAACAGGAATAGTTGTAACTTTTTATGTTCCCAGGAAATTCTGGCTGCTTGAGCCTGCAGTCCTTGCACCACTCTTCCGTCAGTGCGTCCGTACATCTGTGTCTTACCCGTCATGCCTGGCGCGGCTTCAGCTCTGCGTCTGTCCGTGGTACGCTCACTGCGCCTGCGCGTCCCCACCTGGCTGGAACATTGCGATGGTGAGGTTACCTGAGGTCACGTCACATCAGTGTTACACTGACCTCAGGTCATTGGTATTACGGTTCTCAGGTTTGCACTATATAAACTCCACTTCAATCGGCTCCAAGGCACGTTTACACTATCTGCACTAGGTTCCTTAGACCTTAGGTCCTCCTGTGCCTACAGGCACATTGGGCAGCAAGTTTCCATCTGCACTAGGTTCACTCTAGCCTAATAGCATAAAGTCATTCGGTTTCCAGCATCTCAACAGTTACAGTGAAAGTTACCGTGTATATCAGGGGTCTGTACATGTTTTATAGTAACGCATGTACATATACGTTTGTATATAGACTACCAGATTTACATTAAGCCTCACACTTGTGTTCGTTTCCTTGCCCCTTCAGCCTCCGAAAACCGGGTTTCTGTAGCCAATCGCTCGCTCTGGAAAACGAAGCTAGGTGTTGACAGACCCAGCAGGTTGGGTGCCGGTTGGAGATCGGGGCTAGGTGTTGAAAAACCCAGTCTGTATGAAAGTCGGAACGCAAGGAAAGGGAGCCTAGGAAGCGCCAGGTTGTGGCTGGTGGGTTTGCTAGCCGTATGGAATCTGTACGTTCTGTACCCCAAGACATTAAAAATGCGAATGCTAACAAAGTTATTTGAAAAATAAGATTACGTGTTAACCTCCTATATCTCATTGGCGGAAACACATCCGCCAATAAGAGCTAGAAGGAGAATTTAGGCCCATTAACACATGTAGTATTTGGACTTCTATATCTAATTGACTGTTAGAAACAGTCAATCGGAGCTAGAAGCGCTTGGTAAGTCCAATGTAAGTCTGAGTGAGTTGCATCGTTTTAAAGTTGTACATAGAGGGTAACAACGTGGAGCCTCTGTAAAGTGCCATCCGATTTGCCATCAGGGCTCTCAAAGAAAATTGGTTCCTTGCACTTGCTGGTCTATTAGCTAGTTTAAAGAAAAATGCAAATCTCATCCAACAGCCACAACAATCAAACTATGGTTTTCAACCTTCCATTCACAGGTGCATCAATGGAGAAAGCTCGGAGCTAGAAGCTGACTGATTCCCAGAAAAGTGACAGTTTAGTGGACAAACGTCTCACGTCAGGCCCTATAGGGCGTCTTCAATATTGCTGTCCTTGTACTTTGTTTCCAACTGATGTTTGAAGGCAAGATAGACTGAGTGTGATATTCTGGCTGTACCGTATTTTAGACATAAGAAATCAACCAGAAAACTGCCAAATATTTTCCCTCTCGACGGTCCCGAAAGTCCGCTTCCTTGTGTCACATTCATTATGTTGTATTGATATGGTGGGAATGATATTTGAAGAAAAATGGTAATAGAAGGTGCCAGGGCGGCACTTGTTTTACATGTAATAGACAGTGCGGTTTCACTTCTTTCCATATTCTGGCAGAGCATGTTGTTCATGTGCATGCATTATTGTGTTCATAAATACGCTTTCATGTGTGTGTGTGTACTCGAGCATGTGTATGTGTGTATGTGTTTGGATAGTGTTCAGAACCATGGAGAAGGTATGTGTGTGTGTATATGTCTGTATGTGTCAGAGTGTGGATGTGGATAGTGTTCAGCACCAAGGACAGTGTGTGTGTGTGTGTGTCTGTGTGTCTGTGTGTGTGTGTGTGTGAACGTAGAAACAAACGGGTGTCAGTGACCGCCAAACATCGGCCAGTAAATAAAAGCGATCATTGACAGAGCACCGGGTGTATACTGCAGAAAATGACAATTTGGGCTTGTTATAAAAATGCTGAGAAAGGTTCAACAGTGAAACACACAAGACTTCACGAAAAGAGCACATCGCTACCATTTGTATTTAGCTAATCATTAACCTCAATCGCCAAAAGTGAGTAAAACATTACTGGAATTCTTGCCATTGTTTTACATTAAGTTATATTTTTGTACCTTGTGCATGATCAGTCAACATTCATGGTTTTATACTAAAGACTACTTTTCAAGTCTAAATGTACCTAATACACTACACTAGCATCTACTGATAACTTATTGGTTATTCAATAATTTCAGAGATATGTTGACCCTGCATTGTGGAAAAGACAAACAAATCGACAAACATAAATTCAAATACAAAAAAAAAAAAATCATTTAGAAAATGCTGACCAGGTCCACACTAAAGCAGACCAAGTTTGTGTTTTTACAACCCACAGTCCTGACTAAATCACTACCCTACATATCATCTATGTAATAACATGTCTAACTTGTTATGTTGTTTCCGTTAGGGTATTAGTCATACATTTACGTTCCTGCTACCTTAGTTTAAATATTAAACATTTTTTCTGATACTTATAATTATACATTATCTTCAAGACTGTACATTAAAGAACTCGTACAGTCCTTATGAGACAGGTCAGGAATAATTGTGCATTCCTTAAGACAGATAAGGAATTATTGCACTTTACAAACTTAGCAGCTTTCTGCTATCTCATATCAGACCAATAAATAAGACGTGTTTCTGTGTGACACAGAAACCATTTAAGAAATCTCAAGAAAACTTTGGCTCCATGTACAACATGCATAATCCTGGAATCCATCCTGATGCCAGGACCAACACTTCTGTGTATCAAGCAACGACCCTGATGTACTGGACTGCCATTCATCCCTCTCACTAAATTACCACTGGCCAGCCATCAGCCAATTAGATCTGTAATATGTACAAATGTATCTGACAGTGTACATTATACTAGTATACTTGACAGTATAACAGTTACTGCTCTTTGGCGTAACACACCAGCTTTGCAGGTTCTGTGTTGTATTTACCTTCGCCAAGAAGGTTATGTTTTCAGGGGCGTTCGTGTATGTGTGTGTGTGTCTGTCTGTCTGTCTGTCTGTCAACACGATAACTAGAGAAGGTCTTGATGGATTGTCTTGATACTTGGTAGGTGGGTAGGTCTTGATGAGACCTTAAAATGATTAGATTTTGGGCCACCTGGCAGCTTGTCATGGTACTGCAGCAGAACTTCCGGTTTTGATATCTCATGATCCAGACATGCTAGGGTGACGAAATTTAGATGGTAGATAGCTCTTGTGCTGGGGATAAAGTGACATGAGTTTGAGCCCCCTAGTTGCTTGCTCTAGAACTGCAGGGGGGTTTAATGGACAAATGTTTAAAGGGGGATAACTCAAGAACTGATGGATGGATCATCGTGATTTTTGGTGTGTAGGTAGCTTGAGTGATGCTTGACATAAAGATATTATAATTATGCAAATATAGATGTAATTTGCATAATTAATGAGGAAATTCTATTTATCAGCTGCATTCCATAATAGGAAGTTCAAGCTTGTGACATATGTTATTAAGAATGAGAGAAACACAGGCAGATATCAATTATGCAAATGAAGACTTAATTTGCATAATTAATGAGAAAATATTATAAATGCATAGTGGTAACTGCCTGGAATTTTATACTTGGGGTGTTTGAAAGTTAAGTTAAGGTGAACATAATTAAACATAACTTATTCAAATAAGGACCTCATTTGCATAATTTATGAGAAAATTTCATCATGGCATTCTTTAAGATAAGACTGTCTTTTGGTGGAGAATATGATCAACAGATATAATTCATGCAATTGAGGATCCTATTTGCATAATTAGGGGGATTAATATATAATTTCTTAATCATAAAAGCTAACATCATTTGGCGAAGGTATGAGATCGTGGAACTCTAGTTTATTTATGTCATACCAACCTGAAAAAAACACATCCCAATGTAAAATGTGTCAAAAAAGGATATATATATATATGTGTGTGTGTGTGTGTGTGTGTGTGTGTGTGTGTGGGCGCGCGCGCGCGCATGTGTGTGTACTGTCACTAATGGAGTTCTTTTAACCATTAAACAATTAAATAAGCATGATTTGCTGGTGACAGCTGACCAGTGCTAAGGCAGTGAGAAGGACTGATGACAGCCAAGAACGTCTTGGTCGTTGCTTGATATATACAAACCCTGGACCTGCCACGTGAGGATGGCATCGAGCCCTTTCCTCCATCACCTCACATCCGGCCAACCCTCCGTCAGGTATTTTTTCAATGTCCCTTCTAACAACCTGTCCATCCAGAAATTTAACCCATTCAGGAGATAAGTTGGATCTGTCATTCCCTTCTCCTCCTCTTCTTCTTCACTCGTGCTGTCGTTTAGTCCAACAAAATCCCCGTCTAGCGAATCCCTGGACCGCCTCTGCTTGTGGTTCCGCCACTTTTTCGGGAAGAACACATGGTAGTAGAAGCGGTGGCCGTTGGCCGCGATGACGATTCCCTCGCAGTTCCGTACCGTGACTTTTGTCGGGGGAAAGTCGGCCGTGTTACACAGCAGATCGTCCAGCCAGGGCAGGTTTCGCTCCAGGAGAACGAACGCGAAACCTGCGATTTTCGACTCCCTGGAGGGAAAACAAGAACTGTCAACAAAACCAGCCATCAACAAGCAAAATCCTCTTACCTTATGTAGAGGCAAGTATTGAAGTTAGGGTTGTTGGCTTGGAATCTAAAGGTCCAGGATTCAAATCCCTAGCAGACCCAAAGTTGCAGCCTTTGGCACTTTCAAGTAACCTACTTCCTCACTTGACTCAGGTGAACATGACCTAACTTTGGTTATGGACTTCTTCTTAAAGCTGGAGGTCCCATGTATAACGGGAGCCAAATCTTGAGCACGTTAAAGAACCCTTCACACATAAAAAAAAGAGATGGCCTTCCCAGTGTGAATGGATCAAACTTCCTGAGCTTGTACCTACATGGTGTTAAGGTAAGGTAGTTTACCGGTTACGCAAAACAAACAAACAAACCCTGGGTAAGGGTAGACTCACCATATAGAAAGTTACATACTTCTCACCTTGAGTAAGGCTTAAAGTAAGACTTAGTCTTTTCTCACCTTGCGTAAGGGTAGACCTCCCGAGCAAACGCCTTGAGAAGCACCTCCCTGTTCTCCTTCCCCACAGCCAGGAGTACCGTCAGCTGGCCGGGTCGAAGGTCAAGGATCAGGTTTGCGTAGGTCGAGGGGACGAGTTCATCTAACTCCAGATACCTCCTCTTCCTGTGGATGGAGATTGAAACAGAGTTATATGTAGAATACAAAATTATCCATGATTGTATTGAGTAAATTTGTCCCTGCTATTGGTGTAACCAAGGTGGAATTCAGGTCCTATTCAGATACTGCATGGGGAACTAACTACAGGACTAGCAAAAACACATGCAGGACACAGGCATGTCCAGTACACACACACACACACACACACACACACACACACGGGAGTTGTGGGGCTGGGACAGCCTCTTTCTACTCTTTTGCTGTGACCTTCTCTCGGACTCTCTCTCTCTCAGACTCCTCTCTCTCAGCAAGCACCCCCTTCGTTTATTCACAAATAATAACACAACAATGCAATACGGGTGTCTCCTGTTCTCTGCTGGAACCACGTTTGAAGTACAGCAACATGAAACAGTAACATGATATAAAGAATAAAGACAGGCCACTTCAAACCAGAACACACCAAAATGTCTGCTAGACAAAAAACTCTAACTCGGTTACCTGAGATTGGCTCCTGTCTGATCAGTGTTCTCTCTGTGAGCCGCTCGCTGTCGTCTCTCGCGTTTTCTTTCATTCTGCATCTCCTTACTGTAAAACAAATATGGTGGATATCATGATCATAATGTGGAAGTCAAAGCCTTCTGGGTTGGTCAAGGTCAGACTGGCTTTGAAGGGTCATTCAACTCAATTAAAGGTCACGTGGGCTAACCATTAGATCTAGACCAGAAACAGAAACTTTTGGTCTTTGGGCCACACCAATTTAATTTGTTGGTTCTCGGATTTTTTCAGAAAAAATATGAAGCGACAGGGCGAAAAAAAATAAAAATAAAAACAGGTCTAGGCATCCTATTATAGGCTTAAATGCTATGAAATGAGCCATGAAGTTAACACAAAAGGCTGGGTTAAAATTTAAACATTGAATTTTGAACTTTTAATCATACCACTGCATTGAAAGATTGAATAACTGTAACGACTAGGAAGAAAAGGACTGTTTTCAACTGTTCAGGGCAAAGCATGAGCATTTTTCAGTTGATTCAGGACCAGAATCAATTTTTTTTTTTTTTGCAAATCAGAAAAAAACGAAGAGGCGAATCCGAGAACCAACAAATTAAATTGGTGTGGCCTTGGGGTTAAATATAAGCAGGAAGAGTATGACCCACTGAAAATTGTTACTAGGCTTCTTGTGTGTGCGCATGAAAGCACATTATCAAGTTCTTTTTTTTTTTTACTTCTAAGAACATTCAAAGTATTTAAATTGTAGGATATTCTTATAAGTGTGGCCTTTACTTACTTTGCCATGGACAGAACGAATCCCCCTGCAACTACCATCAAGAGTGTCAGCAGCACTGAGATGACCATGGTGGACTCTATACTGTAGAACAAAACAGAACATCACAATGTATTAGAGAACATCACTGTATACTGTAGAATACAACAGAACATCACAATATATGTATTACATTGTGCAACAAAACATCACAAAGTATTGCAACAGAACGTCCCTCTATACTGTAGAACACAACAGAACATCACAATGTAGTATTACAACAGAATATCACTCTATACTGTAGAGGACAGAACATCATTCCCAATGTATTACATTGTGCATCAGAACATCACTATATATTATTACAGCACTGAGATCACCATGGTACACTCTATATACTGTAGAACACAATAGAACATTGATCACCATCATCATGGTAGAATCTATACTGACTCACAGAACTGCTAGATATAATCACAGATAATATACTACTAAGATAATACAAAGGGCCATACTCACACATCCATGTGGTGGTACCAGTCCCACAGAAAGTACCATGTGTTCTGTAGTTTCCTGAATAGCTGTACGATGAGAGCCTGTCAACACATTGATGATAAAAGCATATATATTAAGGTTTTCCTCGTGACGACATTAAGAGCTGCAAGTCCCAACGGACTGGTTAAATGCCTAACCTGTTGCCTTACTAGCTGGTTTAATGCTTAATGCTTGTGGCGTCTGTGTGGTGTAGTGGATAGAACATCCGACTGTCAAGCAAGGGGACCAAGGTTCAATCCCTAGGGCTGGACCCAGACATGTCCGGACATGTCCGGACATGCACGTTTCACCCCTCAGTTAAAGGGTTCCTGGGCCCTACTAGGGTTTGGGTTGGCGTTAGGAAGGGCATCCAGCCGCAAAAATCTTGCTTCAACAAAAAGACTTCTACTTCGTGCAAGCACGTCTAACCCCCGGTTCAGGGAAAAATGATGTTAAAAACGGTAAAAAAAACAAAAACTAGGTGCCTTACCGGTTGGTCCTCCCTGTAGAGTTCAGGAATCTTGGCGCTGAATGGGAGTCGCGTCTTCCCCTGCAGAACGGTCTGCAGCTCGGACGTGAGGCGGCGGTGGTCGTTCCCGGTGCCCTGCCAGCCGTTCAGCAGCCAACCGTACGCCACCGAGAACTCCTCACGACGCCACAGCAGCAGCAGCTGGGGGTGGTACAATGTAGTGTTAGAAATACCCATTTGCAGCCTGCATTTTGCAGACACATTTTCAATATTGCAGAAGCAACCTGCAATTTTGCAGACTGAAAAAATTAGGCTAGTGGTTCAGTAGTGTTTAAACCCTGACTGAGAGAATCATTCATCAAATTGGTGTGGCCTAATCTACATTGTGTACCTTACAAAAGACTAATTTCATTTTCATTTCATTTTTACTTATTTATCCAGGGGTAGCATATCACCAATGGCGGTTTTCAACGCTCCCTGCACAGAACAATACATAATATAATAACAGAAAACGTAAAGGAACTAACTTAGGTACAATCATAATCGTCGTGATAGTAAAAGAAGCAGGACAAAGTAATAACGTACAGAAAACAAACTAAAAAAATATGACAAAATGTAAATGATATTGATAATGGAACTGAATTTGCATATCAATGTCAGTATGGGATGAGCCTTTACATCATTAGTGGAATTTCTAGTGTTTAGGCTGTTAAAATATTGACCTTTAGTTACTATGTACAATGCATGGCTGTCAATATATATACTTGAATCTGCTATATGTGCTGAGGACTTGCACAGAGGAACATGTAGCAAGATTCTAAGTACTAAAGACTCACACAGACTGATGTGGGTACGAATGCCCCCTCCAGTCCCTCATCAAACCTGTCTGCAAAAGAACCCTGGGTATTCTCATACAGGTAGCTGAAGGTCACGCGACCTTGGAACTCCTCGGCCGACCTTGCATACTGGCGGTACGTGTCTCGGAAGAAGTCGTGGTCTGCGTCCTTGTAGGTAAAGAGGACAGCACATAACCTGGAAGGATGAAAGATCATCTGTCACTTTTTCTTAACATTATTGCAAGTTTTAGTTTCCTACCTAAACCTGAGAATTCACTGCTTGAATTGTCTGGTCTGGGATGGAATAAAAAAACGTGCAGAAATGCAATGACACTTAGGTTTGTTTTTTTTTAAGTTGAAACCAATGGAAGGAAAGAAGGAAGGTAGGAAGGAAGGATGGAAGGTAGGGAGAAAGGAAGGTGGGAAGGAAGGAGCAAGGGAAAGAAGGAAGGAAGGACAGAAAGAATGAATTAAGACAGCAAACAAGGAAGAAAGGTAGGAAGGAAGGATGGAAGGTGGCAAGGAAGGAGCAAGGGAAAGAAGAAAGGAAGGAGGGAAAGAATAAATGAAGGAAGCAAACAAGGAACAAAGGAAGGATTGAAGGTGGGAAGGAAGGAGCAAAGGAAGGAAGGAAGGCTGGAAGGATAAGAGGACTAACCTTTCGGGTGTGTTGGCCGTGTCTGGAGGACAGACTTCATTGAAGATATCCTGAGAGCTGAGTCTGGGCAGGAACAGGTGCAGGTTGGAGGAGATTTTGGCGTTCAGGGAGCCTTTCTGCATCTCACCTGTCTGTGGAGACGATATTGTAAGTGAAAACTAGCAACTACATAGTGCACAATTACATAGTGCCTAAACCTTATTGCTACACACATTTAAAAGAACAATATATTACGTTAACTTAACTAAATAAAAAATAGATACAAACACGCAACAAATGTGGAAGTGATGGACACAAATTTCACTTATTTCATTCTACGTCTGACTCTGGGACCTTGTTTTGTTTACAACACAGCATGTAAAACACTAATGGTGATCTTGATATTATAAATCTACTTGTAATCAAATCTAAAATAAAAATCTAAACAAACAAACAAACAAACACACCTCCAGTCGATCAGCAGGGCTATCCTTGTCCTCCTTGAAGATGAGAAGTGTCGGACCTGATCCCACATCAAAGTCAAACCTCAGGGTCTGGAAGGAGCCAAACATAGTTGTGTATTATGTAATATCATAATTGATTATCTCTTATGTGATGTAATGCTGAGGTCACATTTCCAGACCGGGGCCCGGCCAGGCTGTTCGTATGAACTAAAAATTAACAATTCATATCAAGAATATACAGGAATAGTGCCAATGATTATTACTAAAAACTTTTCTGTGTTTTGCTTTCTTTTATATCATACTTTTTGTTCTGAAAACCTGCCAGGCCGGGCCCTATGTGGGAATTGTGACCTCAGCATAAGCCAATTTAGCTGTTCTAGTGCCTCATGTCTCACCATGACAAACCAAAGTCTACAACTAGAATGTAGGTCTAACTGTACATCGATGAAGGTTAGACATCCATGCAGGTAATACGATACGCCAAAAAACAGTTACTCAAGCAACTGGATATGATTTTGGAAATGGTCAGACGCTTCAGCTAGTATCCACTAGCTCTCATCAGTGACTGGAAGACCAGAGGAGAAATGCAGGTTTATAAGCACAAACTATTGATTGATAGGTCTAACTGTACCTGAGTGTTAGCTGCTTTAGTGTTGGCATAGCCGAACACCACACGTTCCTGGTACGCGAAACTGACCACTCGGTACAGCAGCGACGGGACGGGCTTCTGGGAGAACAGCACGGCTCGGGGCTTGTTGTCATGACGACAGCCATACACAAACTCACTCCAGCTGGAGTCAGTCACCTGCGGGAACAGGGGAAAGGTCAAGGTTCAAGGGTCAGTCACCTACAAAATATGGGTCAAGGGTCAGTCACCTACAAAATATGGGTCAAGGGTCAATCACCTACAAAAACATGGGTCAAGGTGCAAAGGTCAGTCAACTACAAAGTTGAGTTCTGTTGGGGAAATGGTCATGGTTTAAGTGTTAGTCACCTACAGAAAAATTCGTCAAGGTTTAGGGGTTAGTGACCTACAAAACTATTGGAAATGGTCTAGGTTCAAAGGGCAGTGGAATGGAAGGAGGCAAGGTTAAAGTTGAAGGTTCAAAGTAAACTCACATCCAAGATGTTAACAGGCAGGAGTTTCTCCAGGAATCTCCGGATGGCCTCCTTGGTCAGGACTCCTGTGTACAGGACCGGCCTTCCATCTACCACTGCCACGATGGCAGGCAGGCGGGACACACCCAGCCGCTGGGTCAGCTTCGCCGCAAAGTCACTGTTTACTATACCCATCCCGATTCCTGTCAACACACAATACAATTTATTTTTTACTGTTTACACATAAACAACCTTCCTGCCAACACACAATGTTCCTGTTCACACATGAAAAAAAACACAGCAAAACAAATGCAATTCCAGACACCCATCTTGAGCCCTTGATCTGTACAGTACTGACACTACTACATTCTTTATTAGAACTATTGCAGAGAAGAACTCGCTGTCACCAAGTACAGTAGGGGCATTATCATTAGATAGCTTTAAACATTGTTTAGAGTTAGATGTTCAAGGGTTAGGTGTAAAGCTGGACAGGTGTGTTACGCTGAAGGGCGGTTATACTGGCTATACCGAATACAATACAGTTTTCCCCAGACTCACCCATGGGCTGTAGTTCCTCCACCAGACTGTCCCAGATTGGCTCTATCTGCAGACAGGGCAGGCACCAGTCATTGTACACCTCCAGTAGGAAGGGTTTGACACTGCTCTGGGGTAGAACCGTCTGCTCATACTTGTTCAACGTGACCTAAAAATATTGGTGTCAAACACAGACAACGGAATCAAAATCCATCAAACTGCCCAAGATAAATGCTGTACAAAATTACAGTTTCAACTTTCATAACATAAAATACACAGGCTCAAATACAACCATGAGCAAGAAAGGTAACATTTGCAAAGCTAATGCATTAATCATTTTTACCTTTTCATATGGTCTGCTCTGTTAATTCTTACTCAAACAAATTCACATTATATGGTGTCAGGAGTCTACATCCCCCCTGCCATAAAAGTGCAACATGATGTAACCCAACACCAGTTACCATAGTGACAGATGTCTGGTCCTGGTCATTGACCTTATTTGTTTAGAGAAGAAGAGAAGGAATAAGAAGAAACGGAGCAAAAACAATACGTTTTCCTTCTGCAAAGGTTTAAACATAATTAGAAAAAGAAAAAGTCACCAGCATCTCCTGAGCCCTGTCCCTGAATGACTCCCGGTGTTCCTGGTTCCCGTAGTGGAAGTGGAACGTTCTGAACGGGTCCCGCTGGTGGAAGAAGTGGAACGGGTGTCCGAACCCCCCGCCGAAGCCGTTGTCTCGGTAACCATCGCGCGAGCCAAAGTTGAGAGGTCCGCGGTAGTCAGGGTCACCGTAGTTGTCATAGTTGGACCTTTTTTCTGAGTCTGAGAGGACCTGTGGATACAGAAAGTCTATCAATAAATTTGCAAGAATTTGTTAAAATATACAGATAAGTTCACAGTTAACACCATTCACACACAAGCAAACATGTACTTGATCCTGAAAAACACACATGTGAACATGCCTGTCCTTGGTGCTGAACACCATCCACACACACACACACACACACACACACACACACACACACACACATACAAGCAAGTGTACCTGTCCTTGGTGCTGAACACTATCCACACACAGGTGAACATTGGAACAGCTGAACACTATCCACACACAGGTGAACATTGGAACAGCTGAACACTATCCACACACAGGTGAACATTGGAACAGCTGAACACTATCCACACACACACACACACACAAGCAAGTGTACCTGTCCTTGGTGCTGTATGCTGTCCACACACAGGTGAACATACCTGTCCTTAGTGCTGAACACTATCCATACACAGGTAAACATACCTGTTTTTGGTGCTGAACACCATCAACACACACACACAAGCAAACGTACATGGTGCTGAACACTATCCACACAATAAATGAACATACCTGTCCTTGGTGCTGAACACAATTCACACACAAGTAAACATGCCTGTCCTTGGTGCTGAACACTATCCACACAGGTAAACATGCCTGTCCTTGGTGCTGAACACCATCCACAAACAGATGAACATACCTGTCCTTGGTGCTGAACACCATCCACACACAGGTGAACATGCCTGTCCTTGGTGCTGAACACTATCCACACAGGTAAACATGCCTGTCCTTGGTGCTGAACACCATCCACAAACAGATGAACACACCTGTCCTTGGGTGCTGAACACCATCCACACACAGGTGAACATGCCTGTCCTTGGTGCTGAACAATATCCACACAGGTAAACATGCCTGTCCTTTGGTGCTGAACACCATCCACAAACAGATGAATATACCTGTCCTTGGTGCTGAACACTATCCACACACAGGTGAACATACATGTCTTTGGTGCTTAACACCATCCACACACAGGTGAACATACCTGTCCTTGGTGCTGAACACCATCCACATATGGGCAAACCCACCTGTCCTTGGTGCTGAACACTATCCACACACAGGTGAACATACATGTCTTTGGTGCTGAACACCATCCACACACAGGTGAACATACCTGCCCTTGGTGCTGAACACCATCCACATATGGGCAAACACACCTGTCCTTGATGCTGAACACTATCCACACACAGGTGAACATACATGTCTTTGGTGCTGAACACCATCCACACACAGGTGAACATACCTGCCCTTGGTGCTGAACACCATCCACATATGGGCAAACACACCTGTCCTTGATGCTGAACACTATCCTATCCTATAGTATTCAGCATAGCACCCATAAAACTAACCTCATATGCCTGGTTTATCTCTATAAACTTCTGCTCTGCTCCAGGATCTTTGTTCTTGTCAGGATGCCTAAACAACAACAGTTAATAACAACAGTCAACAACAACGGTCAACAACAATGAGCCTGAGTTCACAGTTTAAACTGCCCATGTGTACTAAGATGTATTGTGGGTAATATTGTATGTCGCAACCCTAAGTTGTACACAAAGATATCTGGACACAGTAATATTCATTCATGGTCTAAACAAGGAGGTTCCCTGAAACCTCATTTTCCTAAACAATAATTGGAGGCCTTCACCTTTGACCTTGTGCATTGGAACCTTAAGGGTCAATGACCTGAAACATAACTCTGAACAAGGACATTATACACACTATTTCTGTGTATAATGTCCTTGCTCTAACATTGACATTGTTAAAACTTGGAAACCATCATTCCTATGAGTGCAATGTTAATGGCCTCTCAATTACATACATTATTCATAGTAATAATACACCCCATTTCTAATAATGGAACAGCCCAATGAGTGTACGCATGTCGACCCCCCTCCCACCCTTACACAGCTTTTCATGTTATCATCTTTATGCAGCAATGCATTATCCGAATTTCAGTTGTATAATTTCTACACTATCCTGTACTAAAACACGAAAGCATCATGCTGATTAAAAAAATAGAAACATTTAAGGGTTGCTTTTAAAAGCCGGGGTGTCGAAAGATCAATAATTTGTTCCGGTTTTTGATCTGAGGTCTTATTTTCATCACAAAGAAGGTCACTGATATAACCGACAAGATACGTACTACGTAGCTTAACAAATTTATGTATACGTGTTTCTGTAAATTATCTTTTTTTTTGTGAACTGTGGGCATACAATGGTATGTACCAAATATATAGCTTAACGTTAACATTTAATTTAACATCTTAATGTTACCCATTCATTCATAACGTTATGTGGTAGCGCCTCACCATTCTCTGGATAGCCGGCGGTATGCCTTCTTGACGTCCCGTTCGTCCGCCGACCTGTCCACGCCGAGCACTTGGTACGGGTCCAGCCCAAAACAGCAGCGCAACAGCACGACCAGGAACACACTAACACACGCAACCGGCTTCATAACATAACATACACTGGCTACCTACAGCTATGGCGGAAGGCTCTCGTTCCCAGGACTCGGTACCACAGTACCCTGGGCACGGGCACGTGGACGGAACCATTTGAACTCTGGGGGCGCGAGGGTATAATCTCCAAGCAGATCCTAGGGTGGCAAAAACAGCATCAAGGGTGTGAAACTTCTTTGGAGAATGGATACTGCCTGGCCAATTTGATACTGTCTTTTGCCACCCTAGGATCTACTCGGAGATTAGGGAAAGGTACTCGTTGACCAAGAGATCACGTCTAGCGATATATTAGACGTAAAACAAGGACAAGAAGAAGTTCCCTGAGTCAGGCTAAATAAACCAGGGACGAAACTCCCAATTGGTGATGAGATTTTAAAGTACACTTAATTAAGGTTGAAGAGATGTACAATTAATGTTGAAGAGATGTACACTTAAGGTTGAAACTATAACTGTGCCGAAAATTGGCTTAATAATTCAGTCGTGAGCCTAAAATACTTTTTGCCAGCATGATAACTTTGTATATCAATCAATAGTTTGTGCTTATAAACTAATATTTCTCCTCTGGTACCTCAGTCATTGACGAAAGCTAGTGGATGCTTAAGCTGAAATGTCATTTCCAAAATAATATCCAGTTGCTTGAGTAACTGCTTTTTGGCGTATCTTATTACCTAGATGTCTAACCTTCATCGACACAATAATGTGATGTTTTATGACAACAAATTTCGGTATTATCCTCGACACATAATTCACCTTCAACAAAGAAAACTTAATGTTTTCAGTTTTGACATAGTGGAGTGGCTGTGGTCTACATAACTCGAGCAGTGAATTGCTCTTAATGATATTTGGTAGGTGAGTAGCGATTGTAGAAATGAAGGTCAAGTTCGAAAATGGTTCACATGGCATTTTCTTACAGTACTGCAGCAGGCTTTGTATGTATGTGTGTTTGTAAGTGTACAATATAACTCAAGAGGCCGTATCTTAATGATATTTCGTATAGGTGTAGGTAGGTGGGTAGGAGTCCTAGAAACAACGGTGAAGTTCGAGAATGGTTCATCTGCCCTAGCATTTGTACTGCTGTCGGCTGTGTATGTGATTTTTTTGTACTTCAGGTTTTTGCCCACACGTAAAAGGGGTCTTTGATGTCGGTTTTCTGCATACTACATGTGTATGTTTGTTTGTATGCATACAAATAACTCAAGAAGCTGTGGATTGTGTTGGTATATATGAGCTCATAGAACTCTTACTAGTAAAACACTATTAATTTCTAGTTAATTCAATATCACTTTAGTGATGACAACAGACTTGGGAAAGTGGTTTTTAATGGTTCATGCTGGTTCCTACATGTATCCAGTGCAAGGGTTTGTAACAATCTCTATATACTTGCTATATCTGCAGCATGGCATAATTATTGGATAACCAAAAAAATGTCTCCACATTTCATTTCAATCCAAAGAACAGATAAACGCATACATGTATCACAATTGATTGTTGTACAGTACTTCTATCCAGGTTTGTGCAATAATAAATAAAAGTTGCACATGTACATGTACATAAAACTGCCCTTGGAAACATATAGACAATGTAAACATTGACCAACTACAGGTACTTAATATACCAAGCATCACCTTTACAATAAATTGGTAGTAGGAAATCTCTATCAATTCTCATGATGGAAGCAAAATTGACAACGTAGGCCAGAAATGTTGACACGTGAAAATCCAAATCGTCTATTCTTTGGCCACAACGGTATATTGGTAAGAGGCAGAATGTGAAGCTATGTCTTACTATTGTATGTTTATATACAGTTTTCTATTAATTATTACCCTCATTGCTTTCTGATGTCAAGAAGGAAAAAACAACAACACACAAACAGGAATGAAACATCTAGGTGCATCTGTATAATGGTTCAATCTCTCAAACTGACAGTACAGAAAAGTTGGTGGCCAAAATACGTGACCTAACCCTTCTGTGCAGACATTCTGGCTGGTTCACATTTCTATCATAGCCTGGGTGCCAGCCTATTTGTATGCCGGGCTCCCATACTCGCTCCTATGGGGTCTTCGGCATACAAAAAGGATGGCACCCAGGCTATTTCTTAGCCTCTACCAGGCTCCGTGGATTGCTGAAAAAATAGTAGAAATTGTAGAAGATCCAGGGCCATAGAAAATCCAAATCCGTGGGTCGCAAATTGGATCTTCTATGGCCCGGGATCTTCTCTGGTATACTATCCCTTTGTTTCGGCCAATTTCTACTATTCTTTTTTCAGTGATCCGCGGTGCCTGGTAGAGGCTAAAGAGGGTCTGCACAGGAGGTTAGTGCAACCCAGCCCTCAAGTACAACCAACTTCCAGTATAACCAACTCATCTCATCTAACCACTCTCATACTACAGCTCCAAGCCTAAAAATTTTCATCACTTTAACGTAAAAACAAAACAATGATTATCATAAGATATAAAACAACATCAAACCATTTCTTTAGACTCATGTCCATGTCCACAGATGAACATAAATAAATGGCCTGACCTGGGCAAACCTTCTGGGTGCATTTTCTATGTTTTTTTGGGCACAAGTCAGCCCATAAAGCCATGAAAAAGCATCATCCACTCAGGTCTGTGCAGGTTAAGGCTTGATGACAACAAAATATAGGCAACATATTAATATCTTGACTCTAGACTAATATTGCTCATGGCTTGTACAACAAAACAAAAGCCCACTGTTTGGAATGCCTAAAGCCCCACAAGGTAAATTTAGGTTTTCCTAAATGGTTTCATCAGGTTGGTAAATGCATGTAGATTCGGCATTCTTGTGAATACATAACCCTGTATTTTATCTGTCATTGTGAAACTATGTAATATTTATTTATACATTTTCTTCCTGTTGCCTAACCCTGTATCCAATACAAATTTTGTGCCAAAAGTCTTCTCCAACAGGAGGAATAATATGATGGAAAGGAACAGGTATTGGCCAGTAGGATACAGGAGTTTTCTTTTATACAACCAAGATTGTCTTACCTAAGTGCTTAAGTTTCAGTGTCTATCAGACACCTTCCTCACAGCCTCACCAAAATGTAAGCACTTACATGTAGGTGAGACTATCTTGGTTGTGTAAAAGAAAACTCCTGTATCCTATACTTAACTAACCTCATGAAACTATATTCGGAGGTATTGGCCAATGTTTTTCCAAAGCCTGAAGTATATATAGTGGTATTAGGCATCACGACATTCCCACCTGGTTAACCTTCTCCCTGCTGCTTTACCTTACAACCAACTGTTCTTGGTTCCAAAAGGCTATCTTGGCAAGCTGAGGGTTAACACCAGGCATTTCCAGTGGGTAAAAAAACATACACTAAGATATTGCACATCATACATACAGGTAAACAACATGAAAGTTAAAGCATTGCTAAGATAGACAAGTCTTAATACACAGTGCTAGTTATAAGTATTTAAGTCTACAAGTACCCTTTATGTTTCAGAATTGCATGTGTACAGTATGATACAATCATGGTAGAAGATCAAATCCTGGATGGCAAAGATAGAGTATGCCGGCATGAAAATATCAGTAATGCCTGTATGAAGTCTTATTGTCTGCAAACACCTATGTGGTGAGATCCTGTATTACACTTCCCACAAACATCAGTATGCTTACAGATATCAATGTGAGGCCACGTCACTCTTGCCTACAAGCATTGGTGTGATGCTATATGTAACACTCGCCTGCAAACTTCGGTGTGAGAATATGTTACCTTTGATTGGAAATGTCAGTGTGAGGCCTCACTTACCCGCCTAGCCCTTCCTCTATACCAGCTTCACACTACATATTGTATAGCTATGTGATAATGATTTTGAATATGAGAAGCCCTCCTGAAAGAAATGTGACCATTGGCACATCACGTACTACTTTTTGAATATGATGCACTATTGCTGTAAGTGACCACTTTTCTACTGTTTTTACAAACAGTAGAACGGAAAAAGTGTCAAACAAAATATTGAGGTAAACTTGGAAAATATCCGAATAGCAACAAAGTCCCAGGTGTCTGAGATACTCTGACAGAACCGCCTTTAGAATAACAAGATTCTCAGTATTATGAGGTAAGGGTCAGGACTAGGAAGGATGGAAAATATTCATCGAATACCAGCAGTTGTGTTTCCTACAAATTTCCGACATGACAATGGTCCATGCTCCACCTTTTCTTACACTGTAAGAACCTGCTGATATCGCCCTGCCTTTCCTTACCTACTCATAAAATGCTGAAGAAAAAACAACATGCTAAACAACTGATGTGACAGTTTGTTACTCTCCAACAATGTCTAACTGTAATACTTCCTTCAGCTGCAAGGGGGCTCTGCTTACTGCCCTAGTGGCTCAGCAAGCAGCTCTTATGCTGGGCATTTTTCTCCAGCACTGTAAAAAAAGAAGAACGTGCACATAAATCGGTACTCTTTGGGGCAAAATATGTACAAGGCTTTTTTTTCTCTCAACAAAATAGTGTACAAAACTATATGACAAAAGCAACATTCAGTGACATACAAGGATCTAACTCTAGCTAAACCTCACTCAGTTACACACATAATAACACTTACTTTCAACAACATTTTACATCAGATTTCTTTGCTCTAAATATCTTTGCATCTTTCTAAATATTTATTCTGCGGATCTTGGTTGATAAACAACCAGTCGTACAATCTATCTCTATCGTTTTTATAATAATGACTTCAGTCTGTGCATGTAGAGCTTCGTAGTCCACATGCCATATGTACAGAAAGGACCGCGAATTTCCTGGGTAAGATATTAAGTGATTGTCACTGTAGGTTATAGTGTAGGAGGTACAACAGTGTGTTATAGTGGGGGGTAGGAGGTACCATCATATTATTGTTATAGTGGGAGTAAGAGGTACCATAATTTTGTACGTTATATAGTGGGGAGAAGGTACTACATGTACCATACATTATAGTAGGAAGTACCATCGTGTTATAGTTGGGAGAAGTAGGTATCACTGTATGATATTAGTAGGAGTAGAGGGTACCATTAAAAGTTATAATAGGAGTAGAGGGTACCATCATACAGGTTATAGTGGGCTGAAAGAGGTACACATGTACCATAATACGTTAAAATGGGGAGCAGAAGGTACCACGGTACATTAAAAGTGGGGAGTAAGAGGTACCTTGCATTATAGAGGAAAGTACCATTGGCTGCATGTTGTAGTGGGGGGTTGGAACTATAGCAGGTACCTTGGACACCGTTTAGTCTCCACCAGACTCCTTTGCAGGCTGAATAAACAGTAGAAATTGACCTAAAAAGGGTATTTATTTGGCCAGAGGTTATTGCCAGCCAAAGAGGGTCCATTTGCCTGCAAGGCTACCTCCTCTGGCTAGCTACATTCTTTTTAGGCCGATTTCTACTATCTATTCAGCCTGCAAAGGACTCTGGTGGAGACTAGAAGTTCAGTGGCCAGCAGTAGGTGCTGGTACAGTGGTTAAGTCCATGCCGCACGGTGGGTTATGTTGTACAATATCATGTATATACAAGGTGCCAAATATACAGGTCATTGGCATTATGAGTGCTAACTGGCAGGGTCACAGGCAGGAGTGCAAAGGGGGGGGGGGACTTGTGAAGGTTGCTAAATATTATTCATAATATTCATTTTGTGCACAGTATTTTTACAGTTGCAAGGGAACTTTTGGACATTTCCAAACACATGTTGCGCTGATTTGCTTTCAGCCGTAGACGGTACAACAGTCTCTATTTAATAGCCAGTACTCAAAATGGCTCCCATTGCTTATAACCTTTGCACTCTTCCTGTTAATGACCCATGACCTTTGCACTCTTTCTGGTCACGACCCATGACCTGTTTGATATACAGCTGCTCTCTTTGCATCTCTCTTTTGCCATGAAATTGCATTTAACATGAATTTATCAAAGCTCTTTTTTTTCTTCTTTCAAGTGACTCGACAATTTGGCAACACTTCTAGGATGGAGAACATTGTGAAAGGTCAAGGTCATCAGACCAGGACCTGCCTGGTGTGACCCCAAGGTCAAGGTCAGGGCTAAGGCAACTGTCAACATTCAGCCCTGGGAAGTAGCTTAAAACCTCCTGTAAAATATCTCAGTAGTTCCTGCCTAGCTGCCTCGCTTAGATGCCAGTAACACAAACAGTTCAAAGTCAATGGAATGTAAGTTTGTTACCGTATCTTTCCAGATAAAGTTGAACAGAGTAAAACTGGGAGAAAGGAAACGTATAAAGCTTTGCCCTGTGCAGAAGGTATACTGCATTGTAAGCATTTGTGTCCATGTTTTTACTACACAAACTTGGCATCTTCTCATGCTGCTGCCTGATTGGTCCACGTGTCAGTCACATGATCAGCCCATGCAGGTCACATGATCATCACAAGATCAGCTGATTCCAGTCACATGCACTCAGTAAGGGGCGTAATCCAGCCAACCGGGGAGCTCCGCTCCAGCAGTCTGCACACGGAACACAGGGTTAGTTACCGCGGTGATGGTTACCGTGGTGACGGTTACCATGGTGATGGTTACCGTGGTGACGGTTACCATGGTGATGGTTACCATGGTGACGGCCACCATGGTGACGGTTACCATGGTGACGGTTACCTTGGTGATGGTTACCATGATGGTTAAGGTTACCATGGTTAAGGTTACCATGGTGACAGTTACCATGGTGATGGTTACCATGTAAACAAGCAGACATGTACAGACAATCAACTATTTCTGAGATTGATTACTACAACAAGACTATGATTGGTGTTTTCATTAATCATATATTAGACAGTAAAATGCATGTAAAATGATGTGTTACATGAATGGATAAGAAAGTTAATTATAGTTCACACAACCAGAGAGTTAATACCTACAAGTACAAGTAGACAATGTCAAAGAACATCCAGTGATAAAACTATCGACAGATGGGTTACATGAAAGTTTAATGTACACATTAACAAACAGAAACAAACACAACATGCAGAGTGACTTGTTGAAAGCTGTAGTTGAAAGAGACCAATCCTTTGTGTTGGAAGAAATGTTTAGAATTTTAACTTCAAACAAACCGATGAGTTGTAAAAACATGTGGAGTCCAGGAGAGAAACCAAAAGTGACAATGGGAGCTACATGTACAATACCATGAAGAAGTCATTATGAAGCAAGTTTAAACTGCACTTTCCAACACAACAAAATTGGACTCACCCAAATTTTTCACTGCACAACTCCAGTCTTTGTCAAGTATTGAGCAATCCACCGCTTCCGTGACGTCATGCAGATAACACACGTGACTCCGTGAGCAGTGGATCATAGGTTGCAGAAGGTGTGTTATCTGCGTGACGTCACGGAAGCGGTGGATTGCTCATTCCTTGACAAAGACTGGAGTACAGTTGTACACACACAAATTTGGGTGAGTCCAATTTGTTGTGTTGGAAATTACAGTTTAAACTTGCTTCATAATGATTTCTGCCGACACAAAAAAATGAACTTTCAAGAGAAGAAGACTATAATACAGTAGAACCAGCACTTAGGTCAAGACAACTCACCAGGAAAACACTTCTATAGTCCCAGAGCACACTTAAGGCAGCAGAGAGAACACAAAATACAGTGTGAAGATCTCAACAATTGCACAGCCCTTCCGTGGACAACGTTTTAGCAACATTTAGCACAGCAAAGGGATAATCTAATCAAGACTGTGTTAGATGCAAATTATAACAACAGATTAAGCACTGAAAAAAATGGACAACACACTGTAACAGGCACTCAGAAAAAAGGTTAGTACACATTAGTAGCAAAACTGTTTAGTACGGACTGGTAGTTTGGACAGGACACTGCATGACTGGCTGTATTGGAGCCTGCACCCCAACCTTTACTGTTAGCCCACCTCCATTGACTTTTACAGAGTGGGGTTGGCTTGGCGTGGCAACGGGTGGGGCTGGGGTTGGACTTATGTGTTCAATAATTTTAACCTTAAAATGTGATCACAAAAATAGAAAAAGAAATTTACATGATTTAGGGTTGTACTTGCTGGTACCTCTGATAATAACAATAATCTCCTTGCTAAGGCTACCTGAGGGCATCAGGACGGTGTTGGTTACAGGGTTAGACATCAGATAGGAGGTTGAAAAAATATCTGTTGGGTTACAGTAAAACTGTTGATTAATCCAAAATATTCAGCAGTAAAACCAGTTATTTACAATGTAAAAAACAAACTAGCTTTTAAAAAACGCTTCTGACAAGGCACTATCTGGTGGTGTTCAAGGCTATAAGTGGCTAACTGTGGAAAGGCTGGGGTGCCGGACTATCTGTGGTAAAAGGGTGTTGTGCCAGGCTACATAATGCATTTGAGTGACAGAACGAGAGAGGAGAAATGGAAACAAAAACAACTGTGGTGATTACCATGATTTTTGTTTGTCACATCCTTTTTTGTTCCCAAAATCTAAGCAAGGCTGAGAGCATGCATGGCCTACATGGGCATAACGGTAGCCACAGTTATCAAACAAAATCATCAAACTACGTGCACTTGTCATCAAACTATGTGCAGTTATCACCAAACTATGTGCACAAATTATTTCATTACATGCAGGACTGTCACTATCCTGATATTACATGACATTGTCATGTGATTGGCACAAGAAGAACATGACTACATTTGTAATTAACAGCATAACACATTGACACAATACCATGCAAGGTTATATGTGTTATGACAACAGCACTTTTTTGTATTTAAAAAAAATCATCACAAGATCAACAAAAACATGTCACGGGCCTTATGTCTGGAGTATATAATAGTATTACCATAATGTCATGCTTACTGCTATTTACATTGAAGTTAAATACATAGTGGCATTAGTTTGGAATGCGAGAGTTAATCCATTATAAAATAACAGTTTCAGGTTTCAGGTGTACGTCGATGTCCCTGTGACCAGATTCTTACCCATCCTGAGTGTGTCTGCATTTTTTTCCTTACAATTTCCAAGTTTATCTGCACTGTTCTCACACTGGTTTAAATTTTAGCCTTCAGGGCTCTTTTGAGCGACTGTCTATGAAGACTCCATCTGAGTTCCAACTTGAAGATTTTAAACAGTTTAAGTTTAAACACTGTCTTAAAGACATAATGACAGTTCCTTTAAGAAGCTCACCTCTGTCTGTACTGCTGCATGATCTCCTGAAGACGCCTCTTCCGTTGGCAGTGACCTCTGTGGGGATATGAAGGTCAAAGAACAGTTACTGTAGGTAAGCTTTGAATACCGGTACTTTGAAATGAGCTGACACACAGTCACATACATGTATGGCACATAATCACAGTCATGTGCCTGTACACACACACACAAACACGCACACAAACACACACACACACAGGAAAAACACAAACACATACAAACATGCAAACATGTCCAATCTTTGTTGACGAGGAACAACAGACATTAAACTGAATAGTAAAGGTTAATGACACACGCAGTGGAAGAAAATAGTTTTTTGACAGTACATAGACAGTAAATTCTGCAGAATTCATACAATAGCTGCAGAAACACCTGCAAACAGTCATAGCAAATCCTATATAATTTACTGGTGTTACAGATGCTTGGTGGTCTCCAAGGTTTCTACGTGCACACACACACAGACACACAAACATACGCATACACACACACAGTACACACATACACACGCACACTGTACACGCACACACACCGTACACAGTACACACACCGCACACACCACACACACACACACACACACGTCGGTTGTTACCTGAACCATTTCTGTATAATGATGGCGGCGCAGTGGTATTGTCGGAATCTCTCGTATTCGCGAAAGGATCGGAAGTAGCTCTGGATGAGTATAGCAGTAAAACATGCACAGACACATTCACACACACACACGTCGGTCATTACCTGAACCGTTTCTGTATAATGATGGCGGCGTGGCGGTATTGTCGGAATCCCTCGTGTTCGCGAAAGGATCGGAAGTAGCTCTGGATGAGTACAGCGGTGAAACACGCACGCGCGCACACACACACACACGGACACACGTCGGTCGTTACCTGAACCGTTTCTGTATAATGATGGCGGCGCGGCGGTATTGTCGGAATCTCTCGTGTTCGCGAAAGGATCGGAAGTAGCTCTGGATGAGTACAGCGGCGCGGTAAAGCTGCCGGAACCTCTTCTGCTCGTAGTAGCGTCGGAACCGGCTCTGAATCAAGATGGCCGCCCTATTCATCTTCTTGAACATGGCATACTACAGGGAAGGGAATGTTGAGGTTAGGCCATAGCTGTAGTACATTTCTAATTTTTGGCTGATTTTTAAAAATTCGTTCCCCAGGCCTCTTCCGTCAAGGTATGGTTTAGAGAATTATACATTTTTTTTACGATATAATAATTATTATTACCTTCTGGTGCCAAATAATGTTTTACTGCTGGTGACTTATTGGTGAATTCCACCAGTCTCTTTGGGTTAGAATTCCAACACTAAATTGTTTCACTTCTTCTATATATAATACAGGGCTTTAGCCAGCTCGAAATTTTTTACCGTCAACCCCAGGTCAACCCAATTCGCGAAAAAAAAATACCGTCAACGCGAAAAAAAATTCCGTCAATGATTACTTTTAAAGAATGTCTTTCACGATCCGGTGATCGACATCACGCCCTCCTGCACACTTAATGCATTCGGTGTTCTAAATACCCGTCAAGATTGCAGAATAAAAAAAAAAAACTACACAATCTGCAATTTTGCAGAATGAAAAAAAAATCTACAGTTCTCACAAGGAGACAACACGCAATGGACAATTCGCTATGCCCTTTGTTTTGATCCGCTCAAATCGCGGCCATGCAAATGAACCTACTCATGACGTCACAGCCTCCGATTTCCACCGAGCCGGGCCCGAGCGCTGACCGACAGCGGGCGATGTGGCTCAGATCTCCGACGATTTCCTTATTTAGAGCGTTCGGAAGACTTCGGGTAGCAAACAAAATGGCCGACATGTACATGATTTTACTTGTCAGCTTCGCTTCTCTACCGAAATGAGGAAGTTACAACTCCTTTGCGGACTTTAGCGGCCATGAAGTTGACTTGGGGAAGCGCTGAGACGTGATTTCGCTACGGCATAGGGGATTTTGCCGCGGAGGGAGTTACGTGGCCGGCAAAAACTCGCGTGTCAGCGATCCTCCAGAAATCTTTATGCTGCCGCTCAAGTCTTCGCGCGAAGGAGGTCTTATACACTGTGTATAATGTCCTTGGTCTGACGAAGTTTTAGATTAAATAAGGCCACTTTGTGTGGATCAATCTCCGTTTTCTTGCGATAGTATGATTATTCAAGTACAGTATATTATTCAAAAACGTTTGATATTTCTTTGTTCGTTGTCACATGTTTATTTATCGTATTGTCATGTACAGTTAGCAGCGTGTGTCTGAGTCGAGCCATTGTTTTATTTTATTCTTATGTGGCCGTTAGCACATGTTGTTTTAACAGACAGCAACATTGAACAATAGAGCCAAGTCAACAGACGTCGGCACGGTCCTTGAAATCAGGTTTCCCGCCGCCGTGCGTTTGGAAAAGACGCCGCGCCGTGGCTCATTCAAATTCGCTAGATTTTTTCCATGTCTTTACCCACGATTTTTGACCGTCAATGTTGACGGTAAGGACTAAAATTTTTACCGTCAGACGGGACAAATTACCGTCAATTGACGGTAAAACGGGCGCTGGCTAAAGCCCTGATATAATATCATATGATTTCAAATTGATAATTTAAATGTATTTGTAAGGAGTAAGTGTATCTCACTCGTCTATAGTAGTTCTGGATCAGAATCGCAGCCTCAATCTCACGTAGCCGTCGTTGCCGGCGACTCTGCGAAAAAAAAACACATCAAAAACATGATTATCATAAACGTAAACAACATCGCAAAGTAAACATGAGATTTGCATATCCAAGAGAGTTGCAGGTCGCAAGCTGTTCTGATTGAACAATCATCAATCATTAAAAGGACAAGCTTCCTACGTCTTAACAGTACAGTAGAAAACATTCAAGATAACTTAATTATATGAGACACAAGACATACCAGATGAAAAAGAAAGACATACTTTGTACTGGCATAAGATGAAATTAAAGACTTACCTCGTCCTAGCAAAAAAATTGAAGATTTACCTTGTACTGGCGGAAGGCGTTCTGTATGACAGCTGCTGCTCGGTATAGCTTCTTCTGTTCCTGGTCTGCAGGAAAAATAAACACATTACCATGATGGTTACTTGGAGATCATGTACAAAATAGTGAAACCTTGCGAGATCGCAGTAACAGAGTAAGCAGTCCAAAAACGTCCTTTATTCTTTTTTTGCTACGTACAATTACGACAGAATAAAAATACTTAACATAGTCCTCAAACTAACTTCAGTGCCTTATCTTCTATTTACCTTTGAGACCCTAAAACTGAATAAGAATAATATCTTTAGTGTTTAGGTTACAAGTACATAATATCATTATCATTATAATACGATTATAATCGTTGCTGACACAATCAAGCCAAGTGGTACCACCTCTACTATAGCCTTTGCACATATATTGGCCTACATGTACATAATTTTCATAATTTAATATCTCCTTTAATTCTTATATCCATAGAAGATAGCTTGACCTGTGCATGAATGAAAGTTTATAATGAAAGTTTATACCTGTGAGTGTGAGGCTCTGCAGTTCCTCCGTGACCCGCCCAGAGGCATTCAGGAACTCGCACCACTCCTCCCGGGTCGGCGGGGGGTCGTGGGGGTCAATCGCAAAGTCCTCCAGCAGGTCATCTGGGCTGTCCAGGTCAACGGGACTGTCCACTGATCCTGGGAGGGGGCAGGGTCATAAATATTACTCATCAGATTCTGATTGTATGTGATTGTCAAAGATTATACTACTTTGATCTAGTAGTGAGTAAGTATTATATACTAGCAAGTAGAATACATTTGCATCTTGAATACTTTTATCGTTAATGGACAATTTCTTCTTTAACAGTTAACGAGTGCCTTCTGTGGAAAATTGATTCCAGCTTAGGCTGGGCTATCCAGGTTAACGGGACTGTCCACTGATCCTGGGGGGAGGGGCAGGGTCGTAAGCACCAGGCCTTCTTTAAATTTGCAGCTAATACGACATTGGATGGTACACTCAACATTTCAGCACCAAGGTCATACCTCATGTTGTGTTTACCACCAGGACTCAACACAACATGCTTAGGCACGTTCTGCCAAAGTGCTATGTACAATTCATTTGTGCTGGTGCAGTGTGTTCTGCCAATGTAGGTCCGTCTGATGTGATGGCAGACCTTTCGGCTCAGAACCAAGAGGTCCTGGGTTCGATTCCTACCATGTCACCGATCTTGTGCCCTTGGGAGAGGCACTTTACACGACATTCCTGAATGGAGGCCTGGCAAACCCCATCTCGTATTAGCCACAAAAAGGCAGCAGAATCTTCAACTAGTTGAAGATGGCTGCCTCAAAATGAAGGAAGAAGAAAACATAAACTCCTACCTGGTGTGGTGACATCCCGGTAGGTGTGGTCCAGGAAGGAGTAGTCCTCGTCTGACATTTCCTGGTCATCTACGAAGCGTGGCGGCAGCGCCGAAACGATCCGCTCGGCTAGTAGCAAGATGGAGTCATGTTGGGGGGAGGGCGGCAGCTCACCGGCCTCCAGGTCCTTCTCATAACCATCCTCACTGTACTGCATGGCCTCTGTCTGTGTCTGGGATTGGTATTTGCATTGTTTGTATTTATTCAAAATGAAACAACTCATTTACACTGGATTAGCCAAAGCAGCAGCTGACAGTGTTCTAGCCAGCCTAAAATATTTTTGTCATCTCAAGTTTGTTTGATGTAACATCAGGCAGTTCAGGGGCATGCTTCCCCCAGAAAATTTTGAAATCTTGATCCTCTGAGACAATTTTCCTGCATTTTGAAGGGCAAATTTTGCTAGTAGACTAGGCTTAGTTGAAATGTCTTTCCATAATCTTCACAAGCCGATTTTTGTCCATCATGAGCAGCAAAAGTCTGTCAAATGACAGAAAGACAGTGCTGGCTAGATACTAACATATAACGTGTAACTTATAAGGATAAAAATTATCATCGATACTATTAGCACATTACAATCATGATTGTATGGCATTACCTGTCGTAGGTGTCTCGCCCGCAGGCTCTCTGATAGAGCCGGCTGGTCCGTGTGCATGGCTTCCTCTGTCTCCATCTTCACCAGGCTGGGGTCTAACAGGTTCGTGCCGGGGTTCAAGACATTGGTGCTAGAGTTCAAGACATTGGCTGTAGGGTTTAAGACATTGGTGCTGGAGTGTAAGATGTTGGAGCCGGAATTTAGGACGTTGGTGTTGATCTGGGAGATAGACCTCTGTAGGAGAAGCTGCAGTTCCTCCTGAGAGAGCTGGGGGGCACTCTTGCGTGTTGCGTCCTGAGAGAAAGAGAGAGAGAGAGAGTGGTTTTTATTCACACGCAACCTTTAAAAAGTACACAATTATCACAAATAAACAGCTATGTCGGTTTGCAAGTAGCTGAATTGAGTTGTGACTGAACATACGTACACACATTGGGAACATTTAGAAGCATGATATTATAGGAACTTGGACTGATAATGAATTGATGATTTACTAATTTTTATTTTTGTATTATATCTTTTTGGTTTGATTTATAATCCGTGACCCCACCCTCGACCTTGTTGAAAAGCGGTCATTATGTATGTACCGAACAAGCTTTCGAAATTAAATAAAGGCTTACTACTACTAGTATTCAGTAAAATTGTTTAATTTTATACCTGGTTGTTTGGTGAGAGGTTTGTGGAGTTGGGGGAGGCGGAGCTGAGAGTAGAGCAGGCTGAAGACGGTGAGTGCTCGGGGTCAAGCGGGGTCAGCGGAGACAGGCGTAACCCCGCGCCGAGCGGCAGCGTCAGGCTCCGGGGGGAGAACGGTGAAACGTGGTGGACCGGCGGGGGCTTGAACGCCACCGGGAGTTGTTGGCCTTCCTGCTGTATGTGTAAATCATTCTTTATTCAGTGAACAAGAAATATACAAGAACTCCAGGTCATGTCAGCCAGTAATGACCGAGCATGCAGGACAGCATTAACAATGACAACGACTATGACATACACAGATGACATTTAAATTGATCAAACGTAGTGACAAGAGGTTTAAAATCTGGGATTAACTATATATTAATTGAACATTATTTTTAAAAAAGCATCTGCATTACTGTAGTTAGTTATTTTCACTAAAAGAATAGCATTAAAAAGAGTATATTGCACGATTTGTGTTGTTTGGCTTGTATCAATGGTTTATTTGCATTAAAAACACAACAACACTGTCCCAGAAATGGCAGCCAGAGGCTGAATTGACATCGGGACATTACATAAACAGCAAGCAGTATAAAACGTCATATCAAACACTTTAAAATAGTAATAAACCATTGCATAAAATATTGTCAGTAAACGTTAACAAATGCAAATAACATTTCAGATAACAATATCGACGGACAATGGTAACACTAAAATAAGTCTTAGGTCCAAAAAATGTGACAGTTTTACATGTTGGGTGAGTTCCAGCTCCTCGGCGATCCGCGGGTGGCCGCGGGCTCGCGCCACGGATGCGGGCAGGCGACCCAGGGAGTCCGGGACGGTCAGGGCGGCCCGGTTCCACCGGCACAGGAAGTATGCCGTGTCCGTGTGGCCCATGGCACAGGCCCACATCTGCACAACAAAAGGACAGCTGGTTACTGGCTTTTCTGACAACTCTCCAGTGTCACTGACCAAAGGTAGTGGATGCTACCTGAAACATCTGTTTCCAAAATCAAATCTAGTTGCTTGAGTAACTGTTTTTTGGCGTATATTATTAACTGGATGTCTAACCTTCACTGACGTACAACTAGCTAGTTCTGAAACTACATTAATGCACAGTTGAACCATGATCTATGCCCTTACCAATAGAGTACAGTTGCCATTGCAAGAAGTGTACAGTTGAACTATATCATTTGATCTTACCAGTCATGCAGTTAAAGTATTACCCATGCCCTTACCAGTGGTGTACAGTTGAAGTGGTCGACATTGAGTGGGTCCACCTCTACCTCCAGGACCACACTGGAACTCTGGCTTCTGCAGAAATGTGAAACTGTCAGTAAAACGTAGCACTAGTAGCATGTCGGCAGAATGTACTGCACGTAGCAATTTGATAGTTATGGATTAATTTTAAATTGTAATTTCCAACATGAAATAAATCATTAAATCAGTCACAGTTTCACAGATGAACTTTCAAGATAAGGTTATTTATAAACTTTATTTGTACCATAGTCAAGCAATAAAAATTCCCTTCTTTTGTATCTGTTTTCTACCCAACACTTAAGAACTATAATTCGTGCCTTTAAGTACCAGAGTTATCACCCAAAGATTGATACAGGAGCTGGTGTGTTACACTGAAGGGCAGTTATACCAGACTCCCAACTTACCTCCAGACCATGAGTTTCTCAGCCAGTCTTCTGTAGCCCAGTGCAGCTGCCAGGTGCAGCAGCGTCATCCCCCTAGCGGAGCAGGTGGGAAGTGCAGCCTCGGGTTTGATCCAGGTGCGAGTCATCAGCTGAGAGCAGACCGCGATCAGACGGTCCTCCAGGGAATGCTGGGTACCCTGGCCTGAACCCTGTCAATCAAAAAACCAAATCCATCAATCAGCAGGGCTTGAAATTAAAGGTGGTCCAATGGTCACTGACCACTAAAATTTAGGGTGGGACAACTAAAAAGACACTTTGGGACATTTTTAGGACAAAATAATCAACATCAGAATGTCAGCCCTTCTTTAAGTGTTTATCAGGCATACCTTCCGCCTTTTGGATCCAGAAAAGTCCCCCCAAATTTCCTGTTTATATGGTGCACCATATAAAATAAAGTAGAATGTTAGCAAAAACCAAGCAGGCTTTATAATGATTTTATTTTTTACTGACACTTAGAATAGATGCTAAGAACATGTTGTATTCTACTACATTTTACTGGTGACAGAAAAAATTGCATGCACAGCTCCAAATTTGGGTGCACTAAGGTACACAAGCACCCAGTATTTCAAGCCCTGCTACACCTGTGCATGACTGACCTGTCCAGAGCTGTCCTGTTGCCCCACCCCCCTCCTGGTACCCAGCCGGTTCTCCAGCTGCTCGAGTCTCTCCAGGATGGAGATTTTAAACTGCCGCTCTGAAACAAAAATAGGGAGAATTATTTGGTAATCTTGACTTTTGTTCAGTTGTGAGTAAAAGGTTAACATCATAAAAAAGTACCGAGGTCTGGGACAAAACCTGTGTCCCCCTCAGAGCTATTTTTTGCTAGTCTCCACCAGACTCTTTTGCAGGCTGAATAAATACATGTAGCAGAAATCAGCCTAAAAAGGTGATATCAATGGCAGGCAAACTGGACCATCTATGGCCAGAAAACTTCTCTGGCCAATTATATCCCATTTTTAGGCCGATTTCTACTACTTTTATTCAACCTGCAAAGGAGTCTGGTGGAGACTAGCTACAGTGGGTTGTTTTTCCATGACATTGTCCAGCAAAGATCTTAAACAATTAAACAAAAATCTGAGATTTAGACAAACCGTCGAGGGAGAGCCACTCCCGTTGTGTGCCGGGGCTCTGTAGAACGCTGCGCGTCCGGTACTCAAACACGACAGACTTGGAGATAGGCACTCCGCTCGCCGCTACCTGCAGGGTCACCAGGCCAGTCTCATGGGCTAAAGAGGGGTTAAAGGTGACACTGTTATATTAGGCTGCAGGGGTTAAACATAGCATCAATTGTTATCACAGACCTCTTGAAGCTTAAAGATGATATTCAGATCTTAGGCTGTAGATGGTTAATAAACATGACATTGTGTCAGATGGGCTGCAGAGGGTTAATATGACACTTAATCTTACAAAATTTCCTTTCATTTAAGAACATTCACTGTGAGAGTAAAATGTAACAGACCAACCTAAAGTGGTGCAGTACAGGTTAATCTCTGGGCAATCACTCGTAAAATAAATCTTTATTTGCATTCAGACACATACATGTATTCATGTACAGACAGATACAGATTTTCCAATTATGATGACCATGTCAGTCCCTACACCTGAGTGAGGGTCACAGTTGACACGGTGGCCTTCGCATGGATTTGTTTAAGGTGGATAACAGGTTGCAAATACTCAAGGTTAATCTAGGCATTTCCCAATAACACTAATAAAAAAAAGGAATGTCGGCTCACCCGGGCAGTAACATCTGAGGACCCCGCTCTGCACCAGGCTGGCGGGGACACTGATGTCATCAAACACACAGCTGTAGGCCGTGGTGCTGGAGTGCCACGGGCCCGTCACCAGGATCTTCACTCCCCCCTGCAAACAGACATGGTTTAGCCCATGCACCCAGCAGATGTACATGGTGCAACCCACACACAGGCACAAACAGATAACAACCAACAAATACTAATACACGGTATGAATGGAGTAAATAACATCACCTGTGTTTTAATAAAGTTCAACATTTTACAACAAACATACATGCTTTAACCTACTCCCTCTGCAATGGAGTAACATTGACCTTGACATTCTAGCTGCAGGTCATGTTCTAAGTTCTGCGTGCCAGGTGCACTCTGAGTAAGTCATGTTCTAAGTTCTGTGTTAAGTTAAATTTGAATAAAGATTAAAAAAAACCTCAACAAAATAAACAAGTTCTATAAGTTAAATTTGAATAAAGATCTTAAAAAAAAAACTAAACAAAATAAACAAACCCACCTCTGGATAGGACCACTCTGGTGAGAAGTCGGTGATGCACACGAGCTCGTTTCTGCGAGCTGGCCTCTCCCCGCGGCCGTAGGTCCCATTCTCTGGCGGGTCGCTACCGTGGTCGATACTGAGAGAACGGTTTAGAGATTAGTGTAATAATTATAAATCTTACTGCTCCTCTTCTGCATTTGAGTATGAAATGGGAACTACATGTACATGTAACTTCAAAATCCTACAAATCTACAGTACTACAATAGATCTTAGTACAAGTATTTTTCTGATACTTTCTGATGCCAAGAATATCCTGTATACATTCGATATGTACAAAAATACCTACAAAAATAATTTGGGTGAAAAAAATTGGATGCACAGTTCCAAATTTGGGTGCACTAAGCTGCACATGCACCCAGTATTTCCAGCCCTGTCACTAGCAGGTCGGCAGAATGTACTGCGCCTGCGCAAAACCCTGATTTTTGATGGTTTTCGTTGGATGTTTGGTCAACGTTGCATCAGAATTTTGCCTGTTGCAAAGGATATCTTTTACATAATATTTAGAAACTACTGATGGGATGTTAACCTTATATGAGCAAATACCACCTTATATGAGAAGTTCTGCCAAAGTGCTATGCACAATTCATTGCAGATTTCGCGCAGGTGCAGTATGTTCTACTGATGTGCTCCTGTCACTGCTTGTAAGAAAACGGGCAAACCTGCGGTCGCTGGAGTCTGTGTTCTCCAACTCAGGCAGGAGATCCGAGAGCTGCGTGTCCAACATGATGTTATCGAACGCGTCGAAGTTGGACAGGTCCACGTCGGAGGTGGGGGTGTTCAGGTCCAGGTTGTCGAGCGCCTGATTGGAGGAGAGGGTGCCGAGGTTAAGGGTCAGGTTCTGTGGCGGGGAGAGGTGCCCGTTGGCCGCGTGGTGGGACAGCCCCGTCGGGATCACGCTGCTGCCGCTCAGCAGAATGTCCCGACACCCGAACTCATTGGTCTCACTCAGGGGTGAGGTCAGCTGGCCTTCGCCGCCGCCTGAGGAAACGACCGTGGGAGACCCGATGGCATCCCGGGCGCCGGAATTCATGGCTACCGCCGTCTTGTAGTCGGGAGGGGGGTACGGGTGATGGTTTAAGTTCAAGCCCTCGCCGAAACTGCCACTGTTCAACTGTTGTTGCCCCCCCACCGCCGCCGCATCCCCCCCTATTGCACTTGTCATGTCCTGAGCAAAGAGTAGCTGCCGGTCTGTAGTACCCCCCTGGACCACCCCCGCCCCCTCCAGGGCGAATCCGTTCGGGTGGGCGTGTCCGCCGCCATGGTTACTTGTCTGTAGAACCTGTTGACAGAAGGAGAACCGCTCGCTTGATATCTTTATGCAAAATTGCTCAATATGGACATATTAATATTCAAACAGAGCAATATCTCAAACCTGCCCATAAGCGCACCAGAGGAAGTCATGAGTATAAATATCAAGTAATATCTGCCAAAACAGACTGTTTTAGATTTTCTTTTTTTCCACGAACAATAAAAGAGTGGAATAAGCTGCCGGGAAAGTTAGTACAAGCCCAGACAGTGGAGGCCTTTAAGGCCGGACTCCTGGCCGCGCAGCCATAGTCCGTCGTAAACCCCCCCCCTCTCAGTGATACCCCAGTAGGGGTTTTTCAAGAGTATCAAGAAGAAGAAGAAGAAGAGCACCTGTTCGTCCAGGCTCTTGCTCCTCTTGACGAAGCCCTTGGCGTCGAGAGCCATCTTGCGGCTGAATCCCCCCCCAGTGAAGCTATGCGGGGCCCTACTGGGGGTGGATGGCGCCGTCATGGCATGCCCTTCTCCGTGGATCGTGTTCAGATTCAGACTGTACCGACTTACGGGCGCCGCCTCGGCCAGCGTCTGGCCGGGTAGAGCGTGGCCGACCAAAGCCTGGCCTGCAAGCGCATTAGACTCGTAGATGGTCAGCATTGAGGACGGCGGGAGATCGAAAGAGCCTTGCGAAGACAGGAATCTTGCATGGTTCATGGAAGCAGCGGGGCTGTGCGAGTTTGCCGCCGAGTTAACAGGAGTTGGAACTTCATTCTCCACCTTCACCGGCCACCCCTGCGCAGACGACGCGATGCCATTCAGGACCATGGGCACGCTGTTCGGCTGCGAGGCGGTTGCGGGGTGGAACACCATGGCGCTACCTCCGTCCGCGGTGGAAATGGCCACGTTGTGAGGGGAGGACTGAGGGACCATGGACACCATGCCGGTGGGGAGGGGGGTGACGACGGAGGTGGGTAGCTGGTGGTGGTGGTCGTCCGTTGTGTAGCCGGGCAGCACGGGAACTCCACACAAGAGATTTGCGCTGACTATCGAACCACTCGTGCTAATCCCCGTCACCTACAAAACACAAATGCATCACAAATTAATAAAATGTAATATTCATATGTATACCATCATCATCATGCCTCTGGTGAGGTACCCTCATTAAAATTACTCCAATACACCCTGTCCCTCATGGAGGACATGTTCCTGTGATGAGACCAGCATCTTTCTCTATAAACATTGACAAAGGTGTGGTAAGATCACAAATTGATGTAAGATTCATAATTATATACAAGGACATATTAAAGGATAATTCATCAGGTTGGTGAATGATTGAAGGATAATTTATTTATAAGCCGATGAAGGTTGGACATCCAGGTAATAAGATACGCCAAAAAAACAGTTAGCAACTGGACATGATTCTGGAAACAGTCAAATGGTCTTACTCTCTGACAACTCTGTAGCGCCACTGACGAAAGGTAGTGGATACCACTGAAACGTCTGGCCATTTCCAAAACCACATCCAGTTGCTTGAGTAACTGTCTTTTTTTGTGTATCTTATTAGGACCTGGATGTCTAACCTTTTTGGCACATCAATGCTTAGGTTGTAGTTTGACATGGCTATTAAATAAATAAAAGATAAGTAAACAAACAAAGCAAACAAACGCACCGCGATCCCGCTGGTAAACATCCCGTTGTGCACGCCGCCTGCCCCCGGTCCCGCCAGCCCGTTGAGACTCACCACCGCGCCGTTCCGCGCCGCCAGCCCGTTCGGAACCTTCCCGATCATGCTCACCACCGCGGGGGCCGGCTGCGGAGGGGGCGCGAGGTCAGGGGTCGCATCGCTGCTCAAGCCTGCAGGACTCTCCATCTCGGAACGCGTACTCTCGACCTTAGAATATGATAACCATAATAAGAAGAAAGTTTATTGCAAATACATTGAATTTCCCGAGGGCTAATTGCAGGTACAAACAACATGTATTTAAAAAGAAAATACATTGTACAGTGGTATGAGAGACTATGTCTAACATTAGGCATTCTACAACATACATGGTACCGGTACTAGTTTTGCTGGGTTTGACTTCTTTTTTGGGGGCAGTGGAAGACAAATTTACAAAAATGTGGGTTCTTCGACTTTAGTGGTAAAATTGTTTTCTCTTGGTGGGAAATAGTGGGAAAGTAAGGGTACATTTTGGCCACGGTGGTAAAATATTGGTTTCTGATAATATATTCATTATAAAATGAACAATTAGAAGTATATCAATGTGACTGCAGTCTGAGTGCTCAGACCTTGGGCAAGATGATTCAGTGGGGAGTGTGTTTCACACAGGTGCAGTACGTTCTGCCAACATGCTGTAATATTATCAAAAACTACAATCTGAGTGCTCGTACCTTGGGCGAGATGATTCGGTGTGGAGTGTGACCGCACTTCTGCTTGGTTCCCGCCCCATCCTTAGCACAGACGCAGGCGTGCGTGACTGTCTTAGGCTGGGGTTTGGGAGCCTTGTTGTCCAGTAACTTCTCCACAACTGCCTCAATCGTCTCGCTCTGAACAAGAGAAACAAACTCAGAATCAACAACAACTTTTTAAACATTTAGAGGACCAACAACAAACTTCAAATACACATGTACTGTCTAATCCATTTCTTTCTATTGTCCAACAACAGCACATACATGATTGTATATTACTGACTTTTCACATGCAGAGAAACAAATACAATCATGTTTATAGTAATTATCATTTTCTATAATGTACGTGAGATAGCCCATAGTATATCATGTACCCCATAATATGTGATATGAGTTTATAACCCATTTTACTCACCACGTCGTTGTTACTTCCGACCTTGACTCCTGCAACTGCAGAGCACAAATAAAAAGGTGATTACATTTTGTATAACTATTATTTTTAACACGGGAATGAAAAATTTTATCTTTTAAATAAAATACAGGATTTTTCCAACAAATGGGAAAAGTATTGATGCAAAATTTAACCGAAATACTCAACCCAGAAATTAGAGAATTTCCCACTGTCCAACTCCTTGACAGAGAATAAGTACTGGAGTTGGCCAGTCATAAATTTGGGTAAGTCCAATTTTTGGGTTGGAACTTTGAAATATGGCAGCTAAGTTTACTCACACATAGGCTTGAGCTGCTTCAGGAGTTCGTCTTTTGTCCATTCTTGTGAGTCGATGCGGAGGGGAATGGTGGGGGGAACGGAGGGTTTGGAGTCCTCAGTCGTCGGCACATTCAGGTAGTGTACCAACACTATGTCTGGGTTCTAAACAAACAAACAAATAAACAAACAAAAAAACACATGATCAGGTAGTGTACCATCACTATATCTGGGTTCTAAACAAACAAACATCATCATCATCATGCCTCCAGATCCAGTGAGGTACGCTCGATAAAGTCACTCCAGTACACCCTGTCCCTCCCTAAAGCAGACCCTGCGAGACACTGGTGTGTCTTTCTCTAACATTGACAAAAGTGTAGTATGTGGTCGTCCCACTCTACATATGTACATGTACATCTCCCTGTGGGAAGCCAAACAAACAAGCATTAAACTAGCTTAAAAAAACTACATTAACTTCTCTGTTTATTACTCAAATGCATTGATTTTTCATACATACATGTAGGTTGACCACCCCCTCAAACTCTGTCCTGCAACTTTGCTACATAATATAATCTGACACCAGTCTACTTTAGCACCAGTTGCCATGGTGGCAGCCATCTGGTCCAGGTCATTGACCTTTTTGTTATGGAGAAGAACAAACGTAGCAATAACAATTATATCTTTCCCTTCTGCAAACAAGGTAAACATAATAATACAATTCTCTTTTTCGTATCATATTAAGCCCCAGAAGAAACATGATACATGTACCAACACTTTATGTGATTTAGCAGTAAAATCTCATTCAAAAGTGGTACAACATCTACTGTGTTAACGGTCAAGAGAACTTGGCAAGCACAGAATGATATCAGCAAATTTTCCCTGTGAACTGACTGACCTGCAACAACCAGTAGCATCTTCTGTGGAATGTTGGCACAATAGAGGAATGCACATAGCAGCCATACAGGCACTGTGGGGGGAGAGAAATAACAAAAGTCAACACAGTCGTAACTGTACATCTATATCTGGATCAGGACCACTAACAAACGTCTTGTACACCTGTACAAGATACAGAACTGCACAATGGCCTAGAAATAAACATGTTACGTTTCTTGTTTCCCCACCGAGCATAGCAAAAATCCACTGACGCTAGCCTTTTATACTATATTATATAAATATATACTAATATATATGGCACATGGAAACAAGAATATCATAAATCCAGTCCTTGTTGTTTGTTGCCAATAGTTAACAATGTATGTCTCTTGCCATGGATTAAAGAAACCATCATGGATACCAGAATGATGCAAGTCTATTGCCATGGATACCAAATGATGTCTGTTGCCATGGATACCAGAGTAATGTGAGTCTGTTGCCATGGATACCAAAATGATGTAAGTCTGTTGCTATGAATACTAAAATGATGCAAGTCTATTGCCATGGATACCAGAATGATGTAAGTCTGTTGCTATGGATACTAAAATGATGGAAGTCTGTTGCCATGGATGCCAGAGTAATGTGAGCAAGCTGTTGCCATGGATACCAAAATGATGCAAGTCTGTTGCCATGGATACCAAAATGATGTAAGTCTGTTGCCATGGACACCTTACCTCTACACCCTGTACTTTGAGCTTCATGTGATCTTCTCTGGTAGTTTTGCCATCCTTGCGTTTCTTCCAGCTGTAGCCGTCTTTTCTGTACTTCACCTTCTTTCTGTTGTAGAGGATCATGGAGCCGCTTTGAGGTCTGGAAAGGGGAGGAAAATGTTGTTATCCTTCAGTATACTAGTTTACAGGATAGTTTACAGGATAGCTTTAAACAATGTCTAGAGTTAGAAGTTCAAGGGTTACGTGTAACAAGTCGATCAGTGTAACATATATATATAGCCAGCTGCCGCTGCGCCGCGTGCCTGCAAAGCTGGTGTGTTACGCCGAAGAGTGGTTATACCGGCTATACAGATACAGATACAGATACTAAGGTAGCCGTTTGGAACCAAACTGTCGTGGCTTGGGAGTTAGGCAGCTGGGAAAAGGTTAATAGTGGCAGCAGTTTCTAAACAGAAACTTAAAAGTTAAATTGTTCCATTCTTCTTGAATTCTGAGTGGTGCAGGAAAACTTGCCTAAGGTATGCAGAAAAAAGGATTTCAAGTCCTGGAAAGACTCAAACATTTTGGGTTTATCTAAACAGGGGAATAAGGGCACTGCTCCCTCATTTAACCAGCCAGCTCCCTCATACCAATTCTCAGATTGAACCACAATCATGGGCAAATTTTATACAGCACTAAGCTCCAAACACAGTGAGACTAAGATTTGGAAAATTATTTGACAAGTAATAAATAAATTGACCTATATAGTCTGGAACTGTGGACATGTGTGTTGTTCAAAGTCATATCTAAGGATATGTAATTTGATACGTCTTTACGTAATTTGATACTCTATCAACAACAGAAACCAGGTCAATAACATCAAGTTCAGTCCCATCAGGCCAGCTGGGAGCGGCTGTAACCCGATATGCCCAGCGCTGTCATCCGCATCAGTCACTGGGTCAGGGGTCAGCAGCTGACACCCCAATTAGTCTGTGGGGTCAGAGGTCGGCCAGCTGTGTGTACTGTAATGTTCCTGGCATCACTACATCAGCAGCTAGAGTTCCAGGATCTCATACCTTCACATAATGATTTTAGTGATCTCGATTCATATTTTTAACTCACTGAAGATCTATAGTAACTCTTCCACTGGTCATGACAGAGAAGACAGACGCTATGTACAGTATTTACAGGTCCATTGTACCAGGGAAATTCTGCTAGCTAGCTCTTTTCGACAAGCATAATGAACAGTGGACCACAGCTTAACGTCCTGTCCTTTAGGACTGCAGCCCTTTCCAGTAGCATACATGTTAGGTGAATGACAACAGTTGGGATTCAAACACCCAACCTCTTGGTCCAAAGGCAGGGTCGCTAATTAAGTGGACTTGAGTGACAACTGTCGGGATTCAAACTCCCAACCTCTTGGTCCAAAGGCAGGGTCACTTGCCACTGGACTATGTACGTGATACACCACAGATTTTCAGAAAACTGCCCCAGAGAAACCAGGGAACTATTTTGCAACAGCCCATGTTACCCTACCAATCCTCGTTCCAGATCATAGTTCCTATTCCAGATGACAACGCAATTACGACCAGCGAAGCCAGAGCATAGAGACGACTGAGTGTATTCTTTGTTCTCTCAAACCAACTGCGCAGTACACATGCGTACACATCGGATCAAACCATTATCAGTATCATGTGTGTTTGTCTCGGATTCTAGGTGCTAGGATAACAGTTGACCTAGATTTTGGTCAACCTTTAAGAGGACTATGATTATTATGGTACATTGTAACAGTTGGGATCCTAATTGTTTCATGATTGCCAGCAACACTTAAAAAGAGCATAGCTGACTTGTGACCTCTTGCACTAGCAATGAGGATGGTTATATCTATCATGATATAGACTAAATGATTTGAATCTTTTTTTCTCACCTGAGTTTGGGAGTTGTGGACAGCCATTGTTGATGGATGTCAAAACACAGCAAGAAGCCAGCGATTTCCTGAAACACAAACCAGGAAGATGTGCTTGTGTCCAAACAACTTCTCTATGTAAACATTGTACATGACTTTGTGTCCAAACAACCTCTATGTATAAACACAAGTGAAAATGCATGAATTTGCATCCAAGCAGTATCTCGCACATTCTGTTAATCTGTGAGTCAGTGTGACTGTTTTTCTGGTCTGAGCTTGTGTTTGGGATTGTACTCCTAACCCTGCTGTATTTTGTGAGAGATTTAAGAATAGAGATGTACAAATTACCCACCCCCATAGTGTTACCATGGTGATGAACAATCCCTGTGTGTGGTTACCATGGTGATGACCTGTGATCACATACCCGCCCCTATCACTCCCAAACACATTTCCAACCCAAATCTGGTCCATAAGCCCTCCCATTTCTCCTGGCTGCAGATCACACATAGCCTGGGTACCATCATCTGTAGGCTCTCACTAGCCTGGGCGTCAGACTGTTTCCAGGACCTACATAGGCCAGCTCCTCGGCTCCAGGACCAACATGCCAGCCTCAGTGTTCTCGTCAGGCCTTTTGAGCATAGGGGCCCCCTATGCTGTAATTTGGACCCCCTATGCTGTGATTTGGACCCCTATGCTGTCTTTCGACCAGCATAGGGGTGTTTTTGGGGGAGAACCTTCATAAATCTTGCAAAACAAGATGAAAATACATGTACAACTTTAGAATGAAGTTATAGCAAAGGGAAAACCTTAACTTAAATCACCAAATCTGACGCTCAATAAGCTAGAAATAGTGTCTCAGGGGTTATGAGTTTGAAATTTTTTCGGCCCAATGAGCGACTTGTGCCGCGAAAGTTGTCCTTCTGTACCTGACCCCAGTATGCTGTGAAAAAATCCTGGTGAGAACCCTGAGCCTGGGTACCAGACTATTCCAGGACCTACATAGGCCAGCTCCTCGGCTCCAGGACCAACATGCCAGCCTGCCAGACTGTTTCCAGGGCCTACACAGGCCAGCTTCTCCACTCCAGGGCCAACATGCTAGACTGGGTGCCAGACTGTTTCCAGGGCCTACACAGGCCAGCTTCTCCACTCCAGGGCCAACATACCCCCAAGGAAATTTAACCACAGCCCACCTCAGATCCTGAGCCACACTGGCTTAAACTCTGGGCCTATCAGTCTGGCATCCAGGCTATCTTGTTGCTGGACATGTGATAGCAAGTAAGAAGACTGAGAGCCAGCGGTAACTACAGAGGATGGTACCCAGGCTAGTTCACACATGCCACACTTTGTGATGTCAATAATTTATGATGAAAACATTTTGTTATCAGTTCTATCATGATGTTGTAAGTGGTCAAAAATCTTGCTTGCAACCATGAGAGCTAGAGTGTCTAAAAAATATGTATTTGTAAAATTTCATGAAAACTGCATGTTAGTCAATCTGGTCTACTCAAAACATGACAAAACCAGCAAACACGTGGCTATGTTGAAAAGAACCTGCAGTTTATCTAATTTCCTTTGTCTGTACCTTGAAAGGTCTTTTGAAACTGACTGACAGCAGTAGTAGTAGCCTTGAAAGGTGTTGTAGGCCTTGAACAACTCGGCAAAGAAACTCTCACGTTCATTAAACAAACATAAATCATTAGCAGAAATGGAGCCGTCAGAGTCAATGAACAGCTCAAACTCTGCTGACAATTTATGGTTCTTTTGATAAACAGAAGGGTTTTATTCAACATACATAAATTATTATCAGATTTTATCAAACAAACATAAATTATCAGCAGAAATTGAGCTGTCAGAGTCAAGCTGAATTTCTACCGATAATTTATATTTGTTTAATAAAATCTGTCTATAATTGATAAAATCCTTATATTTATCAAGCAAACATATATTTGAGCTGTCCGAGTCAATCAACAACTCAATTCTACCAATAATTTATATTAGTTTCGATAAAATCTGCCTATAACTTATAATTGTTTGATAAAATCCTTATATTTATCAAGCAAACATAAGTTATCGGCAGAAATTGAGTTGTCTGATTTAATCATCCTCCTTGGAGCTTGGACAAACTGGGAACTATGAAACAGGCATGCTAGGAATAGGGACGTCTAAGTGTTCATTGATTGATTGGATTGATTTTTTTTTCACCAAAAAAATTCTCATTATGTCAACATGAAGGGTGCAGAGAATAGAAGACAAATGCAACTTGTCTAGATATTGCTAGCAATCAAGAACTCCATTTCAAGTCCATTTGTTATCATCACCAATATATATATACTTCTAATGTCACATTTGTGTTACCCATGTCCCTACCACATGTATGTTTCCCATGTCCATGTACTTGCAATTAGCCTCCAGGCACGAACTCAAATATAAACTTTCTTTATAATTATATATATGGATGGATGAAGAATGGATTGATGGAAGGATGGATGGATGGATGGATGGATGGATGGATGGATGAATGGATGGGTGGATGGATGGATGGATGGATGGGTGGATGAATGGAAGGATGGGTGCATGGGTGGATGGATGGATGGAAGGATGGATGGAAGGATGGATGGATGGATGAAGTGATGGATGGATGGATGGAAGGACTGAGCAATGGATTGATGAACTTATGAAAAGATGTAGGGATAGAAGGATGGATGATAGAAGGATAGAAGAATGGATGAATGAAAAAAATATCCCTCCCTTGTACTGTTGTAGTGAAACCACATTGTGTTTTATTTCTGCTTGGTGTAACATCAAATTTGTACCTGTGACCTTTAAAATCTCCCCATTCAAAACTGTAAACCCCCACGTGCCTGTACTTAAGCCTATAAATTATCTATACATACATCAACATTTTATTCAGCATCAGGCTATTTATACCTGTACCTAACCTTTCAAGCACAATGGCACTAGGAACATCTGTACACATCTATTATTCACCTCAATTCACAGTCAACATTTTACCTCTTTTGTTTGTCTTCAATAGTAGGGCTCAAAATCCTTTTTTTCTGCATACCTGCACTGGTGCTGGCTACATTGAAAATTACCTATACCAGACAAATTTTACCTGCCATATTTAGAATTTTGAATGTATGGATCATACTAAAAACTAATATTTCTTTTATTATTCTTTTATACTTCATAGGTGGTAACAGTCAATACAGCAAATACAAATCCACTTGTACACCTAGATGAATATATATACCCAGTACATGATGGACCAGTGCAGGTTATGTGCAGTTAGACATCAGAAATACCTACACAGCTCCAATTTTACCTGCACTAACCTGCATATACCCAGTACATGGACCAGTGCAGGTTAGGTGCAGGTTGACATCAGAAATACATGCACAGCTCCAATTTTACCTGCACTAACCTGTAGTACATGGCCCAGTGCAGGTTAGTTGCAGGTAGACATTAGAAATACTTGAAAAGCTCCGATTTTACCTGCACTAGAGATGCACACAGAATTTCGAGCCCTGGCAAGACTGGAGACCGGGAATTCCTATATTCCCGACCAGCTACCAGGGACATGTGCGCAGCATATTAATAACAGTTCTGGCATCAGCGGCCCAAAAGCGTCGGAAGCCATACTAACTAAGCAGGCACCTGTTGTGATGTGAACGCCGTCCCGTGACTATAGAAAGAACACTGGGGGGAGGTTTGATACTCCAAGGTTGTCATGTTTTGTGTTTGTTTTTATATTCGTCACGTTTTATTTTGAAAACGGGGTTGAAAACAGGGACCCGCCCACCCATCCTTACCTCGTTGGTGTTCCATCGGTGGCGAACGCGAGGAAAGGCCGACGGTTTGGGCAGCGCCTCGAGTTTATCGGGCAGTTTGCTGGGTCGGGGGGCCACCCCGTCCTTGTCGTCTTTCTCCGTGGTGCCTGGAAAGGCAGGGAATATTAATAAGGCAGTGAAAAATAAAGGCTATGTTTGGTATAAATTTATGAATATCTTTACTTGTCAGCAGGGCCGATCGCTCACGCGACCGGAGGTATGATCATCACAACACGCTAACCCCTGCAAACACACGAGGCCAGCGCTGATTTCTATCTTGCCTACTCGCTTGGAACATCTATAGGACTGTGCGTAGACATATCCAGATCTGACATTATTTATTCCACCGGCTTCGTGTTTGCGGAATCGACAAGTAGTTGCCGAAAGTGCCTGACTCCGCGATTTCCTCTCGTGTGGTCATAACAAGCAATGTTTCGTCCCAAAACGAGCAGGTTTTCCCTCGTTTATGCATGAAAACGGGTGCCACGGACAGGCTACGCCTTTCCAAATAGTCTCCAGCAAAGGTTTGGCGTATAAATCACTAGAAACGGAGAAAAAATTACCTTCTGATTCGCTATTCACCGCCATCTTCAGTGATCTTCCCCATTTCGCAAACAGAATCTGGCGCATGCGCAAATTGTTCGGGATGAATGTCGCGAGAAAAGACGATGGCGGGCGATACCATTCCGCAATAAAAAGGGGGTGTTGCCAAAAGCTTCAGAACTAAGGCATTGTTGGTTTCAATATATATATATACATACACGATGTAAACAGTTAGCAATGTCATCCCTTAAAAAAACTGCACAACAACAACTCTGTGAGTTCGTATATACCTGTTTTAAGAAGAGGGTAAAACGTAAACTATATCAATGATAGCCTTAACGTGCTGTTATATGTTCATCAATCTGTATTCTGTATGCAATAAATGTAGTGTACCTTTGTAGAATTTTAGTGTCTATATATATAGATACGACTCATGTGAAACTACATTTGTACTGCCTCATGGGCATGAATGTGCAAATAAACACCATTGTCGTTGTGATTATATGAATGAACCCCAAAACCGATACGAGCGTGCGAATAAGAAAAAGTTTGGCAAAAAAGTTGCCTTCATTGTGACATCTATCATGTGGTCATGAAGGTTGTAATAACAAGCGAATCATAAAGTGTTCATTTTCATTTCTCTCATTTTTGTCTCTTATCATGATCACTTGCAATTGATTTAGGCATTCGTGGTCATTCGTTTTCCAATATTTTGCTGTCAAAAATCACCTACATAAAAAGCACACACTGACAAGGTAGTCCGACCCCCTAAATTACCCATTTAGTCCCCAACTCTTTGTGTTCTGGATGTTTGGGGACTATTGAACGACTTGGATTGATGTCGAGCTCAAAGAGCTAGGTTTCGGGTCCCTTTTAAGTTAATTACATTTCATGCTGCCATTTTTCGACATCATGAAGCTATCCACACAGTACGTCGTGCTTGCACATTATTTAGTCATGTTTAAACACTTTCCAAATTAGTCTGCTCTGACAGAAAAACCGTGAGCAGTCGCTGGATCTATTCTCCAAGCAGAGGTTGAATGGGAAGATTGTGACCTTTTTCTATGCCCCGTTTTTTTCTGACAGCCGGCCCATCCAACTTCGGTGGCCAATTGGATACTGTCGGCCGGCTGGATACTGTCCGCGTGTTGGATACTATCTTTTTTTTTTCCACCAAAAGATCTGCTTGGAGATTAGCTGGCTCGCCTGATGTCGGTCTTGTTTTGTTTTTTGGTCCGGTGCTGTTGACAGGCTTTTCCCTGACAGCATCGTTATTTTGAGATTTTCTCGCCGCCTTCTCCGATGGAAACTGGACGGGGACATGAAAGTCGCCGGTCGCCACCCCCGGCGTCCGAACAAGCTACAAGCAGTCGTGAAAAAGTGGACCAAACTGGATCTTCTACAGCTAAACAAGGTGATTATGTTTACGGAAGGGAAACATATTGTTTTTGCTCAGTGTCTTCCTCTTCTTCTTCTTCTCCAAAAAGTAACCTATGACCTGACCAATGACATAATTTGTTGACGTCTGTCACCATGGTGACTGGTGTTGGGTTACATAATGTTGCAATTTCATGGTCTGCTCTGCTCCTATCAGTGTCACCATAAACTAGTGAATACATGTATGTGAATGTGTTTGAGTAAGAATTAACAGAGCAGACCATGTTCGAAGGTAAACATTATGCATTAGCTTTGCAAATGTTACTTCTCTAGTATTGATGCTGTTAAAATTTGAATGGATAGGCAGCGAAGTAGACAGGCAAACTATACATCCGCAGTCTGAGTAATCTTATTGACATGACAGTGTTGAAATGTGGATTCGCTTTGATCCGGTTTCAACCCATATCCACGAATCATTGCCCGTACTCAGATGACCCGGAGGAGGCAAACACCTGCAGTTTTGCTAGAAGCTGCAAGGCGGCGTTTCGCTGTTCCCGCTTCCTGGAGGTTCTCGCCATCACTGTTACAGTAACAGCCGTGATCGGGTCAGGAGTATGCTTTGCCATGTACTTCATCACTTCAACATCGGAGAACAATGCAGCAATCCCAGAAATCCACTCGGTCAGTCTCTTCACCATTCACCACTTTCCTATCCCCAGAATGCAATGCGAAAAAAAGGGGGGGTAACCCTCATTTGCATAGGACTGGAAGGCATCGGAATGATCCTGTTGACGTTAAACAGCTTGCTTGCTTTTGTGTTTTGAGGTGTCGGGGCATTTTATGCTCAACATTAATTAAACTACTATGGGTTAAATCTGAAAACAAATAGAGAATGAATTTTTTTGAATATGTGGTTTGTAACGTTATAGTGGTAACGCTATACTGATGCTGTAACGTTACAAACCACATGTTGAAAAGAACCCTTAAACTTCACTCTCTATTTGTTGTCAGATTCGGCCCATAATAATTCAATTAATGTTGAGCATAAAATGCCCCAACACCTCAAAACACAGTGAAAAGCAAGCTGTTTAAAGTCAACAGGATCATTCCGATGCCTTCCAACTATTTTTGCATTGCATTCTGGGGATGGGAAACTGGTGAATTAATCAACTCGTCATAAATCCACTTATCTAGGACCACTGAATTTTCAGAGGATGATGAGTAGTGAAAATAAATCATAACTAAAAAAGTAACATTTGCAAAGCAAATGCATAATGTTTACCTTCAGCTATATATATATATGGTCTGCTCTGTTAATTCTTACTCAAACACATTTACATACATGTACATGTATATGGTGACAGGAGTCTAAATGCCTACTATAAAATTGCAACATTATGTAACCCAACACCAGTTATATTACTATGGTGACAGACGTCAACAAAAGAGAACATTGGCCAGGTCAGAGGTTAGTGTTTGGAACAGAAGAAGAAGAAATGGAGGAAAAACAATATGTTTTCCTTCGGTAAACATAACAACAAATTTGATGTCAAAATGACGATTTTTGGGACTAAAACCGTTAAGATGGGGTTTTCTCGTAATTGTGATAGACTATATAGGTCTACTTAGTTTTTTGTTGCCCGTGGCAACAACGTTGACGTCATAAAACGACGTTATGCATATTCAACCTGTCCGCCATCTAGGATCGTCAATCTTTTCAAGATACAGCCTTAAACATAATGCAAATGGACTGAAGATATTCATAAGGATGTTTTATGTGAAAAAGACGTTCATTCATTCCTTGATTTCCACTTAAAATATACACATTTTGTGTCTGAAAATAGCCCATACTTTCATCGACTGCATTCACATGGAAGACTGCATCGTATACAGAGTCATCGGCACCCGGGCCACTTCTGAACATCTCTCCATCGACTGGACGCGAGGTGCTAACTGTGCAGTCAAATGTGCCGACTGTGCAGTCAAATGTGCCGACTGTGCAGTCAGATGTGCCGACTGTGCAGTCAGATGTGCCGACTGTGCAGTCAGATGTGCCGACTGTGCTGTCAGATGTGCCGACTGTGCTGCCAGATGAAAGTAAGTGAATTTTCTAAAGTTCGGCACATTAGTAGTTGTTACAAAATTAAACATTATAACAAGAAAGGTAACATTTGCAGAGCAATTGCATAATGTTTACCTTTGCATATGGTCTGCTCTGTTAATTCTTACTCAAATACATTCATATATATGGTCGGATAATGAATTAAATATTGACCTGGGAATTGTGTCATTATCACTGCTACAGAAGTCGTCTATGTCTGCGAGTGGGCAAGCAGGCAGCTGTCTTGTCCAGAGGGAGAAACGCTGGTCATCGACGACGCCTACTACGGTAGGACGTCCTCACAACACTGCCACTGTCCTTGTTTGAACACCAACTGCCGAGCACCGGGGAGTTTTTCCATTGTGTGGAAGACCTGCCAGGGCTTACAGTACTGCACCGTGACAGCCGATTATCGCATCTTTGGTGTTGACCCCTGTTTCGGAACCGCCAAGTACTTACGGGTTGCCTACCGCTGTTCCTCAGGTTAGCATTAACACTTTGTATTAGAATGTAGTTTATACAACAAAGAGAGAGCTGAGCTTTATAAATGTATATTTCCCCATTTCATACATCTTAGCAACACAGATAAGTTCATATTTCTAATGGCTTTAAACAAACCTTTGATTATAAAACACATCTGTACTTATATCTACATCGTTACTAAGAAGCAAGAAGAAGCCAAATTATCGTAATTATTAGACTATATGTCCATAGTACATTGAATTAGCACTAGCTTGTACATTGTATATATTCATTGCAAACTGTGACGTCTTTCCTATGACCTGTACTGAACCCAGTGGGTATTTGCGTACAATAAAGGTCTTCATTCATTAACAAATTAGCAAATTATTATCTGTCAGTGTCCTCATTACTTTGTCCTCAGTTTACTTTGTTATCCTTGCGCTTTACTTGTCTGTATTTGTTTTGATACACTAATAAAATAATATACATAACTCATGAGCTTGAGCATCTTGTCTTTATTGAAATAAGCAAAAAATAATAATTAGAGATAGTTTTTGAAGGTTTGTTGTCACGTCAGAGGTTCATGAGTCTAAATTTTTGCTGACTTTTGAGTCAAGGTTCCCGTGACGTTAGTAGATATAGCTCTAATTCTCAGGCCAACTTGTGTTTGAAAGACTATTTCTAGCTTCCCGGTGACGTCAGAAATCTATCAGTCTGATTTTCATGCTGACTGCCTTGAGCGAGTATTTGAAGGACTGTTTCCAGGGGCCCCAGACGATGCCCTGTTTGGTCTCGCACTTGTGAGAGTCGTGGTACTTCCCGTTCAGGTAGGAATCTCCGCATCGCCAGTACCACCAGCCGCCGCCTCCAAACTTTTCCGCGCAGTTACATCCACACTCGTCATTATCTCTGTAAGGGAAAGAACAGTAAGTCATCAGTACCACAGTATAGTACTATAGTACCGGTACTACAGTATAACTACCACGGTACCACCAGCCGCCACCTCCAAACTTTTCCGCGCAGCTACAGCCGCACTCGTCGTTATCTCTGTAGGGGAGAGAGCAGTGGTCAGTACCACAGTATAACCAGTACCATAGTACCGGTACTGCAGTACAGGTACCACAGTACCACCAGCCGCCACCTCCAAACTTTTCAGCGCAGTTACAACCACACTCGTCGTTATCTCTGTAAGGGAGATAACAGTTGTCAGTACCACAGTATAATCAGTACCATAGTACCGGTATTACAGTATAACTACCACAGTACCACCAGCCGCCACCTCCAGACTTTTCCGCACAGTTACATCCACACTCGTCGTTATCTCTGTAAGGGACAGAGCAGTGGTCAACTACTACCACAGTAAAACCAGTAGTACAGTACCGGTACTACAGTATAACTACCACGGTAGTACCACCAGCCACCACCTCCAAACTTTTCCGCGCAGTTACATCCACACTCGTCATTATCTCTGTAAGAGAGAGAGAGTTTTCGTCAGTACCACAGTATAAGCAGTACCGTAGTACCGGTACTACAGTAAAACTACGAGTACCACCGTGACGGTACCACCCTGGCCCTAACTCTAACCCTAACCCTAACCCTAACCCTAACCCTAACCCTAGCCCTAGCCCTAACTCTAACCCTAACCCTAACCCTAACCCTTACCCTGGCCCTAACTCTAACCCTAACCCTAACCCTAACCCTAATCTCCCCATGCCCTCTCTCCAGGTAACTCACCTGTCCCTTGTGGAGAACTTCATCCCGTCCAGCTTGACGGGCCGTAACATGGCGTCCCCGCTGTTACTGCCGGGGAAGTACCCGGTCAGGTGCAGGGTGTAGTCATCCTTCTCTCCGCCAACACTAAACGCCCTAGTACGTACACAGGTTTATTCATTAAACAAGCAAAAAGCAAAATAAAATAAGGACTAAACTTTGACTGCCAACACTGCAATGAATTAGGACCTACCCCAAATTTTCGGCTGACTCCAAATTTTTCCCTTCACCCAATTTTTCGACTGACTCCATCAACCAAGAGTAGACCGGCGGGTCCATTCCATGAACAAGGTTGACTGAGTCAGCCGAAAATTTGGAGTCTCAATTCATTGCAGTGTTGTGACTGTCAGTTAAAGTTTAGTCTTTATTTCATAATGACTTGTACCAACACAGATCAACTTTCATGCTAAGCAAAAAATATACACGCAAGTATTGACAAGCCTCCTGGCAGCCGTGATGGCTGAATTACAAGGCTTGTACTGACAACACATTACGACAACATTTATAGTCATACCTGTATTCTGCGAAGGCACGGTTTCCCTCCCAGTCCCAAAAGTCCAGACGCAGGATGTATTTCCCCACGCTGGTTTGTTTGTTTGTTTATTCGCACATGTTTGAAAAAAAATAAATAGAAAATTACACAAAAGAAAAACAAGGTGCAGGAGGTCGAGGGGGTAGGACGCCTTCAGGGCTTGTACAGGGCCCTCCTCCTTACTAACTTAATTAACAAATGATAGTCATGAAATTAATATGATTATTGAAAAAGAACGAAACAAAAAATATAGCTAACAAAACTAACACAAACAAATGAATATCACAAGACTAATATAGTATAATTGAAAATGAATTAACGGAAACAAAGATATAAACATCCAATCAACAAAAAGCCCGCTACTATTAGATTTGCCAAAAAGCCAGGTGGTCCATTTTGAACTTGAAGTGCATTTTAACAACAGCTATTCACACACCAAAAATTAAAAAAAATGCAATGAAAAATAATCGAGTTATAACGTCGACTCACACCAGGTCCAAAAACAATCTTATAGTCTTCTTGACGAAGACAACAAAGATTCGGAAACTAAAACATTTAGATGGTTTAACGAAGGAGGTCATAAAATACAATGGAAATTTTCCATCACCTGGTGAGCGCGTGCAGCTTGTCCAGCCCCAGCCAGAACTCGCCCTCCAGGTCACCGAACCCGCGCTGGTACTCCTCCCAGGTCCGGTTAAAATCAACCTGTAAGATTCACCCTCCATCGTTAGAATTATCTTCAAACATTCTTTACAGACATTAGACCATTTCATAGCAACTAGTTTGTCACCAATCGCCCTATTATACCCTCAAAGCAAAGGTTTGGGTTTGGGGTTATTTTTAGCGTGTTTTTAGTTTTTTTTTATCGGGGTTTCTCTTTTTGCACTGAAATTTGTTCCATCAAACCCCTAAAAACACTCTAAAAATAACCCCAAACCCAAACCTCTGTTTGCAGAGTACTATTAGACTTGATATGGACTTGGAAACCTTTCTTCGTTTCATAGCTCCATTTCTTCTTCTTCAATGAAATACGGTCAATGACATGGACAAGAGGGCTGTCACCAGCTTGTGCTGTAGCAGTCACTCTGTGGTGTTGGATTACATTATGTAGCAAGTTGGAGGGGCTGGTCACCATGTATATAAAATTGTGTATTGGGGAAGAGTGAAAAGAGCAGTAGTTTATTAGGTTTGACCACGTACATGAAGGTAAACAGTGTGCATTTGCTTGGCAAATGTTAGCTCTCTAGTTTATATTTGCTCTTCTTCTTTGTATTTACATATTGTTAGTTGGTCCTGTAGTCGGAATAATCTCACGAATAAGATGCCATACGTAATGTACGTCAATGAGTCATTGTATAGTTTGATGACACCTAATCATATATGCATGACGTCACCCACCGTCCCGTCCTGACGCCGTTGTACGGTCGTCCAACCGCCGTTCGTGTTCTCCTGGTCACAGTACACTGGGAACGGGTCGCCCGGGTACGAGAGCGGCCTGATGACGTACACACCGTTGGTGACGTAGCCGCGCTCGTAAACTTCCACACAGTCCCTAGCGGCTGGGAACGGAAGTGCAGTCTTAACGGTCAGGCTACCGTTGGTCAGTTTTCTAAAATGTTATAGATTACATAAAACGCAAATGATTCTATTATTTCTATATCATATAGGCAAGTCTATTTAAGTTCTGAACTTAGACTTGTAGTGAGCATTTTGTACTTAAAAAATGCAATATGATTACATGTAGCAAATGATTAAACAATACGGTTACGAAATATCTGCATATAATATTTTGCTTTGTCTTATCTCATTTTTAGGAGACCGCACACGAAAATCTCTGTTCTTTGATGCTATATGAATTAATTTAACTTCCAATTACCTTGTAATGCGAGGGTTCATGAACAAAAACGATCCGCTACAGCTACTAGTATTTGCTTGTTTTGTAGAGAGGTTTTTTCACCTCTCCATATGGCACCTACATGTACCTGTATTCTTACAGCTCACGTGCAAACCTAACCGCGCTACACAAACTCTTACCTGTCTCCTCGGGTACATCTGGGTCCGGTACAGGTACGGGATCGTCGTGGGGGGTCAGGTGAGACTGGCCAGGTGAGGTAGACCCACACTCCCCCTCCCCCTCCGCTGTGCCATCGGCGAAACACTGTTCCTGCGCCCAGCCTACACGGCAAACTACCAACAACGCAAAAACTCCGTACAACAATTTTAAAACACACATGTCCTTTATAGGTCCTTACACATATGGTCTTGCTAACAACTTTAAAGAGAGATGGGTCTAGATGTGATGACGTCACGACGTCATGACGTCACTGCGAGCGTGGTGGCGTTTGGTTCGTCCAACTCGTGTGACGTTTTGTTTGTTTGTTACTAATCTCCAAGCAGATCCCTCTCGGTGGCAAAAAGACATGTATCAAATTGGCCAGGCAGTATCCATTGGCCAGAGAAGGTCGGCAGCCACCGACGGGGTGGGGATGGTAGGTAGCGACAAAAAAAAACGGCCATATATAAAAGGTAACAACCTCTGCTTGGAGAGTATTTGTTATCAACTTTTCCCGCCATTTATTTGTTCACGTACTGTCGTTCGCGTCATCGTGGGAACGAACAGATGTTGACACATAAACTGCAGTTTATAAAGGATTCGCCAGACGGCGCATAGCACTTGATGATGCAATGGCAATGACCTGGGATAACCTGACATGGTTGCCCCGCCTTTCCTCAAACTCACATGATGAAAAAATAAACACACTTGTTCAAACCTGTGCAGCGTGGGGCTCACATGAGCAGACCTGTAAGACAGTGTAAGACATGCCGAGAGGAGTTCTGTTGCAAACCATGGCGTCCGATCATGAAGATCTTGAAGTGAGTATATGGTGCAAAGTTATGTTGTATTCTCATGAGTTGTGAAAACGCCTTAACCCTCAAACACCCGAACTTTTTTGTGACGTTAATGCCCGAACGGGGTCCAGATGGACCCCATTTGGTTTCTTTCAAATTTATATTCCTTTTTGCATTCTCAGTCAGTGATCGCTGCACATATATTGGTTAAACATAGTACGAGGTATATTTTGGCATGATTAAGTGTTAAAAAATTCCAGCTTATTATCATAATTAATGACGGGTGTTTGAGGGTTAATCATTAGTCTCCTAAGCAGCCTAGACCTGCTTCGCGCAAAAGCATTGGTGTGTTATACGTGTATATGTTAACCTTTATATTTAGCACACTAATCTTACAATAATAATAAAGTAGACGTTTAACTACCGATTATCCGTTCGTTACGGGGTTTATATAATAGGCAGCAGAAAAGAAGCTTGAGAACACCGTAGTTGGATTTTGACTAAACAAAGAACAGAAGACCGCGTTCTAACAGACGCTGACCGGAGGGGGTCAAGGTACAAGAACACAAGATACGCCGAGTCATGCAATATGCCCGCCGGCCGGCAACTTTAAAGTAGCCTCCGTAGCAGGCTTATAGAACTGGGGGTTTGGTGGTCTTCGGCTGTTCTTATTATTAGCCCAGTTCTAAAAAACGGGGGTAATTCAACCAGGCCGGCTATGTTGTCTATATGCAATCAGAAAATAGCACATAAAAGCTTCCAAAGACCATGAAGACCCCCAAAACCCCCCAGTTTTTGGTATGCTGCGGAGGCTAACTTTAAGCACATCTACGGCGGGGTACCGGTGCGCGTAGTTTAATCTCCAAGCAGAGCCTAGGGTGGCAAAAGACAGTATCAAATTGACCAGGCAGTATCTGTTCATGATCACCAGAGAGGGTTCATACTTCACCCGATGTATGGACCTACTCTGGCCAATGGATACTGCCTGGCCAGTTTGATACTGTCTTTTGCCACCCCAGGCTCTGCTCGGAGATTACACGTAGTTAAAATCGGGCGCCAAATTGATGAAGAAACATGACTGGGTGACTTTACGAAACATGCTTAACAGTAACGAACTTTTTCTCGCAAAGGGAGGAGCGCTAGTGTTTGTCAGTTTGAACATTTGGCGACACATTCAGTACATATCTAACTGTAATCTCCAAGCAGATCCTATAGGGTGACAAAAGACAGTGACAAATTGGCCAGGCAGTGTCCAATCTTTAGAGAGGGTCCAATACGCTCCTCTGGCGACTGGGTACTACCTGATATATACTGTCTTTTGCCATCCTAGGATCTGCTTGGAGATCCAACTGTACCGTTACAGTTACAGAGTGAGACTATTGCGTAACATGTTGCCAGGCCTGTGTTTGTGTACACCTCGCGCACGTGAGCCCGCCGTGTTATACGAGAGACACAGAAGTTCAAAGTACACTTTTTGCGGCCCGCGCAACCAGGTCCGTAAGGGGGGCAATCCTAGTCTCCACCAGATTTCTTTTGCAGGCTGAATAAATCGTAGAAATCGGCCTGAAAGGAAGGCAGCCGGCCATCGACGATCGCCCTGCTGGGCCTGGGAAATTACTGAAAGTTGTTCCCAATTTCTTTTGAAAATCACAAAACATTTACAAAATATTTTGGTTGTATCAAGGAGGTCTCATTCAAACCTCCTTGGCCTACGATTACTTTAGACTTTAGTTCAAAGGCATAGCCTCTACCAGGCTTCGGGAGGTGGCAGGAAAGAGTTACTCTTCTAAGTTAGAAGTCGGCAAATAGAGAGATAGCATGCCAGGGGAGTTGGTCCGCTGGGAGAGAACAGCTTGCCGCTCCCTCGGCATGCTATCTCTCTATTTGGTCGATTTTTACTGTTTCCAACCGCCCCCCGAAGCCTGGTAGAGGCTACAGGATCCTACAGGCGCAGTTACTTCAAATACGGAAGTAACGCACACTAGCTCACGAGTGCCACCTTGCGGAACTTACATACACTACAGCACTAAACTCACAGCTGATCGCCTGACCCCAAGTGACCCCTCGGAACAGGCGGCCGTGAATATTTGTAAAACTTTCGACTTGCCGCTCGTACGAGGCCGCCTCTGCAGACATGGCCACCTGTTGACACTTAGGGGGAAACTTGGGAACCTCTGACGATCTTAAGCTGACGAAAAGACAGAAAAGGTATTATTATAAACGTCACATGAGCTACTGTACAGTTTCTTACACCGTCTCATGAGTTTCTTGTATCATTCAAGGAGCTTATACTTATAGTAGCCGCCATAAGTTTACTTCTCTCTCAGTCCAAGACGTTTTTCTAGACGTGTGAGAGTTGTCTTGAAGTGTCTGTATGGTCTTGGGGGGCTGACATGCCGGAAAACTGAAGAAATACAGTGTCGGGAAGCTGCCATATGGTAATCTCCAAGCAGATCTTTGCGTGGCAAAATCGTAAATATTAGAGTAGGGGAAGAGTAGGTCCATTTGCCACGGAAGTTATGGTTTTTGCCTTGATAAGATCTGCTTTGAGATAGGGCTGTTAAAAAAATGGGGGGGGGGGGTTGAAGAGCTTGGATTTTCTACTTTCTGACTCCCCTTCATAATTTAGTATCCGACTGGGCCTTGACCCCCTTTCATTTAATCCATATCCAGGTGCCTTGGCCCCTTAAAAATTTTATACAAGTGACTTGACCCCCTATAGTTTCATCCAAATCCAGGGTTTTCAACTTGTATTTAAAACCCCCCTCAATCCAAATCCCACAGATTATCACCCACAAACCCCCCTATGTAAAATCCGACCACTTCAACCCCCCCTCCTCAGTTATTTTTTGGAACGGCCCAATTTGATGATGACCTACTGTGTTTTGCAGCACAGTTTTGAGATTACCATATGGCTACACATGACATATGGCTACAGATAGTACACATTAGTGTTCCATATGGCGCCTTCTGTTGCACAGTTAAGTCCTAATTATTCGCTTGACTGCATTCGCCTCAGGCACCGATCACTGGCAACCCGCGGGTGATTGGGGGGAGGGGGGTGTTGTACAGAGGAGGGTATGTGAGATAGCTGTAAAATTGACAAGTAAAATGTATGATTGTGAAGTTAATTTTTTACCCCATAAATTTTTGGTCGAACTCCATGTCAATACCAAGTGTGTTGGATCATTATATGGAGTTTACCAGCACAGAGCATGATTCATTCGAAGGTTTATTACTTTATAATGAGTTAATGTTTAACGTTAATAACACTTGGACTCATGACCTGCAGCACTTGTTTAGAAAGCTGTCACTTTAGCAGGGCACCCTCATTTTTTGATTCTATCAAGCACTGTTCTGCTAGTCTTCACCAGACTCCTTTGTAGGCTCAATAAGTAGTAGAAATCGGCTAAGGGGAACAATATTGGCCATAGGAGTTGGCCGGCCATAGAGTGTCCAGCTTGCAACTCCTCTGGCATAGGGAAGCCGGCATACTAAGTACTAGACCTTACTTACTGTCACAGTGGTAAACCCAATTGTTTTAGTAAACCCTACAGTTTGAATTGTGCACAAGTATTCATGAGCTGTTTAAATAACTGTTGTAACATGAAATTTGATCCCTTTGCTCAGGAACCAATGACAGTGTCCGGCTGTTTGCGAGATTTTGGAGGGCGGTTACTCCGCCGGAAGTACGTGGACGCGGCTTCGCTGGAGGACTCCCAGCTGGCGCGCTGCCTGAACACCCTGGACTTGACCCTGCTAGGAGTCGGGAGCACGCTTGGCGCCGGTGTCTACGTCCTGACCGGGACCGTTGCCAGGGAAACCGCCGGGCCGTCTATCGTGCTGTCGTTCCTTGTGGCTGCCATCGCTTCAATTTTGGCAGGTTGGGATGTCTAGGTTTCCTATAGCTATATCAATGAGAGTAGCGAAAGTGTTATTTATCTATTTCATCATGACACAACTGAGGCCCCTGTTGGAAGGTTTCTGAAGTTATCCTTCTTCGAAGATTTTTCAACAAATGTTGCTGCAGTTCCAGAAGAAGCTGCTAGGGGGCCCAAATAGTCCAGTTATTCGTATTTATATATCATTCAGTTTAATTGCAGGAAGTTGTAAATGGTGAAGATTTTAAATTCTGAATTCATGTGCATCTAAAACAAGTGGACTTTTATGTTACCCTGTCTTTTAGGCTCCACCAGACTTCTTTTGCAGGCTGAATGAATTGTAGAAATCGGCCTAAAAATGTTATTAATTGGCAAGAGAAGGTATCCGGCCATCGACGATCAAATTGGCCTGCAATTGCTACCTTCTCTCGCCAATTAATAACCTTTTTAGGCCGATTTCTACAATTCATTCAGCCTGCAAAAGAAGTCTAGTGGAGACTTATGATCCTTCTGTACCCGCGCAGGCCTGTGTTACGCTGAGTTTGGGGCGAGGGTGCCTAAGAGCGGTTCTGCGTACGTCTACAGCTACGTGACGGTCGGCGAACTGTGGGCTTTCATTATCGGCTGGAATATGATCCTGGAGTATGTCATAGGTCAGTCTGCTGTTCTGTTTTAACCTGTCAATCAATAGCATACTGTCTTGTCATTGGATGGAATATGATCCTGTCAGAGTATGTCATAGGTCAGTCTGTTATTCTGTTCTAACCTCCTGTTAATCAATAGCATACAGTACTGTCACATGATTGGCTAAAATATGACTCTAGAGTATTGTATGTCATTGGTCAGTGACCGACCGACATTCTGTTATTTGTAACTAACTTGTGAATCATCATATATAATCTGCACAATGTCATGTACTAGTATTTGGAGTCTTGAACTATAGTTGCAAATTTGAATTACCTACCTAACTAAATTAGCATTAACTTCACATTAATAATAGTTAGTTGCACACACTGTCATACCTGCACATGTCCATATTTAGGCACGGCGAGTGTAGCTCGAGCCTGGAGCGCGAACTTTGACTCCCTGATCGGCAACAGGATCGAGAACTTCACCAGAACCCACATGCCCATGCACGTGTCAGGGCTGGCCGAGTATCCAGACTTCTTCTCATTAGGACTCACCTTGATTCTTACAGGTAAGTCTTACGTAACAGTGACTCAAGATTTAGGTCTAAATGTAGACTGAGGTAATCATAATTCTTGTTCAAGATGTCAGGTCTGGCTGCAGAGTACCCCTTCTTCTTCTCCATTGGACTCACCTTGGTTCTTACAGGTAATCATGGATACCTGAGGAGTGTCAGGATTCTAATTGCTAAGTATTTGGTAAGATATCTGGCCGATGGCATGTGTTTTTGTGAGCAGAATTATGATCATTTATTAGAAGTGTTCAACACCCAGTTGCAACCACACAACTTACAATAACATAAAGATAGTATTAGGCCACACTTGTCTCAGATATTTTTAAGTAAAATCTTACAACAAGAAGATGTGTAGTCACTAGGTGTAAAAAATTCGACTATATCCCAATACAGGAACTTTGTTATTTAACAGTAACAGACAGTGATTTTCTCCTCAGACTGTGTTTTCCTGCTGATATTCCAAATCTATAGCATTATTTTGCTTAACCTGAACCACAATATTTACTGTGTTTGTTTGTCTGTTTGTTCCCTGCAGCCCTACTTGCCTTCGGTGTGAAAGAGTCCACCAGGTTTAACAATGTCTTCACTGGACTGAACCTGTGTGTGATCCTGTTTGTAATGGTGGCCGGCTTCATCAAGGCTGACGGCAGCAACTGGGCAATAACACACGCTCAGATCATGTACGTACAACAGGTCAATAACACACGCCCAGATCATGTACGTACAACTGGGCAATAACACACACCCAGATCATGTACGTACAACAGGACCTGGTCAATAACACACACTCAGATCATGTACATACAACAGGTCAATAACACACACCCAGATCATGTAGTACTACGTACAACAGGTCAATAACACACACCCAGATCATGTACGTACATTCAAGTAAACTTTGTTTTCAGGAATGAAACAGCCAGATCACAGTCATTATATTACTCATTATCAGCAAAAACTACAATGTAGAAGTTATTGCATTGTATCCACTGTCACAATAGTTCTAGGAAAGAAGTGAATCACTGTTACACACACTCACTTACACTCCAGTTTATTGTCAGACAGTCTGTTGTTCCCCATCATCCAAAGGTTAGACGCTCTTGCATATTGATGCTCAGGCCATATTCACACTGTCAAAAACTAAAGAAATAATGATTTTTCTGTTTTTCTGGATTGGTTATCACTCTTCTACTGGCTCTCAAAACATTTAACTTTGAGGGCATATCAATTTAAGGTACATAATATTATGTTAATGAATGAAAAACATAATGTACACAATCACCATCTTTATTAACATCCCTCCCTGTTAGGAATGAGACAACCAACAGCACACTAGATGGAGTTGGCGGGTTCTTCCCGTTCGGTGCATCTGGAATGTTGTCGGGAGCTGCGACGTGTTTCTACGCCTTTGTAGGGTTTGATGCCATAGCAACCACAGGTGAGAACTTCAAGGTCATATTTCCCAAGGTCATAGAGAACTGATGTCACATTTCTAAAGGTTAAGGAAATGCCGTGTCACACTCTACAAAGTAGCTGCAAGTTCATTCACCTTCCTCAAGGTTAGAGAGAACTGCTATCACATTCTACACGTTCATGCTGTCACAGTGATCCCCAAGGTCACAGATTATGAGAGATTATGCTGTTACATTTCCTAACTCTGACATGTCTGACACTTGCAAGTTCTGAGCCAATCAAAAGCATAGGTTTATCATAATGCAAATTAAAATGTCTTACCGGTACATGTTTTGTCCCCTTAGCTCGAGTGTCAGCCTTTTTAGCTTTCATCCACTCCCCGATCCTGTACTGGCTGGTAGAAAGCTAAAAAAAAGCTGACACTCACTAGGTTATTGCCCCCCCCCAAAAAAAAACTTCCATATCTGTTGCAGGTGAGGAAGTGAAGAATCCGCAGCGAGCGATCCCCATCAGTATCGTGGTGTCTCTCACCATCTGCTTTGTGGCGTACTTTGGAGTGTCGGCAGCGCTCACCTTGATGGTTCCGTACTACAAGGTCGACAAAAACGCCCCCCTCCCCATCGCCTTTGCTGATGTGGGCTTCACTGCTGCTAAGTATATCATTGCTGTCGGGGCTGTGTGTGCTCTCTCTACTAGGTAATAAGCCTTCCTTGATAACCCTACATGTCTACTAGGTAGTGAACCCTAACCCGACACAGTGACTGTTAGTGACTGCTAGGTACACTTTCATCTTGTTATCAGTAGTTTTATCATTAGTCTCAAAGTTTCTCATTTGTTTTCGTGTCACCTTTTACAACATTTCAAAAAAGGAAAAACAAAAAAGTTACAGCATATCAATGCAAATGAATATTACAAAGGACATACTACAAGACATGTAAGATGCAGTAATTTATTTTTTACAATTTATTTGAGTGTCACTGTTTGATGTTAGTTTGTTTAGGTGTTTGTTGTGCATTTTACTGGGTGCAATGCAATCCTAATGAGACAAATCATCTATGCAACCTGGAAAAATGTTGTAGCTGTTTACTGTTTTTCTTTATTTGTTATGCAGTTTACTGGTTGCATGCTCCCAATGAGACAAGTACACATAATCTATGCCATTGAGAGCTTATATAATAAGTGTTGTTTTTGTTTATTGTTTTGTCTACTTTTTGTGCAGTTTACTGGGTGCAATGTTTCCGATGCCACGTGTCATCTACGCCATGGCAAGTGACGGTGTCATCTTCAGATTCCTGTCAAAGGTCAACCAGAGAACACAGACGCCGATTATTGCCACGGTCTTGTCAGGAATACTGTCAGGTAGGTGGGAGGTTCACACACAGTCCAACTTACTGGTTTTAGTGATTAAAATTTTGTCAGCCATTGACAAACGTTAGACAGCCAGGTAGAATATTTTTACAAAATGTAAAAGAAATCAAAATTCTCTGATGAGGAGACTGACGTTTCAGATGGCCCACTGTCTTTCTGTGTTACTGTATGGAAATATTGGATGCTATTAGAAACTATAGAATTCGATATGATTACGTAGAAAGTAAAGGATATGTGTTAATTCGGCTGTTTGGCAGACCGTTTCAATGTGATGTTAGCGTTGGTTTGAAGTTGTTTTTTAGTTTCAGCATCTGAAGTATCCAGACGTGTCTTCTTCGTTGTCCTGTGTCCTCTGATAGTTAAAACATCCTTCATTCCAGTCTCTTTTCAAAGCATAGTCTCTCTTGCAGCAGTATCTCTGTATGGAGAAATTTCACCACCCTTCCTCCCTTACAATTTATAATAGGCACCATGGCTCTCCTGTTTGACCTGAAGGAACTGGTGGACATGATGTCTATAGGAACCCTGCAGGCTTACACACTAGTGGCAGCATGTGTGCTGATTCTCAGGTAAGGAGTCATGTCTATAGGAACCCTGCAGGCTTACACACTAGTGGCAGCATGTGTGCTGATTCTCAGGTAAGGAGTCATGTCTATAGGAACCCTGCAGGCTTACACTCTAGTGGCAGCATGTGTGCTCATTCTCAGGTAAGGAGTCATGTCTATAGGAACCCTGCAGGCTTACACACTTGTAGCTGCATGTGTGCTTATTCTCAGGTCAGTTAGACATTTTGTGGGTGCATACTGAACTGAAACATTCCACTTTAAAAGACTTAACACACATGGTGCTGGCTGTTGTTTCTCACCCAACATGCACTCTACTGGAAAGGGTCACAGTCCTTAGGACAGGACATTAAGCTGTGGTCCACTATCCATTGTACTTTAAGTCTTGTTTAGAAAATTGGAAATATCCTGGTACAATAAACCTACATAATACTGTACACTGTACATACCATATCTTGATCTGTCTTCTCTGTCACGACTGGCTCTTTAGTGAGTCAAATTAATCCGTTTTAGTTAAGATCACTCTTAAATCTACTTCTTCATGGTGGGAATTTGTGGAGAGTAAAATCCGTTTTTCGGTTGGGAAAAATGATATTCCTCCTGTGAATACTCAGGTACCAGCCAGTAGAGAAGACAGATGGGGAGTCTGGATCAGAAGAGGAGGAGGAGGAGGAGGGAGAGGGAGATGGAGCCACAAACGGACAACTGCTGGTCCAGCAGAGTAGAAGCTCGTCCCCGTGTGTGGGGAGGGGCGAGGCTACAGAACGAACAGGGAGGATCGTCAGCTACGCAGTCTTACTACTGGGTGAGTCTTGTGTGTTTGTTTCTGTATGTGTTTGTGTGTGTTTATGTGACTGTGTGTTTTTTTTGTGTGTGTGTTCTTTTTGTGTGATTTCCTATCTTATCAAACTTCAAACTTAACATGTTTCTTTCGTTGAATATGTCATTGTCACAGAAGACACATCAAGCCACATGATACATGATGACAGCATTTATTCATCATCAATGAAAATAATACTGTACTGCACTATACATTACTATTTTGCGAATAGTATCCAGTATCAAAGTATACTGCCACTGGGCTCCCTGACACAGGGGTAGGCAGAAGTTGGCTATTATTCTCACACTGTGTTTCCAGGAGGCTCTGTTAGTGGGCCCTAATCCACACTTGTGGGGCTGTACACTTACATGTACATGTAGTAGTGCCATTATATTATCATTGATAGTAGTCACAATATAACTAGTAAGAATATTAGCTGTACAGAACTGGCACCAACTCTGCCAGGTATATGGTGATGATTATGACCATGATTGCTTTGTGCTCTCAGCCACTAATCAGTTACTATAAACTTACAATATAGATACATAATGAAGGCAATTTTTACAATAGAATCTGATACAAAAATAGAAGAACAAATACGCTAAATATACAGCCACTATAATAAGTTATACCTTTCATTCAGGACTCATTCCAATGATCAGATCAATCATTCTGGAGAAAATCAATTTCTATGAGTATGACTTCTTTCCTTTATCAAATCTTTTGTCCAGTTTAATCCAGTTTAGTTTTGTATTCAATCGAAAGTACTTTGATGTCAAGTTCTTGCCCGACTGCAAAGAAAGGTTAAGAAATTGAAGAATGTTCTAGGCTACAAAATTAATGACAAGAAAGTCTTACTGAAAAATGGTCTCTTATGTTGGTTTCCCATGGTAGAAATCCTAAAATTGTAGTTAATACTATCATGCCAAAATAAAAAATAAACAAAAATGAATCAAACAAATCGGTACTCATCAGTAGTGAGACTAAATAGAAAGAAAGTTCAGATTATAGACAAACCTACTTGCCATGGGCAGATTCTCAATACAATGTACTACAGTTGTACTGTAAACATGACTTTTTAAGTTAAGTCTTTGCTTTATATATTATATGATTGTATGATATTCATATAAAACTAGACCATATAGCGAACAAGTCAATTATGATGATGTATGAAAAAAGCAGGTCTGGAGATACTTGAATGTGTATCTGCCAATATTTTACAGTATTTAAAAACTCTTCGGCACTTTCCAAGTCTTACATGAACCCATCATGGTCGCCTGACTCACTCATGCCCTCCGTTTCATCCACCCATGGCTTTCCTTCCTCCATCTTTACATTTCTCACACCTTCCCACCCCTCTGCTGCTAATGGCACTGTCTGGAACATTTCGTCCACCATGTTGTTGTTGTCAAGGTCACCTACTTGCTCTCCAGCTTCTTCCCACCCCTCCTGGGACAGTGGTACGGCCTGGAGTATTCCGTAGTCTTCCCTGTCCACCATGTTGTTTTGCATTTGACCTTGTTGGATGTCGACACGATTATCGGTAGGTTTCACTGCAAAAAGGGCTACATCTGCACCTTTCTCTTGTGGCTCTTTTACGTGAAGTTTCATCTCGTCGAGCAGAACGTCTTTCACGTAGTCTGCGTCGGCTGTCTCCTGCAATAGCTCGAACTTGGCCTGCTCCTCCGCCATCTTGTTTCTAAAGTCGCGACCTTGAGAGATCTCCTTGACGACCTCCTCCTGCACGTCCGCTGCGAGCGGCGCCGTCTGGAAGAACATGAGGTCGTTGCCCTGGTCTTGTTCGTAGTCCGCGGCAACCAGAACCTGATAGTTGAAAATGACGTTTTTTAACTTAAAGTTAAAAGGAAAACATATTGTTTTTGCTCTGTTTCTTCTTCTTCTGTTCCAAACACTGACCTCTGACCTGGTCAATGACCTGAACCAGACGTCTGTCACTATGGTAACTGGTGTTGGGTTACAGCACAGGCCACGAAATACGCATCAGTTTTCGCGGGACGTTCTGCGAAATACCGCGGTACGTCCTGCGGTATATCGCGAAACGCCGTGCGGAATATTGCGAAAGGCCGTGCGAAATATTGCGGAAGGCCGTGCGGAATATTGCGGAAGCCGTGCGAAATATTGCGGAAGGCCGTGCGTAAGATTGCGGAAGGCCGTGCGTAAGATTGCGGGACGTCCCGCAGAATTTCGCAGAACTGTCCACTGGTAATGGAAACGCCGCTGCGAAACTTCTTCTGCGTAAGAAATCTTTCGCAAGATTTCGGTCGTTAATGAGCAGCCTTTGTATTCTGAGATTTACATGACACTTATTCCACCTCATTTTCACGTATTTGTTGATAATTTGTGGACAATACCGGGGATTATCAGCGCGGCGGGTCCACGCTGCCACGGCTGTGCTTGGGCGATTGATGTTTACTATTTGATACGCTGAGTTTGTTCCGATCCGTGTGATTCCAATAAACATCTCACATAACTACGAACTAGTTGGAAGAATGATAGATGCATGAATGCCTGTGTATGATTTAACAAACAAAATCTGACGCTATTATAAAAACTGCCAGACGCTCTTCTCCGCTGGAACAACGCAAGCTGGAGGTCAATGACCTGCGGTCGAACACGTAATGTGTACCGTCAACATTTTCTGCAAGGCATGACTTCGCCGAAGAAACCACTTTTTAAAATTTTAAGCTTTAAATGCTTCGACTCTGTGGCCAAAAATAACGAAGTTTGATATTGTCCCTGTTTGCAAGGACGCTATATGTTGTAGAAGCTCCTTGCTGTTTGTGATTATCGATTCAGAACTACGTGATACATTTTAGAGCGAGGCATTTTCCCATAGCCGCACGCACATATTATACTTGATCGACAGGCGTTTCCCTTTGAAGAAGTTGCCGCCCCTGCCGTCGGCGCCAACAGTCTAGCTGGGCTGCTCCAATGATTTCGCCCGTCTTCGTTACAAACACGATCTTCACCGACTATAACCGAGGCTCTGTGATTGGTGTCTATGTGACAAATTTATATTCGCCTATCTTCGTTACAGTTCCGATCTTTACCGACCATATGTATAATCTACTAACGTTACTAGTATTATCTAGGTTCTCTATTCGAGTGTACGTGTATAGATTCAGGCGTTCGTTTGTTGTTGCTGACGGAAGACTCGTGGTAATATTCAGAGTCGAACTAACGTTTTTGCATATGAGAATTAATATTATTGTGCCAAGCGCGAAGCATAATTCAAGGGGTTCTTTACGCCCCATGGCTTTGTTGACACGCATCAAAAATTGATACATTTCGTTCGCCACGCTGCCGGGCCGGGCGTTCCCACGCACGTCGCCATAGTAACCGCACGTAGCAGCAGCGGCGCTGGTAGACTCCCCGGCGCCGCAGACCACGTGGCGTTCCGGCGCGCCAATCACAGCGCGCAGACGGGGACCCGCCCACCAGTCGGGCCGCAGAAGAGTTGATACTCCGCCCAGAGACACCGCCTGAAGATTGTTAGACGACTGTAGCTTGTTCCGCCCTGCACGGCCGGCGCGGCTTTGTAATTTTCTTGTCCCGATTTCATCCCAAAATTTTCAGAGTCAACTTTTATAGTCTGAGAACAAATGAATCTGCGTCAAATTTTGCATAAACACGTCAAGTTCGGGTTGTCCCGTACCGTGTTTATTTATTTTTCGGGTGCGTTGTCCGTTTTTTTTTTTTTTGCAAAAAAATCGACTCCATTTTCATCGCACCCACTACATCGCACCCTCTACATCCTCGCGCAGGTTTATTCAAAACTACACAAACAATACATGAATCTGTTCCTTACAAATGTATTTCTCAATATATCCGAATCCAAGATCGCTATATTTACAAATTGTACGATTTTTCACGATCAAAATTGTCCGGCATTTCTGGACGCACGTTACGAAGCGCTCCCTCCCACTCGAGTGCAACACACGTCCACCGCTACGAACCCTCTGCATTCTCGCCAATCCTCGCGCTATTAACTCAAAACCACATAAACTACATACGAAACTGTTCCTTAGAATGTATATTTTACAAAAAATAGTAAACATCTAAATCCCAGAATGGTAACTTTGCGAATTGTACGAAATTTTACGGTTAAAACTGATTGGTTGTTGCTCGGAAGCCAGCGGCGGCGTGGGGTGACGGACAAAGAGTAAAATTATGTTATTTCTTTCAAAATGCTGTTTTGTTTTGTTTTGTTTTGTACGACCAAAAATAGACTATTTTAGTAAATAGATTCAGGACTGAAAGAATCTTTCGGGAATACAATATACTGTATTTGTATGTGGGTTTATTGTGTATTTGACACAATTTTGACGTTCATTCCACCGGGAAGTGTTCCGCGATCAGCGTGGGTTTCAAAACAAGAAACACAAGATCAAGAAACAAAGCTCCCGCTAATTAGAACCCTGTAACAATTCAGACCACAGCGATCATGTTTTCGATAAATATATTTGTGTACATGCACGTTTCAGAGAGGTAGAAATCTTAACTCAATCTATTAAACCACATTCTAGCTCAGGAATTTACAATCTTCACACTGTTGGGTAAAAAATATCGGCAGATCTCATGAACATTTTCACTCCGCGCTATAGAAAATGTAAACAAACCGGGTGTGATCTTTCTCCGCCCACGGCGCGAATGGCCTGCATATGAATAGGACGTATTTCTGCGGAAACGCGGCCTTACGGAGAGGTGTTCTGCGGAACTTTCGCAAAGTTCTGCGAAAGTGCTCTCAGGTGCACTGCGGGAAGCCGTGCGGAATACCGCGGAACGCCCTGCGAAATACCGCAGAACGCCGTGCGTAAGATTGCGGAACGCCGTGCGTAAGATTGCGGAACGCCGTGCGTAAGATTGCGGAACGTCGTGCGGAATATTGCGGGACGTCCTGCGGAATATTGCGGGACGTCCTGCGGAATATCGCGGTACGTCCCGCAGAACTTGATGCGTATTTCGTGGCCTGTACTGTACATCATGTTGCAGTTTTATAGCAGGAGGGATTTAGACTACTGTCACTATCGAAGCTGGTGTGTTACGCCGAAAGGCGGTTATACCGGCTATACAGATACAGATACTATATAATTATGTGACCGTGTTTGCGTAAGAATTAACTGAGCAGGCCATATGCGAAGGTATACATTATGCATTTGCTTTGCAAATGTTACGGTATAACCTTATTATAAGTTTCTTAGGACAATGTATTGGTAAGAGGACACCAGGAAGAGTAGTGGCTGTATTGTCACAAATTTGAGGTTCCTGGAATAAATAAACAAACAAACAAACCTCATCTCCATCTCCGGGTACCGAGATGGCGTCGAACGAGCTGCTAAAGTCAGCCTCACCCACACAGGTCATGACCTCTAGGCGCATGCAGACGTGGTAGTGCCAGGTGTGGGGGTTGATGCGGACGTACCGGGCCTGGGGCTGCCGCTTCAGGTCATGCCGCACGCCCGTTGTGCTGTCAAAGTTCCCACTGAAAAGCTGTGGAAAGTAACACAAGTTTGCTATTTTTACGCATGCGTTAAGAGAGTAATCAGAAACATAATTATGTCAGTGATTTATATCAGATAATGTTGTATCAGTGCCACATTTTTTCTTCACAGCATTGACAACTGAAGATGATATCTTATATTGTTCTTTGTACGTCCCTATTTTTAAGCCCAGACCATACTTAACTTGAAAGAAAAAGTCTCAAATTATATTTTAAAATGTGCCAAAAGTGTTAAAATTTAGTAATATTTAAAATGAAGTTCTGTGGGCATATGTTAAAAGGCACCCCCATACCAAATTTCAGGTCTTTAAATTTTTGTTTACTGACATTACCAGGGTTAAGCTGCCCAAAGTACACATTTTTGGCCTGAAAATGGCAAAAAAATCAGTATAACATTAAAAGCCTAGTATGTTGTACACATTGTAGTGCCTCTATTTAGTCTGTTCCAGACCCTAGAAGCTTAGGATTAGCCTGATATATATATATAGGGTTCAGCATCTCAGTTACAAGTCTGGAACAGTAACGAAAACAGTACAATGTAATTTTATACCTTGTCATTGCCAGTCTCGTCCTGGTAGTACATCCAGTCCTTCTGGTCCAGGCTGTACAGCAGCTTGAAGGACGACACCCAGTGGGGGAAACCCTGCTGACCTTGAACTATCACCCCCGCAACTGTCATGGGCTTCCCAAGGTCAACCTGCAAGGGTAGAGGTCGAAAGTTAAGGGTTTTGGTCAGGCCGTAGCAGAGATTAATCTTCATCCCTTGCGAGACGTAAGGCCGTGACTTTTTTCTTCCATCTGAGTCTGTCCTTGACCATAGATGCCAGGTTATCCAACGTAGCTCTTCTCCAGGTGGTTTCCAGTCTTACTACCTCTTTTCCTTTTACCATCAGGTCTCCAATCTAAGACTACTTTGGGTATTCTATAGCCTGATTAAATCGCTTTACGGTTGCTAGCCGCCCAACATCCAGCTGGGAGGGGCCACTAAAGCCTGTTTACTAGAAGTGGTTTCTGATTTATTGATTAGATTGAAATGACTAGTGTATTGATCTGATTGATTGATTGATTGATTGATTGTCCCACCTGTATCCACTGGATCCTGTCGTTGAAAGCGGCGCACCAGGCATGGGAGTCGAAGCTGTAATGGCTGCTGCTGTAGCGGGCGTAATACGGGGCGGTCTCCGGCCGCCATGTGGATGACGCAGTGATGCTGTCCTGCGGAATGTCACCCGTTTCCATGCCGACAGGACGCAGGCCGTAACAGACTGGAGAAATGTGGAAATGTGAACAAGAAGTCACTTTTGTTTCTTTCTTGGCTCAAAATATTTTTTTTGTCTAAGTATTTCCTAGGCATTGCTAGGTACAATGTATGAACTCTTGGCCGTAAAGAAAACTTTGTTAAGTAGTAGCCATTGGCTATTTAGCCTCTGTGGTTAGACAGAAGGAAGAAGGTTAAGATTTCATCTCAGTCTAATGTCAAGTGAACCAAGGATTAAGGTGTTCAAAAACGACATTTTTTTCTAGAACTATCGCAGAGTGGAACTCTGCTGTCACCAAGTACAGTAGGAGCATTATCATAATGTTAGATTCTAAGCTTTAAACAATGTCTAGAATTAGATGTTCAAGTGTTAGGTGTAACAAGTTGTTCGGTGTAAATGTAGCTAGCTGCCGCTGCCCCGTGTGCCTGCAAAGCTGGTGTGTTACGCAGAAGGGCGGTTATAGTATTATACTGGCTATACAGATACAGAAGCTGGTGTGTTATGCCGAGGGGCGGTTATACCGGCTATACAGGTACAGAACCTGGTGTGTTATGCCGAGGGGCGGTTATACCGGCTATTCAGATACAGAAGCTGGTGTGTTATGCCGAGGGGCGGTCATACCGGCTATACAGATATAGAAGCTGGTGTGTTGTGCCGAAGGGCGGTTATACCGACTATACAGATACTGATCTATACCTGGCTTGTACTCTGACAGCTGTTTCTTGAGCTGTCTGTTCTCCGCCTCCAGTCGCGCCTTCTCCTGGATGACCTCGTCCCGGATCAGCTTCATGACCTTGTCCACCAGCAGCTCCTCCCGAGCTTCCTGTGGGCGGAGCCAAGCTGTCAATCACAGCTGTCAATGATCTTTGGCTGTTACAGTTTGATTTGATTTATTGAGATTGTAACAGTACAATACATGTGGAACAAAGGAAGCTGTTGTTGGTGTTGTGTTCCACACACAGAAACAAATACAGGACAGAGTCGACAGAGGATACTAAATAATTGGGGAAAGTCTTGTAAAGTGCATTTCCCAAGGGCACAAGGCCAGTGGCACGTCAGGACTCGAACCGGGGACCTCTTGGTTCCGAGTCGAGCACTCTTCCGTTGCGCCACATGACACCACAATCATCATGTCAGGACTATATGGAATTTTTATCTTCAATGATGATGAAATGAAATAAAATGGAACAAACTGATGAAATTGTTTAGAACAAGTGCTGCCATTGGACATTTGTGGACATGACTGACAGGAGTAACCAATGAAAGGAGGACTTACATCACTGAGAGGTGCAGCCACTGCAGCCATGGTCAGGGTCAGGAGGTAGATCACCTTCAGGGACTCCATTTTTACAAGATGGCTGGGGAAAAAATGAACATTAAAAAAATCAATTATAGTTGTATTGTGGTTTATCAGCATCCCTACAATTACATGTACATGTAGTATGATCTGTATCTGTATCTGTATAGCCGGTATAACCACCTTTTGGCGTAACACACCAGCTTTAATGATATATGATGATCCATATTCTGAAGACCTGGTGTCCTTCTGTCCTACATGTGACAGAATGACCTTGTTAAATGACCTTGAAATGGTACATGTAGGTTTTACCATGTGGAAATATGGACAAACAGATAGACCCTTGTCCCTGTCTGTGACATTGGACCTGTAACACAACCTTGGTTGCCCTTTACAGTATGATCTATAGGTAGCAGACTGACATCCTAGATCTTCTGGTGAATAGTTCATGCTTTGGATAGATATATCTTTTTTTTAAATGTTAGACTAAGTCCTGGGGTGAGTGCCAGCAGAGAGGTTTAGCTGGTGTAAAAAAAAAAGACACTTAAATCATACAAAAATAAAAACGCCTGGTAGAAAATGTCAAGAATAAGCCGAACCCTAAGCCTCTGCTTGGAGAGTAGCAGCAGGCTTGATGTAAGCAAGGAGTTTCAGTAATAAGGACTAGATTGAAGCCCCTGGATGTAAGTATATTATACAAGACTGTGTATGTTGGCAGAGCCAAGTCAAACAGGCAGGTTGTACTGAATTTCTTAAAGAGCAGAAGCCACATTCTTGGGATTCTTGCCTGAAGGTTTTGAGTCTTCAGTGATGAAAGGCCCTATACTGATATTATAGGCTATACTGATACAGATGCAGATCAGCATGAAAGGGAAGCATTAAACTGGCCAGACTCAGACTTGCATGTTGACAAAAGTCAGGTTTTCAACCCCGAACAGAAGTTGTTTTGACCAACACAGCAGCAGTTTTGTTAGCAAGCCTGTGGCCAGAGACTGTAAATTTAAAGCTTTTCTTGGATTTAACAAAATTGAGAAAAAAAAGAGAATTGCCTCCTAGGCTAATCCTGGGTTAATCTTGTTTGATCCCAGTCAGAGGCTGTGACATCAAAAGACAGATTCTCCCTGCTGGGATAAAACGTTTCCGTCAAAGTCACTCAGACGTAGGGAGTCATTAAGACCTGTCTGATATTTGGGCATGGTTATTTTTACTTTAACTGTTTGTGAGGAACTGTTTGGCATCCGTTCTTAACTGTTTAAGATGAAAGCATTCAACATGAAAGAGTTGAGTCTTCAGGAGGTATGTAAGCTCTAAATTAATCAAAACATGTTTGTTCGCATGTTCCTATTCAGGTGATGGCTTTGGACACCTTTAAGCATCTAAAATAATGTTTCCAACTACTATGTTTCTGGAAGATCGGTACATTGTATATAATATTAGTTAACTGCACAAACCGACTTGTTGAACATTTTTTCCATCATGGAAAACAGAATTCCAAACAGTACAGAGGACAGTAAAACAGCATTGCTTTCACACAGCTGAACAATACAGGGGATAGCAGGACTTTATGGGCTGCTATCACAAAACTGTGAAACACCCCCCCCCACTTTCCCTGGTGCTGAAATGCCATCACATGACACTGATCGACCTCCAGACTCAAATTTGGGGGAATCTGACTTCAGTTTGTCATAAAATCCTGGTTTATGATCTATTGAATATTGATTTTAGCTGCTATTTCAATTGGCATGTCCACACAAAAAACAACAGCCAAGATAAAAGCCTTAGACAGAGCTGTCACCTTTGATGACATCATACAAGGTCACCCCTGCCTATTCCAAACATGGCTGGTTCTCATCAAAATCATGGGTTATGATCTATTACATCATGATTTTAGCTGTTATTTCCATTTTCTACATCCAAAAGAAAAAGAGAAACAGTCACCCGAGTTAAAAGCCCCATCCCTTAGCCAGAGCTGTCACCTTTGATGACATCACACAAGGTCATCCCTGCCTGTTCCAAACATGGCTGGTTCTCATTAATTCCCCCCCCCCTCACCAAATCCCGAGTCCCTGCAAGAATTTGGGTCAAAGCCCTAACCTTATCCCGAGACAGATCTGTGTGGAGTATCAGTCTGGACTGATGACATTTTTCCTTAATCTTTGCCTGTCTGGTGGCATTACTGTCAGTGTTCCCAGTCAGGGCTGGACCAAATGTAAACTTTGTAGAACAAGCCTCTCAGATTGGGGTTCTCATACCCTTTTCCGTAGAGTGTAATTAGCTACTCTAATTTAACGTAGAGTGTAATTGAACCATTGTTGTATTTGCCGTTTTAATTCTACATATTTATTAATGTGTTGTAGCCAATTGGAATTTATCGTAAAGCGTAAATCAAGAGGTTTCCCTAATATGTAGCCAGCTCTCAAAATTTAGTGTAGAGCGTTGTCGGGACCCCCCTTCCCATGCAGGCACCCTCAGATGTATTGAAGAAATGCCATTTCAACTTTCAAGATAGAGTGTTCAACTAGCTGATGCATTTCCTGATAAATCTTTGATAGTATGAAAATTTACCACATTTTCATTGGAATGAGGATTGACATATTTAAGTACTAGGTAACTATTACCTCTTCAAGATGTCAACCCTGAAACCAGACTGTAAGGTTTGAACCACTTGCACCGGGAAGGTCCCCTACTCTTTTCGATAAGTGTGGTGGGTTCTTAAACGTGCGTGGGGTGTGGCTCTCCCTAAACACGGGACCACCATTTAACGTCCTATCCGAGGTCTACTTTTGCTTCAGATCTGTGGCTTATTTTTCATCTAATGCGTCACCATGTTTTGATGAATGACTCCCTAATGTTTGGGTGGTCTGCTTCAGCTTACATGACCTTGGCCTTGTCTTTCCTGGTTGTTTTCTGTCTAAACAGGGATTGTATAAAGTGTAAACAGTTACGTTTGCTGTGTAAATATCATTAATAAGTAATCTACTGCCAGGTTAGCTAAAAGATGACGTGATGTTATACAGGTGGCCATGTTGTTGTGTTATATCTTCTTTGTCAAGGTCACGGTGAATGTCAAACTTGTGTGACTGACCTCTGAATTTACCATCAGTAAGGCTGCCTTCTTTGGTAAGCTCACATCATTAGGCCTCACCAATTTATTGCTTCTCTGAGTTGCCAGCTTAATGTTTTTAAAGCAAAATTATGGAAACTTAATGATCCAAAGTTTATGCCCTGATCACAGAAATGGAATCCAGATCCTCCCAGTTTGAGTCTGTACCATCCATTGTTTTTCCCAGTGGACTGATTGAGGTGATTTATGGTCAAAAGACACTGAGTACCAGCAGGGGACAGTCCAGGCACCCAGCCAAGGAATTCTCACTGCTGGCAACTTTTCCAGTTCACCTGCACCTGTTTTCATAACCCCCACCCTCCAATATACCCCAATATGGAGGCCTTAAGGCTATTTTCCGTAGAGCATAACCAGCCATTTTAATTAAACGTATAGCATAGATGTAACGTAGAGTGTAATTGGCGCATTTTTCTTAGAACATAATTTGCCGTTTTTAATTCCACGTAATGCGTTGTAGCTACCCAGAATTTATTGTAAAACGTAATCAAGTTTCAAGTTTTTTCAAGTTTTATTTAAAAAATCAGCCTTGCAGCCAGTTTACAAAGTCAACCAAGCTGAATTACACTGATTTTTACAAATTTTGTACATAGTAGATACAAATAATGTAACGAGTGATGAGTGAGTGTGTCCGTCAGTCAGTGAGGTCTTACAAACAAGGATCCTTACTGTTGTGAGTGGTTCAAAACCTTACAGTCCTACATTGTATGGTTGTAGTAACTTGTACACACTGTTGTACATGTATGAGGTCACCACGAGAGTGCTAGAAGGCTGCCATTACACACCCAAGCGACTCACAGCCACCAAATGTAAGCTAACCCCTTTGCTGTAAAGAGATAGTTGTCGGCCCACCCAAATCAAATTTTTAAAGCAGCACACGACACTTCAGGCTTGTGGCCATGGAATTCTGGCTGTCCACAAGTGGACTAACCTGGTCCTGTCAGAACTTATTAGTGTAAGTAATGATGTGTGATGATGTCTGGAACGTGTGACACTGGTTGAAGCACAGGCGTATTAGAGTCACTGATTCAGAACTTTATGCTGTACTAAAGGCTTGAAGTGTTTGTATTTTGAAGTTAGTGACTTTCCTTTGCAAATTTATGATGCTGTTAATTTCTGTTTCTAATTCATTAGGCCACACCAATTTAATTCCCAGGTTCCCAGATTCTTTCTGATTTGAAAGAACAAAAGGATTTAGGTTCGAAATCAACTGCAAAATGCTCATATTTTGGCCCAAACAGCTTCATATTTTTCTGAAATAATCTGAGAACCAACAAATCAAATCGGTGTGGCCTTATGATATTTAGTACTGTACTACAGAATTGTTTCAACCATTCACAAAGCCCCCTTAAATTCCAATACCCCCCTCAAACTCTAGTACCCCCCTTAAACTCCATACCCCTTCCCCCCTTCAACTCTACTACCCCCTGTTGATTGTCCAGGCAAAAACTGGCACACAAGCGTTTTTTTACAGCCGTTTGTCCTTAAGAGTTGGAATGAACAACTCACCGTCACATTAAACAACGAAGCCACAAAATTACCTTCTGGTTTCTGTTATGTGGAATGAAATCCTGCCAAGTTTTGGGTCTTCAAGAAGAGAAATTTAAGATTCAGATAGGGTAAATGGTTGTCAGTCATTTTTGATAAACTTTGATGGCAAAAAGTCAAGGATAATGAAAACATAGTTTTTATGACAATTTAAATCTGATTATTATATTATGTAAAAAAAAAAGAAATAATAAGTGTACCAAGATACAGATTTTTCCCCCTGAGTTCCGTTTCCAGTACTGTTTAATATTGAATTCATATTAAAAGTTTCTGAATCTGTTATGAGAAAATTAAATTGGTGTCTCAGTAGTCTGACTATTATGATCATTGCTTCACCTCAGATACTAAAGACAGTGAGTTTGTGGTCACTATTGGAATGTTTGGCATAGCCTAAAAGAAAGAAACTTTGCCATATTTGGCCTTGTGAGAAGGGAACAAACTCCACTGTTGCCACAATACAGGCAAATCAGTTCCTTGTGTGTGTGGCCAGGCGACACTTGCCTTCAATTTTGTGCGGGCTCCAAACTTGGAAAGTTTCCATGTTTGGGTAGTTTTTCTGGATCTGAGACCAATGCTTCAGAAACGCCTAGAAAAACAACCCCAAGCTTTGCCCCTACGGTATGGGCCTTTTCAATAGAACAGTTGATAAACTTTTGACAAAAGTTTGTACTCACTTCGCACTTATCAATAACCTTCTTGTTATGTTTCAAAGTGTTAAAGAAACAGTTCCATTCTCAGGGGCTGTATCTGAACTTTTCACTATGGTAAAATGAGGTCAAGAACAGCTTTCAAAACTAGCAGAAAGTTTTGCTAAAGACAATAATTAAACTTTGAGACAATGACTATAGAATAAGGAAAGGAAAACTTCTTACCTGTCTGATGCTTGTGGAGAAAGTTGAGAAGCTCCTTGCAGAGTGATGGAAGACTGTTGAGTGTTTAGCGTTAGCGTCCACAGTATAGTTCACTGTGCCAGAGGGTTGGACAGACGTGCCGCTAGGCTTACATGCTAACCGCTTTATACCTGTTCCACAGGAAGTGATGTCATAGGAAGGGTGATGACATCACAAGTGTGACACCACCTCCCACAGGTTGGAACCTTAGATCAGTACTAGGGATTGTCCATTATGTGCATGAGTCATGCAAAACTGTAGCAAAACAGCTGTGGTGCAAAAATTGAGTCATCTTTCTTCAGTTCATTCTGTTATAGAATCTGATACAGCTGTCAATCGAGGATATTGAAAGTATATGTAGATGCACAAAAGAAAAGCTCATTTTGTTTCTTGACGTTAGTGAATTTTTCTTAGCAGTCTCCACATCACAATGTGCAAGGTTACATTGTATTTCCTTAAAACTTAAGGCTTCCTCAGTTCCATATTATGGGGTTCTCAGTTCCATATTAGCCTGGTTCTTAGACTACTAAGAATGTAACTTACATGTATGAATAAAATTATTGTCCTAAATTGTCATTAAGCATGACATGACACTGTGTCATTATGGTGCAATGGCCAAGTGGGAGTAGAGTGTTCGCCTTGCATTTTGTAGGTCATGTATTCCATCCCCAGCCAAGCCATTCCAAAGACTTTAAAAAATGGTACATTTTGACTCAGTCAAATCTTGAATCTCTTAGAAACATTTTGCACAAGAGACATCTTTGAGTCTTGTATATTGGCACCAATATTGTGTCGACAGGTTTTTATCAGTGACATGCTCTGTGTGGTGAGTAATGAGGTGCTTAGTAGTGCTATCATTTGCCATATAGGGTAACAAGTGATTAGCAACACTTGTTTGTCATGTGTTAATTTATAACAGGTTATGGAGTGATCTCATCCCTTCAACAAACGTAAACAGGATCAGGGGAAGGAAGTTATTCTGAGTTAAGTAGACCAGGCCAGGAACTGCACAGGAAAAGTTGGATTCACATTTCTTAGAAATAATTTTAGTCATCAGGCTGCTGCTGCCATGTGGAAAAGTTGCAGCTGCACTTTTTTGTAGAAAATGAATCTAATGTCATTCTGGTGTTCTTTTGATTGATCAAGTTAGACCTCAACCAGTCCTTAACTTGACAAAGTTGAGTAAGAATCAAGACACATTTTAGAGAGTCTTTAAGAATGACTTGTAAAATGTTATCCTATTAAAAAACTAGTACTTATAATATGTACAAGTATTTCTACATGCATGAAAATGCACATGAAATTTGATACACTTTGCATTAAGAAGCAGGTCGGCAGAATGTACTGTACCTGCGCGGGTACATTATACATGTATCGTTAAATGTTTGGTCAACGTTGCATCAGAATTTTGCCTGTTGCTGACGTCAATATCTTTTCCAACATAACATTTGGAAACTTCTGTCAGAATGCTAAACTTATATGTGCGAATATGACCTTATATGAGATGTTCTGCCAAAGTGCTATGCACAATACATTACGGGTTTCCCGCAGGTGCAGTATGTTCTGCCGATGTGCTGCATGATGACACTGTGTTGTACAATGTACCTTCCTGTCCTAACCTCCAGTTCAGGCATGTTTACTGATAAGGGCTATCAGACCTGCTGCTCTGTGTTTTTGTTATCACCATGAGTCACTTCAGGTCTCCTTCAGGTCAGAAAGTGTCAGGAAGTCTTGAAGGGGTCAGAAAGTGTCATCAGGAAGTCTTAATTTAAAAGAGGTAATTTCCCTCCTCAAAAGAAGTAAAAAGTTGTACTGTAAGTTGATCACATTTATGATTCACTCAAAAGTATATGCGCTGTTTGATTTTTCTTTGCATCTTAATTGAAAGGTCATTCTTTTATCATTGATTTTTATGTAGAGTGAGATTGAACCTTGTACATGTAAGTCTTTTGAGACTGCTTAAAAGCACAGTGTTGAACAAACCTCAATTTCACAGTTATTAACAATAACAGCAGGAAGTCACAGATTTCAGACAGATAAAGAACAGGTTGATAACAGGTTTTTGCTTATATGTAGAATATATCAGTCCTCAAATCATTTCTATGAAGAAAATAAGAAAAAGCAAAACAGTAACCGTTAAGTTAAATTTGCAGGTGGATTGCCCTTCAAGTGGTCAATGTCCAAGTACAGCTTCTAAATTCTGTCTTAAAGATGTCAGGTGAGTTTGACAATGGTTCCATTCTTTGGCTTGTCTTGGTTGTCAAAGATAATTTAAAGTGTGTACACATTGACTGCATTTGAAAACAATTTTCTTTGATGTCCAAGTTTGTATCTTCAGCTTAGGCTACTTAGCCATCCCCTGGACGTCCCCTGACAACCCTAACCACCTCCACATGTCCTTCCCAGACCTCCATGGAACATGCTGACCTTGACCTGACCTTGTTTCCCAGAGGGAGGCCCAGCTAATAGCTCCCTAGGGGTCAAAGGTTGTGACCCCACTAACTTAAAGTTTTCCTTCTTAAATAGCTCAAGATGTCTCCAAGAGTTTTTCAAGCTGTGCACTGATTTGTTTTTGTGGTGGGGCTCAAATTAACCTGTTTGTTGAGCTAACTAAGGCCCAACCTTAATTCAGATTGCCATAAACCTTTGGCTAAAGTAGAAATTTGGGGCTTTAGCCACTGAGCTTTGCTACAATCGTTCTATAGAACTGTTCTATAGATCTATAGAACTGTTCTTTAGAACTGTTCTATAGAAGTGTTCTATAGAAATGTTTTTTTGAACTCTTAGAACTGTTCTTTAGAACAGTCAACACTGAACAGGAGGTAACAATTTGGGTTAACAAAATTAAAGTAATGCCAGACGAACAATATTTCAGGAATTTTCTGCAATAAAAGTACAATTAACTTACTGATTCATCATCATCATATTCATGATTGAAACATATGGGTTTTGGTCCATAATGAGTCTGGATGTCAAACCTAATTTCTCAACTTCATATAGCTTTATTCAGCCCCCAAAAGTTGAAGAAATCTCTGAGATACCACTGAGTTGCATTCAGTCTTGTGTTTACTACAATCCACTTGAAAGTTCCCAAGATTTATGATCTCGGTCAATGTCACAAGATTTATAGTCTGGACCAATGTCACCTTCAAGGACCACAAGGTCATAAAAATGCTCTAGCTAAAGCGGAGCCAACTTGAAGGTCAGCTGAGGTCACATGAAGAGCACATCTGGTAGCCGAGATTACAGATGTTCAGACTGTTGGTGGAGGTATTTGTCACTCAAGCTGACAAAATGGGGTATATTCACCATTTACTATGATTCAAGGTCGCCTTTATCAAGCGTTAACATTCCAAGGTCGTGTTGTGAAAGATGTTAGGTCATTGTCAGTCTTTTCTGCACCCTGAGCTCTACACAGATAACCGCATGTATGGATGGGAACAGTAAAGGTCATTCATGTGGTCCTTCTTTGAATCAACCTGACAAAATGGAGGATTTTCGCCATTTACTTCAAGGTCACCATTTCAGGTGTTGTGGAAGTTTTTAGGTCATTGATTCATTGTCTGTTGTTTCTGCACCCTAAGCTCTGTAAGAGGTCTGTAAAGGTTATTCCTCTTGTTCTGACTTGACAAAATGGAGGACTTTCACCATTTACTACTCTTCAAGGTCACCACTTGAAGTGTCATGGAAGTTGTTAGGTCATTTCTGCACCCTAAGCCCCACAACAGAGATAACCTCAAGGTCATTCACATTATCCTTCTGTCAGTCATCGGATGGTAGACCAACTTATATTTGATGGAGGATCCAAGTTCAGCTACTTATACGGTCATTTATGTTATAACGTTAGATGATTACAATCAAAGTCATGTATACGAGGCTCTTTCAGTAGGTCAGAAAGTTCTCAAGGTTACCAGGGTTCCTTCAAGAATGAGAAGTGTAACATTTATCATTGAGAAGGGGTTAAATTCTCTTGGGATCCTCAAAGATACTTTGCGAGGGGGTGGGTGGGGGGTGGTCAGCATTTTTTTATATAACGTTAATGCTTGACTGTGCCCTACAAGCTTTGACAAATTGTATTTGAATCTGATTTACTACTTTTATAATAGCTTGGAATCATCCAGTGGCCATGCACGTGTCCACAACACCACATTACAGCAATTTGTAAGGCATCCAGAGATTTGTTCTAAGCCCCGAGAAGCATTCTAGACCTGAGGCAAGTCTCTAAGGCCACAACAATTTAATTTGTTGTTTCTCGGATTTGCCCTGTCCATTTTTTTTTCTTATTTGAAAAAAAATTGATTCTGGTTCTGAATCAACTAAAAATGCTCTGACGTACTCTAGGATGGTTGGCAGGTGTTTTGCTTACTAACAGTTGAAAACCAGCCAACTACATGTGTATGATCAAACCTCCCAAACACCTCACGAATGCGAAATTAGCAGAACGCCAGCCGACCCACTCCTAACCATGGTTGGCGGGCGTTCGACTAGCGTTCAGGAGTCCAAATTCGTGAATGTGTGACAGGGTCATGTTGGCCTGGACACTTGGGCACACCACTTCAGTTATCGTTTCTTCACTGTGATAACAGGACTTCCTGTGCCAGTATTGCAGGGTGTTTTAGGGGCCTGCATGCCCTTTTTTGTAGAGCGTAATCAGCCGTTGTAATTGTACGTAGAGCGTAGACGGACTGCTCTAATTCAACGTAGAGCGTTATTGGCGCATTTTACGTAGAGCGTATTCGCCGTTTTAATTCTACGTAATGTATTGTTACCACTTCGAATTTAGAGAGGTTTCCTGAATTCAGCCTATAATACGTAGCCAGCTCTCAAAAGTTAGCATAGAGCATTGTCTGGACCCCCCATGCAGGCCCCCTGTTTTGTACTTGCGTAGTCAGAGTAGTCAGGAAACCCGCATTCCATCATGATTCTGGATGATCTGCCTGACATCTATGAAGGGACTTTGCCAGCAAGCAATTGATGTGTATTTTGAAGAAGCCCCTCGGTATTTTTTTACATCTCAGTGTCAGAAAAATCAAAACAAAGGGAATGACTTTTGCCTGAAGTTCCGGCATGGTCGAACCATGTTTTGATATTTTCCCTATCAGAGTACACTGTTTTCAGGTCTTGACACATTCCTAGGAATGTATCGCAATATTAATGTTTGTCCAAATTTGGCATCAGCCAGAAAGATCATCTGGTGATTGTCTTATAAATTGTCACTGGAAAATTATAGCTTTTTAGATGTGGAACCAAAGTTTGTTGTTATCAAAATCAAATAAAAAATCTTGGGGAGCGGACTAAAGCTAACAAGGCTGGACACCAGGCTACTTTAATGGACATGTTTACTTTTGCGACATTTTCAACTTTTTGTCTCTTTTTGTTAATGCCCCCTCAGCCCTTCCTGTCCACTCCTTATATACTGTCTGTCAATTGGATACTGTCTATTGCGACCCTAGGATCTGCTTAGAGATTATCTTGGACTATCATTACAGTCCATTGCCCTTCTCCCCTTCCCGAGAGAGTTATGCCTTGTTATGACAAGAGGAGCTGAGCCTTAATCAGAACCAGCAGTTTTCTCCCTCTCCTGGGACATGCAAGCCTCCTGGGGAATTAGCAAAACAAACGTCTTAATCCCACCAAATTAAGAAAACAAACTGCTTAATTCAGCTCCTGGAGTTTCCTACAAAGTTGCCAGGATGTGTTTGTAATTGTTGTTCTTGTTTGCAGGTCTTGTTTTTCTAGATCTTGGAGAGAGTGTTGTGGTTGTGGTTGTTATTTCACTCCAAAGGGAGTTAAGTAGAGTTTTGGGCATCTCTCTCTCTCTGTCTCTGTCTCTCTCTCCCTTTCTCTCTCTCTCTCTCTCTCTCTCTCTCATTCTCACTCTCTCTCTCTCTCTCTGTGCATTGTGTGTGTGTGTGTTTGTGTGTGTGTGTGTGTGTGTGTGTGTAGCTACATGAACGTGTGTGTGTGTGTGTGTGTGTAGCTACATGTATGTGTGTGTGTGTGTAGCTCTGTGTGTGTGTGTGTGTGTGTGTGTGTGTGTGTGAGTACATGTATGTACACTATCTTTCTGTGATTTCCAGTATACAGGGAAGCTGTTGTTCTCTGTGGGGCTGGATAAGCAGTAAGGGCAAAGATCACTATCTGCCTGGTCTCTGATTGCTTTGTGATGACTTATATCAAACTGTGATGTCAATGTTGTTATTGTAATCGGAGCTCTGCCAACAAGCGAGTTTGGCTACAGGTGGTTTTGGTCAAGCTGACTTTGAACTTGGCTGGCTAATGAGAGCTGCTTTGTTTTTGTCCTGGCCAAACCAGAAACTCACAGGGTGCCTGCATGGGGGGGGGGGGTCCCGACAACGCTCTACGCTGAATTCGGAAACTTCTCAATTACGCTTTACGATAAATTCCAAGTGGCTACAACGCATTACGTAGAATTAAAACAGCGAATATGCTCTACGCAAAATGTGCCAATTACGCTCTACGTTGAATTAGAGCGGTCCGTCTACGCTCTATGTAGAATTGAAACGGCCGATTACGCTCTATGGAAAAGGGCATGTGGACCCCCTCACAGCACAGCAGGCCTAGATGTGACAACAACTCAGAGGAAGCTTATTATGTTACAGACAGAGAGGAAATTAAAGCACGGTAAATCACTCATTGGGGGTAGACCGAGATTGTCAGGCTTGTATCCTGCTGTGCAGTCAGGATTATACACAGACTTTCTGCATGGATGGCAGTTTTCTATTGCTTTTTACCTTCACCAATTTGTGAAGGTTAATATGTTTTCAGTAGTGTTTGTCTGTTTGTCTGTGAACAGTATATGCATTGTCGTGAAACTTTATTGGTGGGTATAGGTCTTCATGAGACCTGAAAATGATTAGATTTTGGGCCCTCTGGCGGCTTTTGTTGGTACTGCAGCAGAACTTCCAGTTTTGATATGACATGCTAGAGTCACAAATTTTTGATGGTAAACAGCTAGGGAAAAGTGACAGTTTGGGCTCCCTAGCGGCTTGTTCTGAAACTGCAGGGCAGTCTGTTTTAAAGTCTTTGAGGGAGAATACTAGTAACTCAAGGACCGGCTGACAGAGATCAAGCCTTCCACCTTCCACCTATTGCCAAAACTTTCAACAAAACCTAGCTCCCAACAAAACTTTCCAACGAAACTACTGCCATTTAACCTGCCAACATAACCTTGCGACAAAATGTGCCAAAATTTTATTATGTGCAGACAGACAAGAGTCACTCCAACTCTTCTTTAAGCTGCCAAAATAACATATTTCCTACAGGTGAGGTTCTGAAACAAGTTGCCAACTAGGTGACACCCAGACACAGGAAAATGTCACGAAAAAAACTTTGTTCAGACCGTGGCAATTGGATCTCAGACACACAACCGAGTTTCATTTTCTTGGTGGTCAGTCCAACTTTACCTGCAGTGCCAAAACAGTATACCTGCCAGATGAAGGCTCTGAAACTTCTGACACCCAGACAGAAGAAAAAATCCAAACAGACCAGGACAAGGACTTTGCCAAAACACTGCCCTTTTTGCTGTAGTCAGTCCAACACTGCTGGACAGTGCCAGAACACTGCCCTAGAATCCAGATGTTGGTTACGTAATGAACTTGATACTGCTGTATGGACCTACTTTTCCTTGACTCTGTTCTGAACCATTTTGGATTCTATCTTCTTACTAATCCATGGGATGATCTGAAGGTCTTCATCTTAAGCTTGGTGTGGTTTAGGAGCAGATCTGGGTTCCTTGCCAGACGTAAGACTGTCTTACGTTTCAAGACGTCCCTGTCCTGGCAGTCGTCACACCAGGATCCCCATAAGTCTGGCTTGTTTTGACTTGCTGGCATGCAAGGTCTCTTCCCAACCTACATTTTGTACTTCATGAAAGAAGCTCAGAGCCAAGGGTCTTCCACTGACCTACTTAGAACCAGTGAGCAGCCAAGAAGTCTTGGCAACAAAAAAAAAGAGGGAACAGAGATGGTTATGGAGCAAGCGTCCCTTCTGTGGGTGACACACATGTTGAAACTCAAGTCTATGCACTGGTGTATGTGCATAAAGCAGCTAAATGTACAATGTAACTACTCCCAAGGCTCTTCATGTACTTGCAGTTCCCTTCTAAGTAGCCAGGGGGAGTTGTCGAAAGGTTGAATCATGGATTTTCTTTTGTCTGATGCATGTGGATAACTGGGGTCTGCCTTCAAGTTGTTGCCCTGACCTTCAGAAATGGTTACCATTATGTTTTAATCAAACTATTTTTTTTTTTACATCCAGGCATAGATTTTAGTGTTGTTTTGGGCTGCTATTAAAGCTGAGAGTTTGTGTGTCTGTTTGTCCAGAGAGAGTTGTTTGTTGGTTTAGAAGTTTTCACCGGCAGAATGAGCAGTCAGCCAACAGAAATTATAGGTTTAAATTGGGAAATTCAGGAAGATGAGGATTGTCAATTGCATACATTGTACTAATCCCAGAAGTCTGAAATCTCTTGTTTCTTGTTTTCTACAGGGGTGGTGATTGTGTGTATAACAGCCCTGCTTGTGTATGCTGAGAAGGCCCTGTTTACGGAGGTGACATGGTGGTCTGTTCTGCTGGGAGGAACATGTGATAATGATGATTATGTTCCTCCCAGAAGTCTGAAATCTCTCTCTCATTTCTTGTTTTCTACAGGAGTGGTGATTGTGTGTATAACAGCCCTGCTTGTGTATGCTGAGAAGGCCCTGTTTACGGAGGTGACATGGTGGTCTGTCTGCTGGAGGAACATGTGATGATGATGATTATGTTCCTCCCAGAAGTCTGAAATCTCTCTCTCATTTCTTGTTTTCTACAGGAGTGGTGATCGTGTGTATAACAGCCCTACTTGTGTATGCTGAGGTGGCCCTGTTTACGGAGGTGACATGGTGGTCTGTACTGATGGTGTGTCTCTGTGCTGCCGTCATCCTTGGAATCCTAAACATCATCTGGGTCCAGCCACAGAGCACACTGGGGCTCAAGTTCAAGGTAAGGGGCATGGTTTGGATGTATAACTATCAAGTCAATCTGTTTCTTCTTATAATAACAATGATTTCTAGAAGAATGGCCAAATAAATATCTAACAAAGACTGTTAAAAAAAAAAGCAGGTGCAGTACATACTGTTGATATTCTGTCTTGAGGAGGGGTAAAGGAGCACTTCATTTGGTAGGAGGATGTTATATTCCAATACTATGTCACAGTGTATGATAATAAAAATTATACTAGTAATGAAAAAAATTAAGGCATTCATTAGTCTGGAATTCTGCAAAAAGTCTGCTAATTAATAAATAACCTTATCGTAAAATAATGCCCTCCTCCCAACTTGAGAGTTCCTTTAAAACAATACATTGTGTGGAAAGTCAGAAAATAAATCTGACCAGAGAAACCAAGAAAGTTTCTATGGTCTGTCTTTTCTGTAAACTTGTTATCAAGAGAACATCTTTCTGCACCCGCCCCCCCCCCCGAGG